TGTCCCACCCACCCTCCCGAGTAGCCACTCACGTCGTGCCGGTCCGTCCGGACAGACGTGTTGGTGGTGGAGTGGGTCGTTCCCTGCTGCGGGAGCGAGGGTTCGACCCGCTCGACCCAGCCCCAATGGCGCCGTCCAACGGGTTACTCGGGTTGGTTTGGCGCATAGGATAACAGATGGAAGGAACGCAACGAAAAGATTTGACGTTTCTTTTGTCTGAAAATGTATGATTAGTGGAAATAGGATTAGTCGTAGAAGTAGTGCTACGCTTAGATGAGTTGTCGCAAGTATTTTCGAAACTACGCACCGACCATCCTCGTAGGGTGCAGGAGCAATTAAAAAAAAAGCCACGGCCATGATCAAAAACAACAAGCAAGGCACAACATTTGGAAGCAGAAAGTGCCAGACGAGAATTTACTGCACATGATGAGTACCTGCAAGAACCAAGGGAACGAGAGAAGTAGACGGGAATTGGAAAGAACTCAGAAGATGACCAAGCAGAGCATCTGGAAAATGGAATGTCAAGGCAAGATGCCTGTGTCGTACCAACGTCTGAAGAGCCCAGGATCATAGTGCCGCCATCTTCCGGAGGAGGTTGATGCGCGTGAACAGATCATGCTACTTACCTAGCTGCGGATCAAAAGATGTTGATCAAGACTCATTTCTAAAATTGGCTGCGCCACGTCGTTCCCTCGATCGCTTCGTTCTATTTCGACTTTTTTCATCATTCGGATCTGGGAAGATCTTCAAGATCTTAATTCTGAATCTGTTCACTTTCGCAATATGAATAGATACAGATCATTTGCTTTTCCGGGGTATAGCTCCTTTTTGCATAACAAAGCGAATAAACATTGAGTTCCCAAAGTGCGAAGAAGTTCTTGATCAACAAACCGCATGAGAACGAACAGAACGGGTTTTCTATTGAAGAGGAAAATCGAAATAAGCAAAAGACCGCGAAGAGCAGTCAAAAGATCGCACAAGGGTCCCCGCAACAAGCCTGCTCAAAAACGAGGCCACGCGATCTTTTTGTCTGACCGATCTGCTGTCCTCGTCGTGTTGCTGCTGTCTATTTCATTGTGCCCCCCTCTATTTCTAATTCAACTTTAATTGTTATCTAACTTCGAGCTAGTACTTCTACATCAGGCTGAGATTCTTGCAGCTTGCAGGTGCAGCTCAACACCTCTACACTCAAGTAGTATAATTTTTGCTGATTCGTCTTCAACAGCATTTTTTGTCGCCTGGAGAGGTAGAGAGCGACAGTTTCGATTTCACTAAGTAAGATATTTGCTTGCACAAGAAAATGTCGGCGAGAAGTTTCCTGCGGTTGCCGTTACTTGCCTGTATCGTTGCCGGCTCAACATGCCTGGCTGTGGTGCAGGCCTCGACGCAGCGGTCGATTGGCAGCGCTACTACATGGATGGATATTCCAGACGTATCCCGGGAACAAATGAAGCGCCATCACTACGTGTTGTAAACAAACCACTTCAAATTTGTACAATTTGCAGGCAGGAGCAGCTATATTATAAATCAGAATACGAGAAGGACGAGCATGTGCATGCAGCATGCTAGATCGCTAAGATACACGGCAACATGACTCTTCAACATTCAAAAGTTCCTCAGATGCAAAAATTACAATACAACCGAGTGATGGTGTTCAGTGTTTACTTCTCCATACAAGGACACGTGGACAAATAGAGTCTGTCCGTACTTGGAAAACAACAACACTCCCCTGCACGAAGTTTTCGATTCCTTGTTGAACGACAGGGCGACGCCGGAATGGGTGGCGACGCCGGAAGAGTATCGGCCCCTGGTGCTCCCCGGCCGGGCACGAGGGCCGCTGGCGGAGCAGATGCGAACCGAGTTGGCGGCTTTTCTCGCGGAAGAAAGCTGGGAAAGCCGGTCGTCCTCTACTCGTAGACAAGGGCAAGAAAATCTTTTGACCGATCGCGTCAAAGAGGCGGCAAAAAAATTCGCCCTCCATCTAATGGAAAAGTCCCGGAAGCGTTTCATTCAGCTGCTCATGCTCGACTCAGATGCACCGCGCCCCCTCCTCGCGCTTCGAAGCGTGAGTCGCCGGTTCCGTAGTACAACGCCGGTCCCCCCGATGGCTTTTGGTTTCGCGCAGCAGTTTATGCATTGCAAATATGTCTGGGTCTGGGAGGATGCGAACTTGTCATGCTAAGTCTGGATCGTACAAAAATTTGTGTTGCATGACTACCAAAAGCTGTCCAGTTTTGAACAAGTTTAGATAGAAGCAGTTTGCCATGCAGGATAGGCATGATAGGGACGTCGCAGAGCCTGTCATGCTAGGTCCTGCATTCCAAACCTCATTGGGCATGGAAAATATGCATGAGAAGTTTGCATTCTTCCAGACCCAGACATATTTGCATTTGATACAGTTGCTGTCCTACCGGACCACGACTTCTGAGCAATCCGTTGCTACTCCTACTACAGGCGCAATTACTCCTTCGGTGCAGCAGTTTATTCAGAACGGGGGGGAACATCAACCCACGGGAACAAGAATTGCTGCCACATCGATCATTTCTGACTACGTCGGCCCTTTGGATGAGAGCTTTCAGTATTTTTTGCGTCGTCTGGAAGCGGTTCTCAAGCGACCGGACCTGCAAAGCGCTGAAATGGCCACAGACCGCACACTCGTTAACACCGTATCAAGCTACAACGTCCAGGCTCCTCGCTTGGGCGCCGATCTACTACCATCCGCAGCGAAAGCCTACTATTCATACGACCGTCGCATCGCCACCAAGCCCACCCCGCATTTCCGGCTACTCGTCGAAGCGGGAGGACCTGGTGTCGACCTGTCGAACGAGGCAAAAGAGAAGCTGGCCTGGGATACAAAATGGCAATGGCACGCTGTCGTACGGGACGCGGATTCGGGCCAGCATCGAACGATCGTGCCGGCTCCTGGTGAGGAGCCGAATACTTGGGCAGATCGCACCGCGAATGCTATCTACCTCGCGAAAACCAGAAGAGTCATTTTACCCGATGCGCCGGAGCTTTTCGTCTGCGGCAGTATCACAGGCAGTCCAATGATGAACAAGCTCAGCCTGGTGATCTCAGAGGCTTTTGATGGCAAGCTGTGTACGGAGTGATATTTATTGTCGTTCAATGCCTCCTCAATCTCCAGGCTTCGCCGGCTGTACGAAGAACGCAGCACAGATCGCTGCAAGGGCTATTGATATACTACTCAATAACTCTGAACATGCCCCGCACTCACGTATGTTTTGTGTACTCAATATTTCGATGACGCCCTGAGCACAAAAACGTTTTGAAATAAAAGTTTTGGTAAGCATTTTAAGTTTTGGTAAGCATTTGACTAAAAAATAGTTGTCTATAAGCCTTATTTCGGTCGCAAGCTAGCAAGCAAGCAAGCCTGTTTCGTTTGGGGCACGAGCAGTGATTGGGAACCGTGCAGGCCCAGTAGTCAATTACTCCGTGAGGATTTGACGTTTCTTTTGTCTGAAAATGTATGATATAGTGGAAATAGGCCTACAACTCGTAGAAGGAGGTAGTGGTATGCGTAGATGGTGAGCTGTCGCAAGTATTTTCGAAACTACGCACCGGCCATCCTTCTAGGGTGCAGGAGCAACTTAAAAAAATGCCACGGCCATGATCAAAAAGGAGGACACAACATTTGGAAGCAGAAAGTGCCAGGCGAGAATTTCAATTTACATACTGGAAGATCATAGTTCGTAGTTTAAACAAAATTCTGCCCAAGGGAAGGCATTAATTCGGAGGAATGCAAGACGTGCCTGCCAACGTCGGAGGACAGTAGCACTTGGACTTGCCAAGACAGCAGGTACAAATTCAAATCGAAAACTTACGCGATCAATGAACAGCATAAGAGCAACGAAGGTGCTTTCTAGAATTTCACTGATTGAAGAAGAAAATCGAAATGAGCAAAAGACTGCGAAGAGCAGTCAGAAGATCGCCCAGGGGTCCCCGCAACAAGCCTGCTCAAAAACGAGGCCACGCGATCTTTTTGTCTGACCGATCTGCCGTCGTGTGCTGTCTAGTTCGTTTTGCCCCCACGACCTAGTGTTCTGACTTCTACATCAGGTTGAGAGTGCAGCTTGCAGGTGCAGCCCAACACTTCTACACTTAAGTAGCACAATTTTTGCTGATTCGTTGTGCTCAATAGCATTTTTTGTCGCCTAGAGAGGTAGACAGTTTTAATTTGACTAAGATATACAAGATGGGGGTCGGCCGTTTGGCCGACCCTATCTTGATGGACAGGGGGCAACCATAAGAATCAGCATCAAGACAGGCCCAACGCAAACCCTAGCGGCCGAATGTTCCCGAAGGCTGGCCCCCCGAAGGGGTTGGCGGAAAGCGCTGCAAACGCAGCACCCTGCTTCAAGGAGACTTGCGATGCCAGAGGCCCCCATCAAGGGGCACCGAAGGCCCCCGCGAGGGGTATCGAAGACCCCCCAAGGGGGTAGCGCGAGATGGGGCGCCGCCTGAAGGCGTCCGCCCAAGGTTTCCGACCCCCCGACCCGAAGGTCCTGGCGGTCGGAAAGTTTGCCCGGCCCCCTTCAAGGGGGTGCGACCACCCCCAGGGGAGTGGCGCGAAGGGCGGCACGCAACATCGTGCGAGGGCGTCCGCTCGGGGTTCCCCGAAAAGCTTGCAGAAACACAAACGCCCTGCAAGTTTGCGATGCCCATGGCCCCGCTCATAGGGTAGCGAAGACCCCCAAGAGGGCACCGGAGAGCCCCCGAAGGGGTTGGCGCCGAAGGCCCCCACGAGGGGGTAGCGCGAGGTGGGGCGCCGCTCGTTCGACGGCGCCTGCCCGGCTGGGGTTCTCCCCCATCGATGGATCGCTCGGCCCCCCGGGCGGTGCGGCCAAATGGAGCCTCGCAATAGCAGGAACGGGCACGAAGCCTGTGTTTCCCGGGGCCCCCTCCCGGGGTATCGAAGACCACACCAAAGGGGCGCCGAATGGGAAGGCCATTCTAGGAGGGTCGGGGTAGCCGAAGCTGAGCCGCAGCCTGAAGGCATGCATCCCTCCGCCCGCGGCCCCCCGAAGATGGGCGCCCGAAGGGACAGGCGCGCGGGAAGCAAACCCGCAAAGGCGGGAAACAAACCCGCAAAAGCAGAAACGTGCTGCGGGTTCGCGGTGCCCGAGGCGCCCAACACATGGCACCGAAGACCCCCCCGGGGGGCACCGAAGACCCCCGACGGGGTAAAGAAGACCCCGGAGACTGGGTGGCCCGCCAAAAGGTCGGCTGGGAACTGAGCAAAGGCTGCGAAGCCCGTCCGGTGGCTGCCGCCCTTGCTTCAGGCGGTAAGTATGGAAGGGCCCGCGAAAGGATACCGGAGACGCCCCGGAGGCGGGGCACCACAGGCCCCCCGACTGGGGTAGCGCGATGTGGGGCGCCGCCTGAGGTTGTCCGCCCGAGGCGCCCCGGGGGCTGATCGGCCCCCCGAGAGGTTGGCCCGGCGGAAAGCTCGGAAAGGCAGGCACCTGCCCCAAGTCTGTGACAGGTACCGAAGACCCCCCCGAACGGCATCGAAGGCCCCCCAAAAGATATCGAAGACCCTCCGAAGCAAAGGGCATCGAAGACCCCCCGAAGGGGTGCCGAAGACCCCCCGAAGGTAGGGGTATCAGAGACCCCCCCGAAGGGGTATCGAAGACCCCCCGAAGGGGTATCGGAGACCCCCCGAAGGGGTACCGAGGACCCGCCCTCCAACAAACAAAGGTTGGGCGGGCGAGGCGGGACGCCACCTGAGAGCGTCCGCCCGCCGGAGGTTTCACGAAGGGAGGCAGGCCCGCCTCACGCGGGGCCCGGCGGTCGGAAACTTCGCAAAGGCCGAAACCTGTTCCAAGGAAGCTAGCTTGTGACGCCCTACCTCCCCTCAACCGCGCAGGGCAGCCAACCTGCGCTCAACTCCGCCGGCTGCACTTCAACACCGTGGACCCTTCTGGCGTGCGAGGCTCAGAGCGCTAGTTAGAAGGTAGGCGGCAGGCCTAGCCGGGGAGCTCGCAGGGCGAACGCCTGCGCTACTTGCGCGCAGAGCAATCCGGTCGCCTAAACTCCGGCGCCCTGGATTCTTCTGGCAGGGCCCAGAGCGCTGCAACGTAGGGGGCTCGCCTGGACACGGAATCGCGCAAAGGGAACAGCTGCGCCACCTGCGCCCAAGTGCACTGCAGCCGACGACACTCCGGCGCCCTTGGCCCTTCTCGCGCCGCTCCCTCAGAGCGCTCGCTGGGGTGTGCGCGGCTGGTTTGGTCACGGAAAGGCGCAAGGCGAACATGTTGGCGCCGGGCTTTCGCGTAAATCCAGGCGAATATGTACCAGCGCCCTGAGCCCTTCTGGTGGGGCACAGAGCACAGGAACGTCGGCGGCTGGCCTGGGCACGGAGGGCACCGAGCGGGCGTCTGCGCGACCTGCGAGCGCGCAAACGAACCGGAAAAACCATAGCGGCTCAACCCTCCCGTGTTGGCGCTGCAGCTTGCTCGCCTGGCCGCCTTCGCGGGCCGGCGGATGGAACGCACAGGCACTACCCTGATGGCGCCGCTCGCTCACCCCAGAAAGTTGCAAGAAGGGCAAGCTGCGTCGCGCGGCGGGGCGGGAATGAAAAAGAAACTAAAGCGACCATGCCCCCCCGCGGGCGTTTAAACTAAAGCGGCCCCGCTCACCTCCGGAAGCAGAAAATAAACGATCGAAGCAAAAGCAGCACCACCCAGCGAGCACACCACAAACCGGCCGAGGCAAACCCGAGCGGCCCCACCCCCATTAGAACACGGGGCGCCGCAATCATGGCGGCCCCACCCGCATCCGGTGCGGAGCTCTAGCGAAGCCGAAGGTGGTGCCGAGGCCGAAGAGCAAAGATAGAAAGCCGCGGCCCCAAAGGCGGATGGAAACCGTCCCGATGGCCAACCAAGGCGTCGGGCAAGGCAGGGGAGGGACAGGCAAAGGCCAGAAGAAATACGCGCGCCGCGTGCCGCGACCCACGCACGGAAAGAACCTGAGCGGCGTCGCCCGGCACTAAACTTAAGCGGCGGGCGCCGCCCACCAATGGAAACTAACAAACGGAACAACAGCGGCGCCGCCTACACCAAAAAGCGAGCCAAACCATAGCGGTCCCGCCCGCGTTTGAACGTGGAGCAGACAACCGTGGGGACGCCGCTTGAAGGCCGACGCCGTGCCAAAATTATCTGAAGGCCCTTCGGAGGCCCCCCAAAGGCCCCCCGAAGGGGTGCGCGGAGGCCGAAGGCCCCTCGAAGGCCCCCCGAAGGCCCCCCAAAGGGGGGGGCGAAAAGGCCCCCGCAAGGGGGGTCGGAAAAAAATTTACGGCAGGTTTTCGAGGCCCGAGGCCCCCCCGAGGCCTCCCCAAGAGGCCTATCGAACCTCGGGCGAGGGGGCTCATTGAACCCCCTTCGGGGGGTCAACGATAGTTCTTGGCCGATTCTCGGTCGACCAAGGGGTTGCGAAGGGGGTTCATTGAGGGGCCGAAGGCCCTTCAAAGAGCAAAATCATCATTAATAGTAGTTAATTTTGTTTGCACAAGGTAGGAGATAATGTCGCCGAGAAGTGTATTCCTGCGGTTGTTGCCGTTACGTGCCTGTATCGTTGCCAGCTCAACATGCCTGGCTGTGGTGCAGGCTTCGACGCAGGCCTCGCAGAAATTTAATAAGAGTCTCCGCACTACTACAGGGGATCACCTGGAGGTTGCCGCCTCGAGCGTACCATCGGGAGCATTGTCGATTGGTGCTACGTCGATGGATATTACAGACGTATCCCGGGTGGAACAACAAATGAGGCGCCAGCACTACATGTTGTAAACAAACCACTTTGCATTTGTACAATTTGCAGGCGGGAGCCGCGACGCTCTAGTAAATCAGAATACGAGCTGCAGATGAAGGACGAGCTGGTGCATGCGGCTGCATGCTAGATGGCTAAGATACAGCGCATGACATCATAACCCTTCAACATTTAAAAGATTCTTCAGATGCCAAAATTGGAACTCAGTGCCGAGTGATGGTCTTCATTTTAAGTTAGTTTACTTCTCCATACGAGGACACGTGGACAAATGGAGTCTGTCCGTACTTGGAAAACAACAACACTCCCCTGCACGAAGTTTTCGACTCCTTGTTGCACGACGGGGCGACGCCGGAATGGGCGGCGACGCCGGAAGAGTATCGGCCTCTGGTGCTCCCCGGCCGGGCACGAGGGCCGCTGGCGGAGCAGATGCGTACCGAGTTGGCGGCTTTTCTCGGGGAAAGCAGCTGGGAAAGCCGCTTGTCTTCTACTCGTAGACGAGGGCAAATTCGTTTGACCGATCGCGTCACAGAGGCGGCAAACAAATTTGCCGTCCATCTAATGCAAAAGTCCCGTTAGCGTTTCATTCAGCTGCTCATGCTCGGCTCGCCCGCGCAGGGGGCGGGGGATGCAGATGCAGATGCACCGTGCCCCCTCCTCGCGCTTCGAAGCGTGAGTCGCCGGTTCCGTAGTACAACGCCGGATCCCGCCGCCCCGATCATGGCTTTTGGTTTCGCGCAGCAGTTGCTGTCCTACCGGACCACGACTTCTGAGCAATCCGTTGCTACTCCTACTACAGGCGAAATTACTCCTTCGGTGCAGCAGTTCGATCAGAACGGGGGGGAACAAGAACCCACGGGAACAAGAATTGCTGCCACATCGATCATTTCTGACTACGTCGGCCCTTTGGATGAGAGCTTCCAGTATTTTTTGCGTCGTCTGGAAGCGGTTCTCAAGCGACCGGACCTGCAAAGCGCTGAAATGGCCACAGGCACACTCGTTAACACCGTATCAAGCTACACCATCTTTGCTCCTCGGATGGGCGCCAATCTACTACCATCCGCAGCTAAAGCCTACTATGCATACTACCGTCGCATCGCCACCGAGCCCACGCAGCATTTCCGGCTACTAGTCGAAGCGGGAGGACCTGGTGTCGATCTGTCGAACGAAGCAAAAGAGAAGCTGGCCTGGGATACAAAATGGCAACGGCACGCTCGCGTACGGGACGCGGATTCGGGCCAGTTTCGAACGATCGTGCCGGCTCCTGGGGAGGACCCAAATAATTGGGCAGATCGCACCGCGAATGCTATCTACCGTGCGAAAACCAGAAGAGTCATTTTACCCGGTGCGCCGGAGCTTTTCGTCTGCGGCAGAATCACGGACAGTCCAATGATGAACAAGCTCAGCCTGGACATCTCAGAAGCTTTTGAGGGCAAGCTGTGTACGGAGTGATATTTATTGTCGTTCCATGCCTCCTCAATCTCCAGGCTTCGCCGGCTGTACGCAGAACGCAGCACAGATCGCTGCAAGGGCTATTGATATACTACTCAATAACTCTGAACATACCCCGCACTCACGTATGTTTTGTTTACTCAATATTTCGGTGACGCCCTGTTGAGCACAAAAACGTTTTGAAATAAAAGTTTTGGTAAGCATTTTAAAGTTTTGGTAAGCATTTTAATAGAAAATAGTTGTCTATAAGCCTTATTTCGGTCGCAAGCTAGCAAGCAAGCAAGCCTGTTTCGTTTGGGACACGAGCAGTGATTGGGAACCGTGCAGGCCCAGTAGTCAATTACTCCGTGAGGATTTGACGTTTCTTTTGTCCGAAAATGTATGATTAGTGGAAATAGGCTTACAACTCGTAGACGGAGGTAGTCGTAGTGCGTAGTGGTATGCGTAGATGATGAGCTGTCGCAAGTATTTTCGAAACTACGCACCGACCATCCTCGACGTAGGGCGCACTGCAGGAGCAATTAAATGCCACGGCCATGATCAAAAAGGAGGACGCAACATTTGGAAGCAGAAAGTGCCAGACGAGATTAATTTACTACACATGATAAGTACCTGCAAGAACCAAGGGGAAAGAAGTGGGCGGGAATTTGGAAATGACGCCGGAAGGCTGGCTAGGATGAAATACTGTAATACCTTATAATGCTGTTCACGGTTTATTATTATTTTCCGACGAGCGGCATGTCATCTGGGTGCCAACAACAGAGACCACTGTAGTACTTAAGGTAAGTATGTAAGTGGAAAAAGGTGCATTCATTCGAGGTTATGACCAAACACAGATCTTCATACCCCGGTCCGAGTCTTTTGATGTCGATCAAGAACTTTTTTTTTCTGCGCCACGTCGGGCTCTCGATCGAGATCTCTACCACTCGTTTGTCTGAATTATCTGCGGTGAAGATCTTCATTTCTCCTGAGCGCCATGTGATCATGACAAGTTGTCGGCGACTGGGACTGCTGATGAAACTCTGTACTTGATTTTGTCTGCGACCTCTTGATGTTTCCCAACTGAAACTGATGATCAGCGACCGAGATACTAACTTGTTGTGAGACGACGGGCGACGTTTAGACATAGACACCAGTAACAATCCAAAAGTAGAACTTGGTTATCCCGAGAAGTAGAGGCGTCTGTCTGATAAGTAAACAAATATAAAAATCTGCAATTTTTTTACTTTTATTTGTGAAGAGAACCCTGAAGAACAAGAAGTTTTTCTTTTCCGCACTATGTCGGCATCCAAACCGAAAACCTCGGAGCGCAGCAGCGCCTTCGGCTCGGCCCTTCCTGCCGCTGTGTACAACAACCTCTACCTAATTTTCCTTGCCTCCGGTGTGCTGGGCTCCTTCACCATTTTCGGCTACGCGCAGGAAGCCCTGACCAGGGGCGAGTACGACGGGGAAAGGCTAAAGCTGCCGATATTCCTCATCGTGGTGCAGTCGTTCTGTAACTGCTTGATGGCGGCAGTGCTCCTGCTTCTTTCAGGGGAAAAATCCTGGACCGCCGGCGCGCCGCCCAAAGACTGGGGCATCGTGAGCTCGGCGTATCTGGGCGCGCACTTCTTCGGGTTGACCGCGTTGCAGTACATCCCGTTTCCGCTGCAGGTGGTGTGCAAATCATGTAAATCCGTGCCGGTCATGATAGGAGAAAAGATTTTCGCGGGCAAAGTGCACAGCATGGAAAAAAAGATACAGGTAGGGACAATGTTAATTATTTACGTGAATCAACATCTTGCTCAGTCACTGCAACGTGACAAAGAGCACGAGATATTTTTGTGTAGTGCAGATTTGAGCTTGACGTTGATGATCGAGTGATTTTGTCTTTGTAATTGTACCCACAGACGTTTCATGCGTTTGTGCAAGACAAGAAATGCACAAAACCAAACTAACAGGTATACCTGATGTCCGCTGGTGTTGTGGCTTTCACGCTTGTATCAAATGCAAATATGTCTGGGTCTGGAAACTTGTGATGCAAGTCCGTGAACAATAAGTGCTCCGTAATGCGCCGCCAAGCATGACAAGTTTTTTCGTGCTTCTGTGATGCGTATTTCGCATGAGAAGCTGCGCTTTTGCATGACAGGCAAGAGGACCTCTTGGTGGCCGCGCAATACAGAGTGCAGAGTCATGCCAGACTAGCATGACAATCTTCCAGACCCAGACATTTTTGCACTTGATAGCTTGCAGGCGGGAGCAAGAAGTATCCTGGTCAAAAACGTACCCGTGCGGTCTTCACGATAAACTGTATAGACAAACTAAGAGGCTCCTTCGGGAGTAAAGCATGTTAAGCTCTACTATAAAGTCTTTATCTTTTCTTGCGTATCTATTGGCAGTGTGGTTACTGAATAAAATTAGCTCGAACAAGTTCGCAGCTGCACCAAAAACCAAGTGCCTCATGCCGAAAAGTAGAAAATACTTCCTGTCAGATGTTCGGGCTTTGCATGAGATTCCATATCCACTCCATCAGGCATAGGTATTTTTGCATGACAAAAGATAAAGATTATGGGTCGTGCCATGTGAGCTGCAAAAATTGAAATTTCTTTCGCATGACAAAAAACGTGCTGGTCCACCGTTGGGTATTGGTTTTTCCGCAGGATAAGAAGGGTTCCGACTTTACACTGTCTGCGTCCCTCGCGATCGGCCTCGCCTGCGTCCTGGGGGCGCTCGTTTGTGACGGAATTTACGGACCGTATCAGAACAAAATCGTCGCAAATTACAAGGCCAGCCCACACCAGCTCATGTTCAACATGAATCTGTACGAATTGTTCTTTGCTATCGTGCTGGCACTCGGAACCGGGGAACTGCAGAAAGGTTCAATATCTTATGTACGAAGTACGGAAAAAATTTGGATTTGGTGTTTTCAGCTTGTTCGCGCAGTACGATATTCATGATAAGTAAAAAAAGACATGCCACATGATACAATTCCAATTCAACTTCCGCATTTAAGTAGAATTACGTCTCCTGATTTCCTTTGTTGATACATCCTCAAAACTACAGGCATCGCTTTTATCGTCGCACACCCGTCAGTCATCCCGAATCTGTGCTACTTCGGCACCACCATGGCGTTGGGTTCCCTCTTCGTTTACACACTGCAGAAAAACTTCGGCGCGTTGACGGTCACACTGACGACCACGCTGAGAAAACTTATCTCGGTCGTGTTCTCCGTGCTCTGGTTTGGCCACAGCCTCTATCGAATGTGAATGTGTCTGGCTCGTCTGGAAGGGTGCAACTTGTGATGCGCTTCTCACAATACACAAAAATTTGTGTTGCACGGGTACCTGTACTAGAACCAAGAAGCCTGCTAAGAAGGTATTCTATTTCGTATGCGGGATATGCATTGCGGAGCTGGTGCAGAATCTGAATCTGTGATGCCATGCCCTGCATCCCAGTCCTCGTGGGGCATGCAAACTCTGCATGACAAACTCCTGCACTCATCCAGACGAGACCCAGACAGATTTGCAACCCATAGCCTCGCGATCGCCCAGTGGGTCGCCACGGTGGTGGTTTTCCTGGCCTCGCCCATCGCGAAGAGAATAGTACAGTTCACCGGCATTGGCGGGACAGCCGTCGGCGGGAAGGACGGCAAGAAACCGGCGGAGTAGAAGTAGATCAAGATGTCGTGTATACAAAAATTCCTTAGAAGGATGAAGAAGAGCCGCGAGGAGAGCCGCGTCGCGAGGACCGGATTTACAAGTTTCGTGAAGGTAATCGTCCTGCTCCAGCTTCGTAAATCCAAGTTGTGGTGGCGCATGAACTATTAAGTGGTTCTAGACCTTTACGAAAAAGGCGATTCACAACTACTTCCAGCTGCCACACACGTTTGTAGCACGACAACCCCGAAGAAGTAGCAGAAGTGCAGCCCATTGCACTAGCACAGGACCACCACCAACACTAGACCACAAGTTAAAACGGCCCTAATATCGAAAATTTTTTCCAAGAAACAGAATCAATAAAGAGTCCGGCTTATTTTCTTCATCTGCCTATACATAGACTGATACTCCGGGTTGTATCAGCATCAGGTTGTGACCAAAACAAACGAACATAATTTTGCTGTTGAGTCAACATGGATAAATGACAAGCCACTTGTACTACCCCTACGCGACACAGAGACCTTGTTTAGAATGTTGAATGACGAGTTTATACTTAGTTTTACAGTGTCACACGACCAATACCAAATGACAGAGATTTTGCGAGAGACGCATGAATAAACGAACGCCGTGCACCAGTTGCGCGCGATTAATCAAGGATCTCGGTGTTGTGTTCGCTTCCTACGACTACAGGACCTCTCTTTCATAGACCCCTATGTATAATCTTCACATGCATCTTGCTACGAAATAGTATAGAAGGTTCGTCCCTTATTTGACTTCGTTCGTTGTTCACGTCAATCTGAGTGATGATACTTTCTCTCCTAGCGTGTAACGATAGATGAAGAGGACGGCACGCACTTCAGTGGCACGCGCGCGCTTTTGTGCTTCCGCTCGCAATCAGCAGATGAAAAGGTTTGAAATTAATTTCACTTCTTCATCTCAACTGAGATCATGTTAAGGTTAACATAATTCACCTTCACTACAGCACAAACTAGCAACATGGTGTCCTTGCTTGGTCGTATGCTTCGCGGGGGGCGGTCCCGCAATAAACCCAAGGACTCTGAAGCCTCCTCGCTCGAGTACGACGATCAAGGCTCCTCAAGTTCCGCCTCCGCCGCGCAAACGAATTCCAAGGCCACCACGGTTTTGTCCTCGGACCAGAGCGCTGGGGAAGCGAAGCGAAAAGGCTCGACGTTTTGGGGTCGGAGAAGTCGGGGGAACAAAAATGACGCAACTGCCGGTGGATCTTCACAAGGAGGCAGAGGACCAGCAGCTTCCTATAATGCAGGTTCATCCGCAATGAATAACGCGAACAAGCAGGCAGGCGCTTTTACGAAGACGACTGCATCCGCTGTATTGTGCGGAAAAATCCCCCCTCCCCATATTGAGAAGGTATGTTTTCCAAAATTTGTGTTGCGGATTTGAGGTCACAAATCACATCTGTCTTGCAAGAAGACAAGGGCAGAAGCTTCGCCCCATTATGGGCGCGATTTGTCATGCTGTTGGGCCTAAAGGGGAGCCGTTTGCCATGCTGAACAACTAGACCCGTACGCCCCTACCTAGCCTGGGGATCTGGCCGCCATGCCTCCCTGCAATACAGAGCTGATTTGTGGCCACCAATCAGCATCACAAATTTCCGTTTTGATATGGGGAGGGGGGATTTTTCATTTTGATACGCTGGCCGAGGAGCAACAGCTTCGTCTGCTTCGCAGGCCACTGGATCGCGGTCCACAAGAGCAAAAACCAGGTCCACCAGTGGAGCGAGCTTGCTTGGTGAGCGACTACAGGATGACAGAATGGGTTTGTCTAGCAGGAACACCAGTAAGAACACCTCCTCGCGTGGGAACCACGTGAAGAACTACAACAGTACTCCGTCCCAGCAAGATATTACAGTGAAAAGTGCCCCCCACCCCTAAATTGCAAAAATTTGTGATGCGAAGGTTCCAAATGAAAACTTTTTGTCATGCATGAAAGGAGTATGAATCTTTCTGATGCAGAATGTAGGCGTGTATCGCATCGCTTGCATGACAAGCGCCGCTCGTGCTGGGGTCTTTTGCAATACAAATCTTTGTCATTCACGATTCAAAACCTGTGATGCTGATAGATGCAAGAGGGCGAACGTTTCATTTGGAAAGGTTTGCAATACAAATGCTTTCAAGTTCGGGGGTGGGGGCATTTTTCACTGTAATACAAGAGCAGTGGTTTAACAACGACGAACAGAACAACAACAACTACCAAAGCGAACAACAGCTCTCGCAGCAAGACGAGGACCCCTTCGAGTGGCTAGTCACCTGGATTCCGGAGTGCCTGCAACTCTGTCCCACGCCGGTGTTCTGGCGATACGACCCGCGCGGGTTTTATCAAACAAAAAAAGTTCGTCACGATCACTCATGCGCATTCTTGCAACGCAAAACTTTCTGTCATGCGTAGAAATGCATCACAGCCAAGCTTCGTAGGGGATTTGCCTAGTGTTTCTGCAATACAAGGAAAACTTGCGATGCTAAAAAAGTTTGTAATGCAGCGAAGCCTTCAACTGCATGTTAGTGACTGTGGCCAACTTTTTCCGTGCGATAGGTTTTATCGGAACGTCAACACGAACATGGTGAAGACAGACCACCTATCCTGTGCAAAAGTATCGTACTCGTAGTAATCGCAATCATGGATTACATCAAATCTCCCTCCTCACCTAAATCCGGATTACAAATTTCATTTTTCATGCTGAGGGAATTTGTCATGCAATTTATACTAGTACGATGCTTTTGCATTTCATACCACCCGATGAAGAGGCACTTCGACGAATTGTACGTGCAAACGTACAATGGGGTGGAATATTTGCTGAAATACCGGGAGTATGCATTGCAAAAGTATGGTACTAGTATAAATTGCATTACAAATTCTCTCAGCATGAAAAATTGAATCTGTCATGCTGTTTTACCTTGAAAAGGAAATTTGTCATGCATAACTGCGATTACTACAACTACGATACTTTTGCAATGCATAGGGAGGATTTGTGGCTCGAATCCGAAGAACTGGAGAACATTTGGCTCGGGCCGTACAATATGAAGTGCAAAAGTATCGTACTCGTAGTAAATGCGAACATGCATTACAAATCTTGTTCCTAAGCTAAATCAGCATTACAAATTTTATCTCTCATGCTGAGGAAATTTGTAATGCATTTATACGAGTGCGATACTTTTGCGATTCATATACAAAACAGATCCGAACAGCGACACATCTACTTCCACCTCCGATGAGTACTACTTTAATTCGGTTTCGAATCTCTCCACCTGGGACAACCCTTTTGAAGCAATCAAGTTCACGATTGCCACCTGCGATTCGTTGCTCTACCACGTGTACCGGATCTCGGCGGAAACAGACGGCGATTTGATCACCGGGGCGGAATACAGCGACCAGAACTTGGGCTTCGAGTACGGTGATGACACAGCAGAGGGCTTAGGATTCGACTCTGATGTGGAAGACATATGCAATGCAACAGCATCGTACTAGTATAAATTGCATATACAAAATTGTTCAGTATGAAAGCTGGAACTTGTCATGCTGTTTTCCCTTAAGAACAACATTTGTCATGCATAGTCGTAATACGATAGTTGTACTTTTGCAATGCATGAGACAGTGGCAGCTACGATGACGAGGATTACTCCGACGACTCGCTCGGTCTAGATGACAGCGACTCGGTATGAGAGTGCACAACCCCCCCTCCCCCTCATTCCTATGGCACGCATAGCATTACAAGCAGCAGCACACGTGGAGGCTGTGCATGACAAGTCTAATATGCGCCTATTTTCGTGCCGTACTGGTTGAGCTTCCAGAATCTGTCATGCCAACAACGCCACAAGGCAGCACTTAGGTTTCGGATTTTGCATGACAAGTGGGGGGGAGGGGGGTTGTGCACGCTCATACTCGGATTCACAGATGAGAACGCAGTTGGAGGACGCACCGGTCACGAAGTCGCGAAAGAACGACGTTGTATGAGAGTGCACAATTTCCGCTCCCCATCGTAGTTTGTAGTGCATCAAAATACCAAGTCCACTACTTGCATGGAAGCCCTATTTGCATGACAAATTTTGGAACCTGAGAGAGAACTACGATCCACGTACGAAGATTTGTCATGCGCATGGCCCATTTCTGCCGTTGCTTGTGTTGCCGTTTATGCAGTAAAAATGAGGGGAGGGGGGAGAAGTTGTGCACCGTCATACGTTTCGACCGCGTTCCAGAAAGCCTCGGGCGGGGGCCGGAGGAGAGGACACCACAGGGACAGAGATCACCACCATCGCGAGCACCATCATCTGAAGGCGGACAAGCTTCCCGCGGTGCCGGGCGAGGACAACTACGACTACCAGCTGAACGCGATTTCGGAGGCCGGAAGTCCGGCGGCGCTACTGGAGGACATACTACCGGTATCCCACGAAAAAACTGTTTCACTGTGATGATTTTGCAAGCTTTGCATCACAAGTTTGCTCTACACCACAGATGAGGAAGTTTGCCATGCGAGCTTCCTATGGGAAAGCTCGCCTACAAATGCATTGTCTTGCATGTCTGTGTAGCAAAACAAACACAAATGCGATACATTTTCTGCATCGCAAGTTCACACTGAAACAGTTTTTTCGTGCGATAACCGGTCACCGCACCGAGGGAGGGAAAGCCGACCGGGAAGAAGGGCCTGAAGGGCGCAGGGAAGAAGGCAGCTCCGCCCGCCGTGCCCGGGGCGGGTCCGGGTATGGCAAAGGGGGCAGCAGCGGGTGATGGCACAACCACTGGTACAACTACCTATGCGGAAGAGACGCCGGCGGTTTTAACATCCTCGTCCGCAGGTGGTAAACCTGCGCCGGCCGTTCCGACGAAGGGCGGAAAACCATCCGCGCCACCCGCTGGAAAGCCAGCAGCGACCACGAAGGGAGCTGCCCCGCCGCCGGCCGGGAAAGGAGGAAAAGGTCCAGCGGCTCCTCCTGCAGTTCCGGGTGGGAAGGGCGCCGCGCCGCCGCTACCCGGGAAAGGCGCACCAATCCCCGGAGGCGGGAAAGGGGCGGCGATACCCGGCGGCGGGAAAGGCGCCACCGTCCCTGGCGGCAAGGGTGCAGCGGCAGCCGCCGGGGGGAAGGGTAAGGGGAAGGGGAAATCGAATCAGCCGAAGGGAAAGCCGAAATTCGGCCGGAAGTGGCACTGGAAACCGCTGCTGAACATCGAAGCGACGGTCTGGGAGGCGCTGAAGAAGGACAAAAATAATCTCTCCGCCAAGCAACTGCTGAATCTTCAAAAGCTGGAAGAGTACTTCCAAATCGTGGTGAAAGCCCTATCAAATGTAAAAATGTCTGGGTCATCTGGAAGATTTCGGGATTTGTGATGCATATTTTGTATGATCCATGATGCATGTAATGCATGATCTAGCAGCACAGATTTTTAGAGGGCTCCCTGATGCCTATTCCGCATGAGAAATGCCCTCTCCGCCCTTAGCTACGCGTAAGCAATCGATAGCGGTTTTGCGGATGCGGCCGGGTGGTAGTTAGGAAGTGGAGCAAGTATCCACCTAGGGGTATTGGCAGAGGCTAAATCTGTTCTAACGCCCACCCGCCAGGAGTCAAATGGTTACTACTACTAGCTACTACCCGCGCAACACAAAGACAAACTGGGCTCCTGTTGCCGGTCACGCAATACAGATTTTTTTGCAATCCAAAGCCAGCATGACAAGTTGCAATCTTCCAGACCCAGACATTTTTGCAATGCATAAGCCCCCACGATGAGCAAAACGGAACAGGACGCCAAGCAGACCACCGCGAAGGGCGTGCTGGAGGGCGGTCGGCTGCACGTCGTGGGGATCGGGTTATCCAGGTTTACGGAGGAGGAAATCCAGGACTGCCTCATGGTGCTGTCCGGCGACAAAAACAGCACAAATATCCTGTGCAAAAGTATCGTACTCGTACTAATTGCATTCATGCATTACAATTTTCTTTCTCAGGTTAAATCCCCATTACAAATTTTCTTTCTCATGCTGAGGAAATTTGTCATGCGATTTATACTAGTATGATACTTTTGCAGTAGTTCATAACAAACGCCTTGCAACAAAAGTTGAACGAGGACCACGCAGAGCGGCTGGAGTCTGTGATGCCGATATCCAAGGAAAAAACGTTGTTAGTGTAAATTTGTGATGCGCAACATGCAAATTGATTGCGCCTGTCATGCTGTGCCTGCATTGTAGGGCTCATTCAAGGGCGGTTTCACGTACTATCTGCGCATGACAGGTTTTTGCTGTCATGCGAGAAATTACTATCTATTATACAAGAAAACGGGTCGCCCTGAAGGGCGACCCTTTCTTGAACTTGATTTTTTTGCATAAGCATGATCATTAGGATTGTTGGGCTGGGCTTCCTGGGAAGGAGGAAGGGCGGGGCAGGGGTAGCGCTCAGGAAGAGTAGCGCGACAGGAGATCAGTGCGTGCGCTATATAAAGTTGTAGGGGCAGCAGCTGTAGACAGAAAGCAGAAAGGCGCCTCGGGTACAGACAGAGCAGCTGCCTGCCAGCTCTGAAGTAAGAAGCCAGCAGGCCTTCTGACGCCACACCTGCACAGCGGAAGCGGAGCGGAAATGTGGCGACCCAAAGGCTCAGGCAAGTCGAGGCGCCGTCTCCGGTGCGTGATAAACTACCTAACAACACTGCGAAGCGGCCCCGCTGATCATGCGGCCCCGGCGGTGGGGCAAGTGAGTGTCGTGGTGCAGACATTCGCCGGGCTTTTGCGTTCGTACTGTGGTGGCCTGGCCCTATTTCTACACCCCGAACACCTCCGGGGCGTGGGGACTTCAGTTGCTGCGCCCGATCATGCGCGCGCTAATCTATCGAAGGCGTCAGCCGCGGGATGACGATCGATGGGGGGGGCCGGGCGATGGAGGGGCGGTGGCCGAGTACAAACGCACCAAGGCAAGGGACGGGCGGGCCGAAGTGGTTGGGCTTCGTTCTGGCCGTGTGCCAACGCAAAAGAAAAGCAGAAATATCTTTTGGCGCCCCTCCGCCCAGCAACTACGCAAAAGAAGCCGGCGCCGGGGCTCGCTTGGCGGGCCTTCAAGCAAAGCAGGCAAAGCTCCAGGGCAGAAGGCCCGGGGGAGCGAGGTCCCTTCCGGGCTAGCCAAAGGGGGGGCCTTAGAGGGGGCCTCCGGGGCGGCCTTCCCCCCGGGGGCCGCAGGGCTGCCGGTAGGGCCTCAGGCTCGGGCATTGGCCGGCGCAGGGGCTTGCTTGGCGGGCCTTCACGCAAAGCAAGCAAAGGCTCAGGGCAGAAAGCCCGGGAGAGGGAGCGAGGGCCCGCCCGGCCCGGCCAATGGGGGGGGCCTCGGTCGGGGGGGCCCCCGGGGCTTCTGTTCGGGCGGGCCTCGCGGGGGGCCTCAGGCCCGGGCATCTGCCGGCGCCGGGGCTCGCTCTGCGGGCCTTCAAGCAAAGCAAGCAAAGCGTCAGGGCAGAAGGCCCGAGTGAGCGAGGGCCCTTCCGGGCGGGCCTTAGGGGGGCCTCCGGGGGGGACCTCGGGGGGGGCCTCCGGGGGGGCCTTCGGGGGGGCCTTAGGGGGGGTCTCCGGGCTGTCATGAGGGCCTCAGGCTCGGGCGTTTGCCGGCGCCGGGGCTCGCTTGGCGGGCCCTCAAGCAAAGCAAGCAAAGTTCCAGGGCAGAAGGCCCGAGGGAGCGAGACAGGGAGGGCCCTTCCGGGCTGGCCAGAGGGGGGGGCCTCGGCCGGGCGGGGGGGGGCCTTCGGGGCGGCCGCAGGGGGGCCGCAGGGCTTCTGTTCCATCGGGGGGGTTTTGCGGGGGGCCTCCGGCTCAAGCATGATTGAGCCGGCGCCGGGGCTCGCTTGGCAGGCCTTCAAGCAGAGGGAAGCTTCAGGGCAGAAGGCCCGAGGGCGCGAGGGGTTCCGGGCTGGCCAAAGGGGGGGCCTCAAGGGGGGCCCTAGGGGGGCCTTTGGCGGGGCCCCCGGGCTGTCAATAGGGCCGCCCGCTCGGGCATTTTCCGGCGCCGGGGCCCGCTTGGCGGGCCTTCACGCAAAGCGAACAAAGCTTCAGGGCAGAAGACACGAGGGCCCTTCCGGGTTGGCCAAAGGGGGGGGCTTTAGGGGGGGCCTCCGGGGCGGCCTCAAGGCTTCGGCTCGGGGGGGCTTTGCGGGCGGGGGGCCTCGGGCTGGCTCGGGAATGTGGCGGCGCCGGGGCTCGCCTGGCAGGCCTTCAAGCAAAGCGAGCAAAGCACCAGGGCAGAAGGCCCGAGGGGGTGAGGGCCCTGCCGGGCTGCCCAAAGGGGGGGCCTCAGGGGGGGCCTCAGGGGGGGCCTTAGGGGGGGCCTTAGGGGGGGCCTTAGGGGGGGCCTCAGGGGGGGCCTTAGGGGGGGCCTCAGGGCTGTCAATAGGGCCACAGGCTCGGGCATTGGCCGGCGCCGGGGCTCGCTTGGCGGGCCTTCCCGCAAAGCAAGCAAAGCTTCAGGGCAGAAAACACGAGGGCCCTTCCGGGCTGGCCAAAGGGGGGGCCTGGGCAGGGCGAGGGGGGGCCTCCGGGGCGGCCTCCGGGGGGCCGCAGGGCTTCTGTTCGGGGGGGCTTTGCGGGGGGCCCCAGGCTCGGGCATGTGCCGGCGCCGGGGCTCGCTTGGCAGCCCTTCAAGCAAAGCAAGCAAAGCCTCAGGGCAGAAGGCCCGAGGGAGCGAGGGCCAAAGGGGGGGCCAAAGGGGGGGCCTCAGGGGGGGCCTTGGGGGGGGGGCCCATGCGGGAGGCCTCACGGCTGTCATCAATAGGGCCGCAGGCTCGGGCATTTGCCGGCGCGCGCCGGGGCTCGCTTGGCGGGCCGGGCCTTCACGCAAAGCACACAAAGCTTCCGGGCAGAAGACACGAGGGCCCTCCCGGGCTGACCACAGGGGGGGCCTTCGGGGGGGGGCCCCCGGGGCGGCCATGGGGGGGGCCCAGGGCTTCTGTTCGGGGGGGCTTTGCGGGGGGCCTCCGGCTCGGGCATGTGAGTGCCGGCGCCGGGGCTCGCTTGGCAGGCCTTCAAGCAAAGCAAGCAAAACTTCAGGGCAGAAGGCCCAAGGGAGCGAGGGCCCTTCCGGGCTGGCCAAAGGGGGGGCCTTAGGGGGGGCCATTGGGGGGGGCCGTAGGGGGGGCCGCAGGGATGCCTCAGGGCTGTCAATGAATAGGGCCACAGGCTCGGGCATTGGCCGGCGCCGGGGCTCGCCCGGCGGGCCTTCACGCAAAGCAAGCAAAGCTTCAGGGCAGAAGACAGGAGGGCCCCTCCGGGCTGACCAAAGGGGGGGCCTCCGGGGGGGCCTCTGCCGGGGGGGGCCTCCGGGGCGGCCTCCGGGGGGCCTCAGGGCTCCTGTTCCAGCGGGGGGGCCTTCCGGGGGGCCTCAGGCTCGGGCATTTGCCGGCGCCGGGGCTCGCTTAGCGGGCCTCCAAGCAAAGCAAGCAAACCGTCAGGGCAGAACGCCCGAGGGAGCGAGGGCCCTTCCGGACTGGCCAAAGGGGGGGTCTTAGAGGGGCCTCAGGAAGGGCCTCGTATCCCGTTCGGCTTTTCGGTAGAAAACGAAAAGCATTCCGAAGAGCCTTGCCGGCGCCTTCGACTGCGCAGCGCATAGCATTGTCCAGGAGGGCTACAGGGCATGCGTGTCATGCATTCCGAAGCGGCCCCGCCAGTAATTAAAATCAAAGGACAAAGCCGGGGCGGTAGCCAAAATATGAAGCCAAAGCCAAGGACTCACTTCGTGACTTTGTTTATTGTGTCCAAAACCAAAGCGGCCCCGCCCGCAATCAGAATGAGAACCGGCGGACCAGCCAAGGTAGACAGCGCGTGGCGCCGCCCGGGATTGTTCGGTCGCTGCCTGCGTCAGAGAAATGGTCGGCGATGATCTGCTTGGCTTTATGTTCTGGGGCAGACGTCTGCGAACGCTCGCGAAAAAAAGAGGGGGCCTAAGGGGGGGGGGGGGGCCCAACCCACCCCCCTTGCCCTTGGGCAAAAGGGGGGGCCTCAGGGGGGGCCTTAGGGGGGGCCTCAGGGGGGGCCTTAGGGGGGGCCTTTTTTGGCTCTGGGCGTCTGCGAACACGAAAAAAAGGGGGGGCCTAAGGGGGGGCCTAACCCCCCCCCTTTGGGCAAAAGGGGGGGCCCCAGGGGGGGCCTCAGGGGGGGCCTTAGGGGGGGCCTTTTTTGGCCTCAGGGGGGGCCTGAGGGGGGGCCTCAGGGGGGGCCTTAGGGGTCGAGGGGGGGCCTGAGGGGGGGCCTAAGGGGGGGCCTGAGGGGGGGCCTGAGGCCCAGAATAGCGCTAATGATCATTATTAGTCTTGTAATTCATGCGAAAGTAGAGGTCTACAGAGGGTCGGAGAGAGGTGGCCGAGAGGTCAAAAAGAGGCGGAAAGAGGTCAAAAAGAGGGCAACAGAGGTGGAGAGGTGGCGCGGGAGGTCATTCGAGAGGGTGGCCGAGAGGTGGCGCGGGTATAGCCCGCTGAAGGACTCACTCTAAAGCTGCGCCTATAGGGACCAGAGGTGGCCGAGAGTGAGGGTGCCAAGAGGGTAAGCGAGAGGGGGACAGAGGTGCCGAGAGGTTGCGCGAATAAAGGCGAACCTCTCGCGCACCCTCTGGGCCACCTCTCGGCCACCTCTGTAGGCCTCTACCGGCGAGTATAGCCGGATTATTAGCAACACCTCTCGGGAGAGGTGAAAAAGAGGGTCTGCGAGAGGGTTAACAGAAGCCGAATCCGCCTGGCACAGAGCTGATTCTTTTGGGGCATTTTCATGCGTAGGCCCGCACCCTCTCGCGCCACCCTCACTCTCGCGCACCCTCTCGCGCACCCTCTCGCGCCACCCTCTCGCGCCACCCTCTCGCGCCACCCTCTTGCGCCACCCTCTCGGGCCACCCCCCGCGGGAACAGCTTCTGTCTGGGAATCAGATGGGCGGGCGCGGGAGGGTGATCAACAAAGGTCAGCGCGGCCCCCGTTCTGCTTCGGCACCTACGTCGTGGCGGTTTCTCCTCGCCCCCAAGCTTCGCTGCAGTTGCTCCCTGCGCATAGCGCCTAAAGGCGCGGGAAGCGCGCAGGGGCCCCTGCGGGTTGACATGGCGCAATGCGGCGCCAGTATTTTCCTCGGCCTGTCACGCTGCCCCCAAAGCTCTTGCGTCGCGGTCCGATCCGCCAATAGTCACACCCCAGCACAACAGCCGCGCGCTCCGGCGTTAGCCGGAGCATGGCTGGTATTTGTCATGCTAATCCTCCAAGAAAGTTACGCCTACAATCTTTTTTTCTTGGATAGTCGACGGAGGCGGAACAGTGCCTCTTGCAGGAGGCCGACAGCGCGCGGCTCCTCCCGATGGAGGCAAAACTGATCCCCTTCTGCAAAATCCCGAAGTTGCACCAGAAGCTGCGCGTGTTGGCGTTTTTGAAGAAGAGGATCTGGCTGCAGGTCAGCGAGAAAGCGCAGTGCTTCGGGGAGATCGCGACGATTTTGAAGAAGTCCAACCACGTGAAGCAGTTTTTGCGGCTGCTGTTAGTCCTCGGAAATTACGTGAACCACTCCATCGAGATTGAAGCGGACAACAAGTTATCAAATGCAAATATGTCTGGGTCTGGAAACTTGTGATGCTGGCTTGGGAATGGTGGACACACTGCAATACGCAGCCAAGCATGACAAGTTCTTGATCTTCTATGTGTTCTTGCGAGTTCTGCATGGCAAAGAAGTAACTGCGCTCTGCAAGAGACTTACATCCTGCTCATGCATCACAGAGTTAGGAGTCATTCGAGACAAGCATGACACACTTCCATTCCTTCAGACCGAGACATATTTGCAATGCATACAAGTCGTGGATGGAAACGAAGGAGAACGAAGCGGTCTGGGGCATCAGCGTGGAATATCCTATGGAAAAACGTCCCCAGCACCACATAGTTGTAATGCACGTCTGCATGCTGAAAATATTTCTCATGCGGAGCCCCATGAGAAGCAATTTTTAGTCGTTTTTCGCAATTTGTCATGCTCCACTCAGCATCATATGGCAGACCCAGATCTGTGATGCTGCTTTACTAGCTAAGTAAACAGGATTACACGACTACGAGGCGAACTTGTAATGCGCAACAGCCAAAGGCAAAGCTTGTTTATTTGTCTAGCAGCCTTTGACTTCCCATCTTGACTATGGTGTGGGGACGTTTTTGCTCAGGATATGGAAAGCCTGCAGAAGCTGTCCGACTTCAAGGGGAACAACGAGAAAACGCTACTGCACGGGATTGCTGCCTGCGACAAGAAACTGCTGCTGTCGATTCAGTTTGAGTTGAAGAACTGCCTGCAAGAAAATTGGACAAAGAAACTGGGCAAGCCGGTGCTGGTACTCTGAGGAAAAATGTCCCCACCCCAGAGTTGTTATGCAATTCTGCATGCCCAAAAAAGTCTCTCATGCGGAGCCCCATGAAAAGCAATTTCTACCCGTGTTGTGGAATTTGTGATGCTAGAAGCCGCATGATATCCTAGATCTGTGATGCTGCTGAACTACATAAACAGGACTACACTACAAGGACAAATTTGTCATGCGAAGCAACCAAAGCTGGTTGATTTGTCTAGCAGATTTTCCATCTTGACTCTGGTATGGAGACGTTTTTCCACAGGATAGCTGGCGGACGTCATTCAGGATCTGCTGCAATTGCTCAAGGAGATTGAATTTGTCAAGAACGCCACCTATCACACGTGGAAATCATTATTTGAAGAAGCTATCCGTACTTACTGCTCGTTATCGATACTAAAATGCAGCGATGATCATACATGATTACACATGATGTTGATGTCATGAGCTTGTAAATACCTGAATCTGGTGCATGCCATCGCAGACTTAAGTTTTCCTTTTTGGAAATTATAAATTTGCCAAATGCAATTTATACTTGAACTTGTGCGAGTGCGGATACTTGTTCATTAATTTTTGCAATGCATACTACCATGTACGAGAAAAAGCCGGCGATGACGGAAAGTTTGGAGAATTTGAACATCTTATCACATGTAAGAATGTCTGGGTCTGGAAGAATGCAACTTGTCATGCTGTCTTTGGATTCCAAAAAAACCTGTATTGCGTGACCAGCAACAGGAGTCCAGTTTGTGTTACGCGGAGAGGGATTTTCTCATGCGGAATAGGCACTAGGGAGCCCTCTAAAAATATGTGATGCTAGATCATGTATTACATGCATCATGGATCATACAAAATATGCATCACAAAATCCGACATCTTCCAGACCCAGACACTTTTGCATTTGATACATCTACAGCAGTCCGCTGTTCGAGTCGGCGCGGAATCAAATCACGGACTTGGAAAAGTCCGTGATTGTCGGCCAGCAGAGGTGTCTCGGTGCGGTGGTTGATCTCTGTGCGTATCTGGGATGTCAGGGGCCGTATTTATTATCTGATGTTGGGTGTATTTTTGCATACATTGATGAAGAGTAGCAGTAGAGCTAGACACGTCCTTGTCTTTTGCAGCTTTTTGATCATGTGCTTGTGCTCGTGACGTGTACTAGCCTGATCATTATTAGGATACAAGACCCGTGTGAGTAATTTATTTGTCGCGCTGCGCATCTTCACGGACGACGACGAACAACCAGCATACTACGTTGTACCGTATTATATATTTACAAATCAAAGCAAATATTAACTCAGGTACTACGAAGCTGCCGCCGCTACCACAGGACCAGCTCCGGCGCAACAGCAGAACATGAAGCAAATCATTCAGTCGACGAAAACTCTCGCGGCAAGCAGCAAGCTATGCATTGCAAAAGTATCGTACTCGTATAAATGCATTACAAATTTTCTCAGCATGAGAAATAAAATTTGTCATGCGGATGCACTTTAGGAAAAAATTTTGTAATGCATGACTGCAATTACTACGAGTGCGATACTTTTGCACGGGATGCAAGCTCGTAAACGAGATGTCGGACCAAGTCCAGTCGATTCTTTCCACTTTCCACGAGCTTGCCTTCGTGTTCACGAGCAAGCTGGAGGAAGAAGAAGTGGCGGCCGAGCAACTGAAGAAGCAAAAACACGCCGCAGAAATGATGAAATCCCTGCGGGCGAGCACCCAGGGCCAGCTCGACGGCGGTATCAGAGTCGTGCACAACTGCTCCCCCTCTTCCTCGTTTGTAATGCAAAATCCCAAATCCAGCCTGCGGTAGTGTTGTCTTGTGGCACTGTTTGCATTACCCAAAACAGTACTACAATCGGCGGGCGAAGAACATGTGCAGCTGTTTGTATTGCTGCTGATGCCATACAGTGATCGGGCGAGGGGGAGTTCTTGTGCACTCTCATAGACGGAGCATCATCTTCAAAAGGGACGACAAACGGACCCGCAGCTTCCTCATCCAGAGACGGCAGTGTCGCCCCGGGCGACCAGCGAAGCAGGGGGAGCGCTAGTACTACGAGAGGTGCGCCGTCAACCCGAGACGGTGCAACTTCCTCGAAGCTGACAAGTGCTAGTTCTACTGTAGGACCAGGCTCTACTTTTCAACCAAGCAGCCGGGTAAAAATAAGTAGCAGCCACTCTAGTTCTACTTCGAAAGACAGCACGACAACGGGCACTACGGCAGCGACGAACAGTTTTCCAAGACGATCGGCAGATAACAAAGACGCGATTTCTCCCCAAAAGCGCATGTCGCAGCAGGGTAGGCTGAGCACGAACAGCACGGACTTCTATGCGCTGCAAAAGTATCGCACTCGTACCGAAAATTGCATTTATGCATTACAAATCTGGTTCTCAAGGTGAATCTGCATTACAAATTACATTTGTTGTAATGCCGAGGCAATTTGTGATGCAATTTATTTTGGACTAGTCCTAGTGCGATACCTGTTTTGCAATGCATAATTTCAACCCGTCCGCGATAGCGGGCGGGTCCGTGAACAAACTGCCGGCAAGAAGCTCGGCGAAGTTCGATCCCGCAAAACGAGTGACCGATAGACGCATGCGGAAGAGGGGAAGCGGTGATAGTCCGCCGTCAAGTTCCTAACGCAGCATTTAGCATGTCAACTTTTCATCTATGCGCGCATGCGCAAGTATCGGCATGTTGTACGTAGAACTATGTTTGTCTTCTCTGCGCCAGGAACAGGATTTGTATACGCATGAGATTGATCCACTAGTACTACCAAATAATGCCCCGCTTGTAGCCACAAATGAAAATGCCAGATTTGAATCCTTTGATCTACGCTATTGCTAGTACAACGCGCTGCCTGGTAATAGAATTCTATGGACATCATTAGATCAAGTACGTCGAACAATATCTGCGTTGTAGACGAGCGATATGTAGAAGTCGACCCTGCTCCAGAGGTTGACCGCACCACGATTGTATCTCTTGTTGCGAGCATGGTGGTGTCTCTTGTTGCGCACGAGTGGTGTAGAGGACTGGAAACAGAAATTGAAAAACTCAGATCCATGCAAGTCTAAGAGGATCATCGATGAGCCGGTGCGTGATCTTGTTTGCATTTGCAAATAGACGAAATTCCGGTCCGAGTTGTATGTTTTTGAATTGGGCAGGGATTTGTCACTGCCTGCGATCTCACACAGGATCAAGAACTCGCGATCTCCAATCGATCCGCGACTCAAACCGCTCTGCGGCCAATCTCGATCCTTGATCCCGATCGGGAACTGCAAGCGATCCACGAAATAAAGACACCACCACGGCGCCTGCCCTTATGTTCCTTCAAATCAGCAACAGCACTAGCATGCTGTCAAAATTGACTTTCCATGATCCCGATCAGCATTTTCTTTATGTTTGTCTACTAGCCTTTTTGGCGAAAAGCAACAGATTTTTATATATTCGAACAACAAGCATAAGCAACTTCCCATAGTGGATCTATTTCAAGAATCGGGATGTCGCAGACGTGATGAATACGCTGCCATTTTCTTCGCAATATTTCAGGAAGTGCAGCAACTACAACCAGCAGTAGGAAGTATCGATTAATTTTAGTCTACTTCTTCTTCTTCATGTCTTGTCCGATTTTCTTGTACTTCTACTTTGTACTAGAGTGAGCATTTGAATTTAATGTACCACTGTATTTTTGCACCAAAAAATATCAACAACAATTCTAGAAAGAAGGTTCTAGGACCCATTTATTATATCTTTTAGGTCTGAAGAACGCAACTACTCCGAACTTGCAACAACAATTTGTCTACTATTGATGCGTCGATTTGTTTCGACTCGCTCTAACTAAGAAATAAGACTTCTTGTGCGTAAATTCAATTCTAAATAAATTTCGAATCATCTTCATCTTCAACGGTGCGAGGACGTCACTATCAACAACATGCTGTGCCGGTATAATTGTTCCACTTTTCATCTGGTACGGCTCCTAGCCGTGCTACTAGTAGTACCAGGTGGCAGAAGTCGTGTCTCTACACTAGTCTCCGCAGCCCGGGCAGGACCTCCGCCGACACACAATGGGCCGCCCAACAACCAGCGCGGGAGAAGGACCACGCGGGTCCAGAACAAAAAAATCGACCTGGGCGCCGGCGGTGTCCGGACAAACATGTTGGGCGAGAAAGTTCCGAGGCAAACCACTGTGCCGGTGACGAAGAACATGATTAAGGAATGCAAATATGTCTGGGTCTGGAAGATTTTTGCTACATTTGTCATGCATGTCTGACACGACTCAAGAATCTGTGATGCATGGGCACGAAGCGGCCCGCTTACGTGTCATGCAAAAACGCAGTTTGCCATGCGCAAAACGCAACACATAGGAACCGAAAACTTTGTCATGCTTGGCTCCGTATTGCAGTGGAACTCTCATTCACTTGCAGCATTACAAGTTTCCAGACCCAGATGACATATTTGCAATGCATAATGATTAAGGAGAACCGATTTCCGGATAACCGGATCATCGTTCGAACGCTTGGCGAGCAAGAGCCGCTCGCGGTCTTGGTCGTTATGCAAAGAAAAAAGTGTTACAGTTACACATTGTGTTGCAGACCAAGCAAGAGAGACAAGCTCTGTCATGCCGCATATGCATAGCCTCGTTTCATAGGTGTTTTCCCGTAGGATTTCTGCATTACAAGTTTTCTCTCTCATGCAGAGAAATTTGTGTTGCTGAATTCACTACACATGTGTAACTGTAACATTTTTTTCGTGGGATAGTCGTGGAAGAAGATCCACTGGCAGAATTTGACAAAAAACGCAGATTTAATATGTCGAGGCAGAAAAAGGAGAACTACAACCACCGGATGAATGAACAGAGAGAGGAAATTCTTGCTGGGCAGGTACAGGTAGGCACGTCGCACCAAGTACTAGAGGACTACACGATGAAAGGACGCGACCAGGTGTTGATGACCGCAGGAGGCAGTACAACTACTTCTTACGGCAACGGCTCCTCCTCTTCTTCCTCGACGGAGCATCTGCTAGAGGGCAGCACCAGCACCAGGTCCAGCTCCCCCAAAAATAACGCGTCGAAATCACAATCAGCAAGACGGAATGTGAAAGTGATCAACAGCGCCATTCAGTACGAAATTCCGATCGTGTCATCGGCGCAGCAAGTTTACGAGCACCTGCGGACAAAGCTAGTCGAGAAGAGTAAAGGAAATGATAAAGTCGGTGCACCAGCAGCAGCAGCAGCAGTACCTGGTGCCCGGCAGAGCAGCACCACAACCACGCCGGGAAAGGAGGAAAAAGCGCCGAAGACCTCATCTGCGACTACGACGAGCAGAACCTCGTCCTCAGGTACCCAGAACAACGACGAAGGGAAGGAGAACAAATCTTCAAGTGATGGTAAAAATGCGAACGCTTTTTTCGTTCAACATCAGCACTTTGACCCCTTGCGTTTCGCTTCGAATAAGTCCGTCTTGCTGATCCCGAGCATCCAAGTGAAAATCACCAAGCACGGGGAATTTAAGAACGCCGCGGAACACGATTTCATGGTTCCCATGAACTTCGACAATAAGAATAGCCCCAGCCTGTTCGATTTGGTGCAGCAAGCGCAAGCCGCCATCGCGAAACAACAGGAGAGTGCTGGCCGCGGGGAAGGTCTAGTGGAAGGAGCACAAGAAGCTGCTGGTGTGGCTGTGGCTGCGAACGCCAGTAAGAACTCAAACTATGCGAACATCGCCGTGGAAATCATTCTGATTAAGCAGCAAACCCCAGCAGAGAAGCTGATTGAGACACTGGTGAAAAACGTTCTCGAGGGGGACAATCAGGACGAGGCAACAAGTAGAATTTCACCGGAACAAATGAGCAGCAGTAGTCAACAAGGAAATACAAGTGCCACTGCTCATAGGCCGACGTCGACGAGGATTCTGTCCTCGAAATCTATTCTTCCGAGGTTTATCCGGACCGTGAATGAGAAGCGCCTTTACCTCGAGGAGCAGGACGCCATTGAAAAGTGGGCCTCGGAGGACGCAGGAACAGCGCGGCGTGAAACGCTTCGCACAGCCACGACCAGCAGTTCGTACAGTTTCTCTCCCGAGCTGCACCCTGCGAAGGTTTTGGTACTGGAGCGGATGCTTTCCTATGCGCGCAAGAAAAAAGCGTTGGCTGCGGCGGAATACGAGAAGCAACAACTGTTTGAGCACCAGCAGCGAATGCGGGACGAGGGCAAATCCGTGCAGGCTGTGAACACCACGGAACATATCCTATGTAAAAACGTCCCCACCTTCCCATAGTGTAGATGGGGACTCGGCTAGACAAGTCCACAAGTTTCGGCTGTTTTGCATGACAAATTTGGACTCGTAGTGTAGTGCTAATTGAGCTAGCTCAGTAGCATCACAGATCTAGTATATCATCCTGATTGGAGCATGACAAATTTCACTACACGGCTGGAAAATAAATGCTTCTCATCGGGCTCCGCATGAGAAACATTGTCAGCATGCAGATTTGCATGACAAGAACTCTGCTGGTGGGTACGTTTTTACACAGGATAGAACAACAGCGTTTGTTAAACACGTACACCCGGATCGCGAAGAACACTGTGGCGATATCACCTGTAAAAATGATTGGGTCTGGAAGAATGCGCGATTTGTCATGCAGCTTTTCCATGACCCATGAAGCCCAGAATGCAGGACCTAGCATGACACATTCTGCGCGATCTCTCTCATGCCTATCCTGCATGAGAAACTCCCTCCGGACTTGGTCAAAACTGGACGACTTTTGGTAATCATGCAACACAGATTTTTGCAGGCTTCAGATTTAGCATGAAAAGTTGCATTCTTCCAGACCCAGACACTTTTGCATTTGATAGGCGACGCCGTTGAACAAGGAGTTTACGGAAGAATTCACGAAGGACTTGGATAAATTCGTCGAAACGGACGCAGTCGTGAGAAAACAGCTGGACAAAGCGCTGCTGAAGTACGAGGCTGACCTGGAGGAAGAAAAAACCGCGACGATTCAAGATTTGCTCCAAGAGGACTAGTATGAAATGCAAATATGTCTGATTCTGGAAGGTTGGAACTTGTAATGCTGTCTTTGGATTCCCAAAAAATCTGCATTGCATGACCAGCAACAGGAGTCCAGTTTGTGTTACGCGCAGAGGGCATTTCTCATGCGGGATAGGCATTAGGAAGCTCTCTAAAAATCTGTGATGCTAGATCATGGATTACAGGCGTCATGGATCATACCGAATCTGCATGACAAACCTTGCACCCTTCCCGACCCAGACATATTTGCAATCCATAACTACAACGACGGCGACCCGATGGACGGCCCGGCGACTTTATCAAATGCAAATATGTCTGGGTCTGGAAGAATACAAACCTGTGATGCGCATTTCAGAACGCAGAAAAATCTCTCATGCATAGGGAGCAAAAGCTGCCCACTTTCTGTCACCAAAGTGGGGCACCTGTCATGCGGATTCGGCATCAAGGAAGCTTTGCGAAACCTGTGATGCTAGAGCTTCCATGCCAGACCTTCTGTGTCATGCAAAAACAGCACGACTCTTCCAGACCCAGACACTTTTGCATTTGATAGACCGATTGGGACGACCCGGCGCAGGCCTACAACTACCGCGTACAGAAGGTGCGGGACGAGCACGCGTATGAGGAGTTGCGGGTGTATTTGGACCAGGTTTTGCAGCTGTTGTGTTCTTCAAACGGGGTGCGGAAGGGGTTCAAGACGTATTTGCGGAAGTTGGTCGAAGACGAACTGGAGAAAATTGAAGAGGAAAAAATTTTTAAAGCGGAACAGGAGCAGGAGGAGAAAAAACAGAAAGAGCAGGAAGAGCGACAAAAACTTCGAGCTGCGACTTTAGGACCCTCCTCTTCTTTTTCATCCGCAAGTAGTTCATCTGCACGTGGAATAAACAGACCCGCAGGTGGTCGTGGACCTCGTGGTTCTTCTGGTTCGGCTAGTACAGCTTTATTGCCTCTCCCGATCAGTGGTGGACCCCGCCATGAAGGAGTGGATCAAGAACTACCTTCTCGGACGTCCGTATCTGCCCTGGGTCTGGACAACCCGATGGCCTCTTTCCGCAGGTTTCAGCCCGTCGACATGGAAGCCCAGATCGACTTTTTCCCCGGATACCCCGGAACCCGGGAGGAAACCATCCGGCGATGGCGGGAAGCGTGGGCCGCGGAGCAGAATCAGAATCAGCAGCAACAAATGAACAACGGTCATCAACCTCCTGCACCACCGGCACCGCCGCGCGCTGCACTGTTGATTCCCGATGCAGCTCGGCGACCAGGAGCACCACTGAATGAAGATCCGCCGCAACACCTGCCAGGACAGGTTGCTGGGTACTATCTACAGCATGAGAACCAACTTCCTCCGGTTCCGCCGTACAACCCAGCCGAGCATCACAATCACCAGCCTCAAGCCTTGCCAGCAGGTTTCCAACCTGCTCACGAAGCGCAGCTGCCAGCCGGATTCCAACGTCAAGCCTTGCCAGCGGGATTTCAACGTCAAGCACTGCCAGCAGGTTTCCAACGTCAACCCTTGCCAGCGGGTTTCCAACCTTCGTATTCGCAACCAGCAGTTGTGGCTTCTACCCGCCCACCAGGACTTCCTCTACCCGGCGCCCCCTTCGTGTCAGAGGAGCTTCCAAGAAGACCCCCCTCGGCGGAGGAAAAAAAACAACTTCCAAGCACTGAATCGAGGAATGGAACAACTTCCAGCACAAATTCCTTGTCGACAGAATCACTACCGAGGTGGAGCAGCTGCTGGTCCGCTGGGTTTTGCAGCAGGTCGCGAAATTTACCAAGCGAATTGTGGACACAACTCTGAAGTACCACGAGCTGAACGTCGAGAAGCTGTTGGAAGACAAACGGGCGATTTTGCTGCAACTCCGGCGCCAGGCCGGTGGTCCGAACGCTGAACTAAACGCTAATGTAGTAGCCGACACGATGTCGGCCAAAGTGGACCATCGCGGGGATTTGAACTACTTGCCGGGGACAAGTGAAATTCACGTGAAGTACATGCTCGACCACCCGCTGTCGCGGAAAGATTTTGCCCGGATTCAAAACTTCGTCTGGGTGCTGGATTACGTCGTGAACGCCGTTGGGATTGGAAGCAAGAACGGCTTTGACGACTTTGCAGGCTTTTTCCGTACTTCATCCTCTGCCGCGACGAGAACAAATGCAAACCAACAAGGTGGTTTGCTACAACTACCCTTTATTCCAAACGGCGGCGACCCGCATCGCAATATCGAGGATCAGCTGCGGGATCCGAATAGTGAGCGGCGGTTTCTCGATGCGGAGCTTGATTTCAAAGTGGAGGAGCGCAAATTGGAATCACTTTCGTTACTCGGGCAGTTTGTCGGGTTTCTGCTGCTAGATCCCTCCTTCGAGTCGTTAAGTTACAATTTGGAGGAGAATCTCCAGCGGGCGCGAACCTTCGCGCACAACCCGAATGCTGGCCGGAACCACAAAGCCGGGTATGGGAATTCGCTTTACGTGGCGGTCGTGAAAATGATCAAGCACTTGAAACAGACCAGCATTCACCGGGATTCCCCTTTCCGCGGGTTCCGACAGCACGGCGGCCGCGTGATTTCCCCCCTGAAGCTGGCCGCGTTTTTGACCACGTTTCAGCTTGAAACGCCGGCGTTGTCGACGAAAATCGAGCAACTGCAGCGCGGCGCGGAGCGGAGAAGCTACTTTGAAGACCGGCGGCCGCCGGGCGCGGACGAGATCTGGCGGGCGATCAACGATCCGGACGGACGACTGGGTATCCTGTGCAAAAGTATCGTACTCGTATTGCAATCATGCATTACAAATCTTCTTTTTAAGGTAAATCCGCATTACAAATTTCATTCCTCATGCTGAGGAAATTTGTAATGCATTTATACGAGTGCGATACTTTTGCAATTCATACTGGGGCAGAACCGGTTATACTCCGCCGACCCCTCCTCTGAGATGACGATGCGGCACATCAGCCCGGCGGTCCGAGAAGCCTGGATGTTGGGAAGAAATCCGCTTTTATCCAACGAGGGTATATTCGGCCTGTACCAACCAAGCGGTCTGCACCTTTCGCTATTCGAGCAGCTCGCAAGCGACCCGACGCGGGTCAACCCAACGTGGCAGCGATTACCTCCGAATATTAGGCACCGTTTCGAACAGTTGCAATTCAATTATTCGCTCGGTTTGGTGAAAAGGTTCAAGGAAACGGTGTGGACGACTTTGCTGCAGGATTTCTGGTTGGTCATTCAAGATTTGGAAGACCGGAAAGAGGAAGAGGGGCGGCAACCTTTGTTCAATTGGACGGATGACGGGCCGAACGGGAACTGGGAGCGCAACATTCCCGACTTACCTTATCGTATTTCGAGCAAAAACCGCCGGGAGTTCGTGAATATACTCGGAAGGGTGTATGAAAGCGACGCTGCATTTTACAGACAGGTGGCCAGGCTCGGCGTTGCGGACGCGGACGGCGGACTGGTCTTTCGCCCCTTGTGATTGATAAATGTATTTTACACTGGTGAGGCAGCGACGCTGCGCACGTATCGCGAAGAAGCTGGCACAATATTGCTAGATCGGAGTAGCAGGATTAGCATACAGTGTTAGAAGACCATTTAAGAGAGAACATAAACTTTTGAGGAGGCGGCCTATTGCTGGTAAAGAACTTCGAACTATATAGCTTGACGTAATGTGTATGTGAATATCTCCTCGAGAAGAACCACGCCGAGTTTTGAATGATAATCACTTTTTCTTGCCCGCCTTGCAGTTCCGCTGATAAACAAGTCATTTGATTTGAGCAGTGAAAGAATATTGTGCAGAATTAAAACGGATAGGGATACTACTAGACGCTCGCAGTCTAATATTCAAGTACTAGTTGCATATCTCCTTTTTTTTTTTAGGAAGAAAGCCCTCAACAGCTTCCTTTGACTTTTTGTTTTTACTACAGAGAATAAGCCACCTGATGTTCTATACTGTTATTTGTATTCGCTTTCTTTAGGGATGCACATGCATCATATGCTCGAGTTGTATACGGAGATTGAAATTATGCACAAAGAGGCATGATTGATTCTTGATACAGGATTCTTATTTTTGTGCATTTTTTCACGTAATTTTTTCATAAATTTGACCTCTTAGCCTACGTCAATAAATACCATTTGTACAATTCAATTAGGATTAGCCAGCTACGAGAAAAACCATTACAGCACGACTGCCTTGCGATACTTATTTGGTAGAAGTAGACCACCACCTCAATAGAATCTAAAAACAGACGATGTTCATACCAGGCAACATGCAGCTAGTACTAGACCTTGTTTCAATACAGTTGGATCACGGCGACTGCTTTCGGACCGATGCTATCGAAATAAATTCCATGGAAGCTCTGCTCGCACCTATCTATAAGCTATAGAAAAAAAATATATCGCTCTTCGTTCGATCGCTGTTGAATTAGAACTTCCACACAAGAGAAAGTTACAGGCCTTTAGCACTGCTTGACAAGAACCAAGATAGTGAAGAAGTAACGCGCTACTTTTTCTTTCTACCATCGGGTGATCATTGACCACAGCTCGGGTGATCATTGACAGCTGTTCCGTGTTCGAGTCGTATTGGAAAGGCGAGAGGTAACGACAGATCTCATTCTCTCAGAGAATGAGATCTGTCGTTACGAAAAGAAAGGAAAATTAAGGATCATCATACCACGATAATTTTAATTATGGCCGCAGTGTCTGTCGTCACTCACAGCAGGATCGCAATAAACTCTGAATCCTGCGATATGCATCTGTGGACTCAGTCGGAGTAGCAGATCACAATTCAGTTCTATGCGAAGAAGATGAAGAGGGGAAGGTTCTTGCCCAAAAAATGTTGAAAATCGGTTTACAGGAAGACGGAGCTGAAATTACGAAGAGTCAAAACTAAAGCGAGGATCAGAAGTCACATCATGCTGCAGGTCATCGGTCCCTCCAGGAAATAAATGTACGCTCAGAAGGATCCTCAATATTTTCTCGATCCAGAAGTGAATTGATGCAGCTCCTCAATGATCTTGATCTCGATATTGTAATGGCATAGAAAAGTCTAGAATGCACCGATCTCTTGCCTGACATATTTTATTGTGTCGGTATCCATTTGGACAAGATTTGGATTTCGATTCCGAACTATTCCTTCTTTTGTCCCGAAAACAAAAATCGATCCAGCTTTCCATCCTGCGACTTCAATCCTCCCACAGCCAACAGATGCCTCCAGTGCCTTGCAACAAGTAAAAGTTGAAGAATTGCCCGCAAAAGACGTCGTATTAGAGCCTGTTAAAGACGTAGACGCATTGTAGCTGTACCGTTTGCACAATTATCCATTTCTTGGTACGTACGAAGACCAATTAAAAACTTACCACTTCTAATTCAAAGAAAACTGCTATCTCTACTTGCACAAGATTTGCAATTACTGCTCTAGCGATACTCGACTAATCAGCGTCTAGAACTACTTCTGTTCAAAACTACAACTAAATCATTGATTTTTAAGTACCACAGAAAGCGAATAAAGCGGTGCTGCCTTACAATTGCATCACAGTTCTCGTCTTTGCATCATCACAAACTGCGTAAAATAAAAGCGCAATAACTTCTACAGTGTTGTGCAAAAATCAAAAAACAATCGAAAATGATTTCCCGTTGTTCCTACGTGAAGGCCGTCGTGCTATCCGTGCTCTGTGTTCGCAACGAGTTTGATATTTACCAGAATGTCGCTGCGTTGCAAGCGGGCCGTGGTGTTCGTCCTGGCGCGGCCAGCAGATCCGTTACGCCCACTCCGGCAAAGCGCTCCCCGTTAGCGCCGAAGAGTCCGCCGCAGGCGAAGGCGGGACAAGAACACCAAGAACTTGTTCAGGTCGGAGGGGCATCTTCTGCCGCTGCTTCCCCCCTTTCCTCGCCGGCGGCCAGGAAAAGAAACCGGCGGAAGGGGAAGGCCTCGACGTCGCGGCCACGCTCCACCAGCAGCAGTAGACGGCGGGCCGCCGAGGTTGCAGTTGTTCCGGGTGATGAGAACGCGGACGCTATTTACACGAGCAGCAAAACAATGTCTATTGCGCAAGAACCGGGTGATCATCCTGTACTACAAAAGCAGGATCAGCATCAAAAAGACAAGCTGGTCATCCGTACTCTTGGCGGGGAACTGGCCACTTTCGTTGTCAGCCCGGATCCGCTGGACCAAGAAAATAACCGCGAAACATCAAGACCTGGAGCTTCATTCTGGTATGACAGACGTGACGGTCGTCGGGGTGGGCCGCGACGCGGAACAAAGGGCAGCAAGATCACGAACAAAAAAATCACCGACACTGATAAAAATTTCGTCAAGATCCACACGGTGCAAGAGATGTTTTTCTACTTCAACAACCTGAATTCCCAGCGTCTTTCCGGGAAGGAAAACCCCCTGCGCTTTGCCCAGGAATCCGAGTTCTTGTTGAGTGGGACCTTGGTGAGACTTTCTGCGGCGTCCGGACTCGGGCCAGGACAACATGTCAGTGCGTTGATCACGGAATGGAAACAACTTTACCCACAGTTGTTCACCCCAGACTCATTCTACGGGAAAACGGGAAAAATTGAGCTCACACTGGTCAAGAAGCAGACGGCGGTGGAGAAATTTCTGGAAACGGTGGTCAAAAACGTGTTGGAGAACAAAGAAACAACGACTAAAAATATCCTGGAAAACTTAGTCGACCGAGTGCACAACAAGAAAGACACGTTAGAATCGTCCAGCGCGTTTTCCGGGGACTCTTTTGACTTTTTCCACACGGATTTCCTGAAATTGAACGGGCAAGCGCAACTGATCCCGCACCTCCACCCTTCCAAAGTTGCGGTTTTGGAGGACGCGGTAAAGTTGAGCAGCCGGTTAACGCAGAGCGTAAATGCGGTGCCTTTAGAGCAGGATGTGGAGGTAACCGAGTACTTAGACGACGACCTTCAGCAATTGGACAAAATCGTCGAAGAAACCCCCGACATCCAAGATTCCCTGTCCGTCGCCCTCTCCCTTTACGAAGCCGAGGAGTTGGAAACACACGCGGGTCCGGACCAGGTCCCGGCGTTCGAGGACTTTCTCGCGGGTGTGGGCGCGGATCAGCAGCTCCGGCGCGAGGAGCAAGAAGAAATGGAGCTTGCGAACCACGAACTGCAAGTCTCCGCCTTTCAGGCTTGGATTTTCGAAAAGCGGGAGAAATACGCGTATCCGATGCTGAAAAATTTCCTCGAACTCCTGCTCTTCGCCCTGCGCGCCGGAAGTCCGGTCCGGGTGGAGTTGAAGCACTACATCCGGAGTTTGGTCAACGCAAACTTATCCAAGGATCTGATGAATCAAGATGGTAAAAATTTGGAAGCGGCATTGGCAAAGCAGAACCTGGTGCCCGCTTTGACCGCAGAAATCGAGTTGTTGATCGTCCGCTGGGTGTTGCAGCAAGCCGCGAAGTTTCTTGGGCGGGTTTGCGACGCTACCATGGAGCATTTGAAGCTGAACGCGGAGACGAATGATCTTTGGTGGCACGAAAACACGGTAAGTGGGGACCTCATGCCGATGCACCAGCAGATCCAGTGGCGGTCGCTGGCGGGCTACTTGCCCGCAGATCACATGATCCACGCGGTTCACCACCTGGATCCTGTGAATCCGAATGTGATGAATCCCGACCGCGCGGCGCATGTGACCGCGTGGAACGAATTGGTCAAGAGAAGTTTCGGAAAGGTGCAAAACATATGCATTGCAAAAGTATCGTATTCGTATAATTGCATATACAAATTTCCTCAGCATGAGAAATAAAGTTTGTAATGCGGATTTAGCTTGAGAAAAAGATTTGTAATGCATGTTTGCAATTACTACGAGTGCGATGCTTTTGCACAGGATAAAGCATGGTCTGGGTTCTGGACAAATTGTTCGAAACGATGCAGTCCATGGAATTCGTCCAAGCCGATCATGAGTTTGCCGCGAATATCCAGAGGAGAAACGTCACCACCCCAGACGAGTCAAGATGGGAACTTAGCAACACAAATCAGCATGGTTTTGCTGCTGCGCATGACAAGTCTGGGTCTCTAGTGTACAACTCGTGGTTGGCTAGTAGTGATGAATTATCCGCATCGCAAACCTAGCTCCTCATCCTGGCTAGAGCATGACAAAGTCCCGGTGAGCATGAGAAAGTGCTGCTCTTGGGGTTGCGCATGAGAAACATGGTAGGCATGCAGATTTGCATGACAAATCTGGGGTGGGGACGTTTTTACATGGGATAGCGAACATCGCACTGATCGGAGGAGAACAAATGGTGGAACGCCAGATCGCGCAGCAAAACCAGCGGCACCCCCGGCTTCCAATCGAAACCGAGCAGGAACTGTTGCGGCGGAACGCGGATTTCAACGAGGACGCTTGGGATGTGGAGAAGACGGTCTTGCTCGGCCAGTTCATCGGGTTTATGCATTGCAAATATGTCTGGGTCTGGAAGGTTGGAACTTGTGCTGCTAACTTTGGACTCTAAAAAAATCTGTATTGCATGACCAAAAAGAGGAGCCCACTTTGTGCTACGCGCGGAGGGCATTTGTCATGTGGGATAGGCATCAGGAAGGGTTCTGAAAATCTGTGATGGTAGAGCATACATCACAAACAATCCTGGGTCATGGAAAATATGCATGACAAACCTGGTAACCTTCACCAGACCCAGACATTTTTGCATTTGATAGGGTTTCTGCTGTTAGATGAAAACCGGTTCGAGTCCTGCTATAATGTAACCGAGGGTGCCATGCGGGCGCACTTCACCTATCAACTGCAAAAATGTCTGGGTCTGGAAGGTCACAACTTGTGATGCTGTCTGTGGATTCTATAAAAAATTTGTATTGCAGGACCAGCAAGAGGGGTACAATTTGTGCTACACGGATAGGGCATTTCTCATGCGGTAGAGGTATCACAAAGTAGCCCTCTAAAAGTCTGCGATGCTACGTCATGCATTACAGGCATCATGGGTCATGAGAAATATGCATGACAAATCTTGCATTCTTCCAGACCCAGACATTTTTGCATTCGATATCACCGGCGTGGGCCGCGGCGTTGGCCGTGTTGGCCCGATGGTGAACCACGACACAAGCTTTCACGTCACCATCGCGAATATGCTGCATCATTTGCAGTATGCATTGCAAACGTAATCGTACTAGTAGTAATCGCATTACAAATTGGCTCAGCATAACAAATGGAATTTTTTGGCATGCTGTTTTGTCTTCGGATGGAGATTTGTAATGCATGACTGCGATTACTACGAGTGCGATACTTTTGCAATGCATATGCAACGGGCCTCCCAGCTTTCCATGCACTACCGAGGCTTCCGCCCGGGACCGCAGATTGGCGACAATCTCGGTGGGGTGGTGCTGTCCCCCTTGAAGTATCAGAAGGAAAAATCCACCCTCCCCACATCGAAACAAAATTTCTGATGCTGGATTTGCGTACACAAATCAGATTTGTCTTGCAGGAGAGGACTGCAGGCCCATATCGTGCCGGAGTCGAGAGGTTTTGGCCTAGGCACTTAGCATGAGGAACGTCTATGCCGTAGGCCCAACAGCATTACAAACCGCCTGCAGAATGGGGCGGCGCCTGTGGCTCTGCTTTCTTGCATTACAGATGCGATTTGTGGTCACAAATCAGCATGGCAAATTTTCTGAGGTGTGCCTTATCGATATGGGGAGGGGGGATTTTTCCTTACGATATGAAGGTCGCGGCCTTCTACAGCTCTTACATGCTGGAGGCGAGCGGCATGTCCAGGAAAGTGGAGCGACTGTGGCAAATGGGAGAACGAAATTACTACCGATCCGGCCGACTTGGCGCCCGGTTCACCGAAAATGCTTTTCACAAAAACCCAATGTTCCGGGAAATCATCCTGCTCGACCTTCCCAGCCTCTTATCAAACAGTGCGGGGCCAGTGCTGTACGATTCATTGGGCCTGCAGTTTGTTCATTTGCTCGACGATTTGAGTATTCCAACAGTGGTTCAAAATTTCAACGAGACCCCCCTCGGGCAGATCTGCCCCATGGAGAAGAAAATTCTGCTGATGCAGCTGAAGACGGGAGACTTTTCTCATCAGTGGCCCACCGGAGTGGAGATTGGACCGCACGACCAGCAGAGCCAGTTGCCACTTCTGAAGGCCTTCCAGCGCACGTTTTTCGCCGTCGCGCTGCGGGATTTGCTGTGGCTACACCGGGATCATGAGGTTCGGAATCAGGCCTTTTTACAATATCACGACAGTCCCCACGCCATCACCGTGCACGACCACTACGATCCCATCCCAGCGGATAAACAGCAACACATGCAAGTGCTGCTCGGCCCAATGGCGGCGCAGGACGCAGTCTTCCGGCAACAGCTGCACAAGCTTTTTCCCCACATTTCGGGAGAAGAATTCGTCAACCACAATCAGGTGATCACCGTGCAGCCGTAAATTTTGACATTGGACGAGGAGAGTAGAGTCTTGTCGATCTTTGGAGCCGCACTATGCATACTGAGCACATATTTCGTGTTCCTGGTCTACTCAAGGAAAATGCAAATAGGCAGGTGGGTGCCATGTACTTGTACATCCGCAACGATGTCGCTGTGGGCGGGCAGTCTAAGTCTTTATTTGCAACGGTTTTTATTTATTTTTGCATACATGCAGGCACAGGCAGGCACACATTTAGGTTCACTGTCGTTACATGATTTTAGAAAGCAACAGCTCAACTACATTTCTTCGCTTTTGACCTTCTGAGAAAGTCGAGATGTTGACGTGTTGAGCTAGACATGATGTATGATCCCAAATTAAAAACTTGAACTCGACAGCATAAAGCTCACCATAAAAGAACAATTAAAACCGAAACTGCGCTGATTTCAGCATGCATAAAGTTTGCATCAGCGTGGCATATTATATGTGATTTTTGCACTTGCGGCATGGCGCTAGTTCGGCAACGAGGTTTTTTAGAAATTTGCCCCAGTACTCTTTTCACAGTCAATTTAGCCCTTTTTATTTTCTTGCGTCATGATCTTTTTTCGCTTTAGCTTATACATGTACTTCCTAGCAATGTGATAGGTAGCGTGCTTAAGCTATAGTCTCTATTATTCCCAATCCCACTTAGCAGGTGGGCGACTAAATCGACCGATTCGTCTGGAGCTGGAACGCAAGAACATGTCAACGACTGCAATCAACACATTTCTACATTAGCTGTATAATACCAAATTTGTCCTGTACATGAGTACATGCGTTTGGAGGCTGCAAAGCAGCCCGGAGAAGATACAACAAGCAAAGGGCTTGAAGAAGTGTTCCATCTTTCTGCCGGCGTTCTTGTCGTCACTTTCGGTGCGTGCTCAGAAGTCGTGTGATTCCAACTACCATCAAAGCGAATTATTGCCACGGATGCCCGAAGATTGCTCGCCCCATCGCGATTCTATCTCATGAGCCCGTTTTGAATTTGAAAGAGCGCTTGCACGTTTCGCTTGTTACAACTTCAAGAAAATTTACATAAGAAGCCGAACCCCCCGGCGGGCCCGCCACCCGGAAGCTCGACCTTCGTCAAAAAAAAAAATGTCCTCCACCCCCGGTTGCGATTTCGTTCTTTTCGGCGCCTCCGGTTTTATCGGACAGCACATTCTGGAAGCGTTGGAGAAACAAAACCTCAAAGTTGTCACCAACCCCAAGTCGCTCCGCCTGGAAAACGCAGAGGGGGTGCTGAACTTTATCAAGCAGAGCCAACCCATCCGCTACGGCGTGATTAATTCGGCCGGGGTGCGCGGCCAGCCAAATATCGACTGGTGCTTGGACCATCCTTGTGAAACGATCGAGGCCAACATTCTCGGCCAGCTGAACGTCGCGCGGGCGTGTCGCGTCTTGGGCGAAGAAGTTGTAGAGGGTGAAAATATCAAAGCAGAAAACGCGACCAATCAAAACCCTATCCACTGCACCTTCGTCGGCAGCTGCATGGTTTACCCGCCGATGGAACCAGAGGATGCAAGGATCGTGAACCAAGACTACTATGACGAGGAGAAGGACACAATAAAAGGAGCCGACTACATCGACAACATAGACTGTAAAGACGGGTCAACCATGCCCACGGTCCATTTCTACCGCAAAGCGCGCTGCGTCTTAGAGGATCTGCTCAGCTACTACCCGAACGTGCTGAATCTGCGCGTGCAATTCCCGATCTCGATGAAGGACAGGATATCCTGTGCAAAAGTATCGTACTCGTATTCCAATCATGCATCACAAATCTTTTTCTTAAGGTAAATTAGCATTACAAATTTTATTTCTCACGCTGAGGAAATTTGTAATGCATATATACGAGTACGATGGGATGCTTTTGCAATTCATACAGGACATTCGAGAACAAGCAGTCGCTGCTGGGGAAGCTGTATCAAGTGAAAAAATGTCTGGGTCTGGAAGATTGCCAGGTTTGTCATGCATATTTTGCATGACCAATGACGCCTGTAATGCATGCCCTAGCATCCCAGATTTTTAGAACGCTTCCTGATGCTTATTCCGCATGAGAAATGCCCTCCCCGTGTAGCACAAAATGGACTCCTTTTGCTAGTCATGCAATACAGAGTTTTTTTGGAATCCAAAGACAGCATCACAAGTTACCACCTTCCAGACCCAGACACTTTTGCATGTGATAAGCTACGGAATTTCACGCGGGTGGACAAAGCAATGAACAGCATCACCTTTCTGGAGAACTATGCATCGCAAATATGTCTGGGTCTGGAAGGTTGGAACTTGTCATGCTAATTTTGGACTCTAAAAAAATCTGTATTGCGTGACCAGCAACAAGAGGAGCCCAGTTTGTGCTACGCGGGGAGGGCATTTGTCATGCGGGACAGGCATCAGGAAGGCCTCTAAAAATATGTGATGCTAGATCATGCATTACAGACATCCTGAGTCATGCAAAATATGCATGACAAACCTGGTAACCTTTCAGGCCCAGACGCTTTTTCACTTGATAACAACTTATGCCCAACGATTCCGCAGTTGGTGAAAACGAAAACGTGTGGGAATTTGAACTTCGTCAATCCGGGGGCTGTCGATTACGAAAAGGATCTGGTTCAGCGGTTGAAGACAAAACTGGAAAATTACAACCCAGAGATACGGGATAACACAACAAGTACAGCCGCGAATCAGCAAAAAGGAAGCCGAGGCAGCATTTTGCTAAGCACGGAGAAATTGATGCGGACGGCGCACTCGCCCGACTTTCCCGTTTTGTCCAGTAGAGAGTGTCTCGATCTCATTTTTGGAGAGTGATTGTACGCACTGCAAGCTTAAGCTGATGTTGCAGTTGCTGTAATAGTACACAGGAATTGCGCGGCTAGATTTCATTTATCGAAATACAACAAGAACACCTTTCATAATTTTGCGAATCGTGGCAACAAGTAGTGCTTCGTTTGCATTCGAACTTCGATGCTATCGCTATCTCGACTTGATCGCTGTCGATGCTTGGGTGTCGTGTCGCTACGTAGAACAACTAGAAAGAATGTATCCTCGCTCTCATCGATTGTACGCAGCGCTCGTATGATACTCGCATGCAATATTGCAAGCTGATGTTGTCGATAAATGCATTTAGAGTGTTCATGCCGTCAATGGAGAACTGCACTAGTGGAGGAAGAGCGGAGAGGAGGCGTGAAGTAGAAGGAGTTGTGACTAGTAAAGGCTTGTTGAAGAACTTTCTTGACGGTCCCAACTGATCCTTTTTCACGGCACACAGTGTCTTGGTGTGTTTCTTCATCCTGATTCATTGTTCAGAAAATATTTGATAATCATGCGATTCAAAATTATCCCGAACCAAAAAGTTAGCTGCAGTCAGAGTAGTCAGTGTTTCAGCCTGAGGTTGTTGTAGTAAGTCCAGGTTGTCGTGTCCTTGCTCCAAGGGTACTAGTCGAGGACTGTTTTTTCCATCCAGTTTGTTGAGTGTTTTTATAAAGCAGGGCAAACGCACAAACCTTCCATCGTTGTCCTATCTTTTGCTTTTCAACAGCTGCGAAGTAAATTGCCACACAGATTTTCTACCCGTGCCTGTTGCGTGCTGTTGTGCCGGGCCGGCGGGAGAGCCACCTCATCTACAAGTGGCTCGTGCGCCGTGTGGAAAACTACAGCAGCAACGACTCCTTACTGCGGGACCCGCGAAACCACCGGAATTTTCTACGACACATCCTCAGCTGCAGAAACAACTACTTCTCGAGGACCTTCTGCAGTAGATCTGCATCTCGTCCTTGTCCAGCAGATAATTTCTAAGGATACCCAGTATCAACGATGTACTGAAGATTGATGTGTCAAACCAGCAAACTTCTTTACCAACAGATTCTCATCCTTGTGTAAGTACAACGACGAGAAACTACAGAACGACGACCACGATTGCGAAATGTAAAGACGAGAAATAAATTTACCACAAACCAAGTTTTATTCAAAGGAGAAGACGAAGAGCAGTTGCAGTACAAGCAGCGACGATCAAGATCAAGATGCTTGCAGCAGTCTGAAATTATTTTGTGCGAGCACATCGAGAGGACTACACTTCCTTGAAGGACCATAGTACAACCAAGGACAAGGAGAACACCAGAAATTATAGGGGGGACAACTCCCTACTCACACGCTTTTTGGACAGGATTAGCATAGAAGAGGCGAACAACACGGAAAAGATGGAAGCGGAGGACTTCCTGGACGATAACGAAGAACACGGGGTCGGTGGTTCTCCTGCTTTACTTTATCCCGCAAACAAAATGACAACTAAGCCCACGATGAGAAACTACAAGCAGCAGCTGCAGCATGAGAGCTGTGGTTCTGCTGCAGATTCTGATGAAAATAAGTGTCAAGACCACGTCAACAAGGAGGCGGACCACCAGCACGCTTCCCATCAGCAGCTGTTCGACGGTTCCTCCCCCTCGACTTACCTTCCGTCGGAGGGCGCTGCGTCGCCGCCCGATGACCACTACACTTCGTTCGGCGGTTTTTACAATAACCACCATAGCATGTCGGGGTTTTGCAGCTCGCCAGAGGACCAACACCATCAACTGTACTTCGGAGCGTACCAAAATGATCCGAATACTGGAGGAGATGAAACTGGGGCACCGTGCCACTTTTTATCTTCTTTCGAGCAGCGGAAGCAAACCTCGGTGACCAGCATCACGAACACCGGGGCATCAACCACGTGTGAGAACAACGATGACAGTACCAACAGGGTGAGCGAGCAGTTGTCTGACTGTGCGACCCTGATGAACGGCGGTTTTGGTGGTTGCAACAACACAGCGGGAGAGCATGACCAAGACGGTGGCTCTACGGTGAACGACGTGTCTAGAGCTTCAGTGGAAGTGTTGAATCACAGCACGGTGCTAAACGACCTGAACGTCGCTAGGGTGTTGTCATGCTCACCGCTGGTAAAAACGACGACGAGCAACAATGCCGGCGAGAGAGACGAGGAGGAAGAGGCGAACATAAAGCGGCAACAGGACATTCTGGAGTACAACAAAATCATGAACATCAACGACCAACGGGATCATAGTTCTTGCGGTAGTTCTGTCAACAAAAACCACCCCAGCAACAGCCTGAAAAACACGCCCACCTCCATCTTCGATGAATTAGAGCCCGCGCCGAAGCAGCAGTCTTCGCCCAGTTTGCTACCGCCGCCGCCAGCCCGGCCACCGTGCCTGGATTTGAAACTGCTGAAGGAGCAAAACGAGCGGCATGCCTTGAACATGAGCGGGGGGAGGCGGTCAGGAGGGAACAAGAACGTGACCGGTGACGTGATTAACACGACTGTAAGTGAGGACCGTTTGATGTTACCGAGAGCGGGAACGACTTCAAACGCCGGTGGTCCGCAGGATTTCTGGCGTCAGGAACAACGACAGCAGGGGCAGTACACCAACTTCGGGTTTTCCGCGGAGAACGAAATTTACGAGCAGAACTTGCAACAGGTAGCCAACGAAATTTACCAGAACGGGAACTACAGCACTCTGGGGAGAGTCGATTCCGCGTGCAATGGAAGCGGTGGTGGTGGTGGTGCTGTGAAGCAGGGGACAGGTAGGTTTGGTGGCATTTGAGTAAGTAGTACTCTCGGTTCTGAGTGTCATTTTTACGGCGTGATGATGCTTGTGTTGCGCATTAAGAAGTACTATACTCTTATCACATTCACATCCACACTACGCCGCGTAAGCGTATTGAGCATGACAAAATTGTACTTTTAACTCAGGCCCCCTTCCCCGTGCGGCGACCGCAAACAGCAATAACACTCGTAGTGATTACTTCGGGTCTCCGGATAGCGCCGACCGGGCGGCCGGACCCTCCTTGAACTACAATCGGTTGAAGACTCTGATAGGATCCCAACGGCAGCGGACTTTGCAGGCGCAGTATAGAATATAGGATTTTATTGGAGCTTCGGTTTCTCTGCAGCAGCATCTTGTGACAACTCTGTACAACTTGCGCTGGCATGCCGAAACATTGTTCGGCTATGGAAACTGCTTCAACATACCCCCATTCAGCGTGGATGTCGTGCATGACCAACCTAAAATAAAACTCATCAGGAACCAGCAGCGCCAGCAAAACTCGGCGAGTCGCAGCTCCCCTGGTTTACGTTTCGTCGCGGCCAAGGACGTCCTTCCGACGAGTCAAAGTGCGGTACTGCATATTCGCAGCAGTAGGAACAACAGCCGTAGATCCTCGCCGGCGCAAGAATCGGAGCAAATTTCGTCCATCGCGCTTCCCAGTTCTGATGGCAGCTTCGCAATTCCGACGCCCGGAGCGGCTTTTCAATCCTGTTCGGCCGAGGTAAGAAGTTGTTTTGCCGTATTTCGGTTTGTCACGCGGCCGGATTGTGTCATGAGTCCCATTGTGTGTTGGACGAGTAGCGGAAGAAACAAGTATATAGCACCCTAAACCCTAATCTTCTATCTTGTTGTTGTTTATCATCACAAATATGAAACAGTCCTCCAACCTGATTTCCCGTTCCTTTACCACGATTTCATCCGAGTCGCGCGATGACAGCGGGTCGTTGACCGTGGAAAATCCCAATTGCAACCACAACGCCCCAGCGAAGAATCAAACCACGAACCCAACCTCCAAGCAGCCGCCAACTATTCCAGAGCGGTCCTGGGGTTCTGATTTGCAACCGACGAAGTTGACCTACAGTCCTGTCTGGGGATCGGAGATGCAGCCGACGAAGCTGTTTTACAGCAACTCTGACAACAATTCCAAGACGAGTTCTTCCAACGAGGAAATTATGAACCCGCAGCACGACTACACTGAAGAAACGCCGCACAACGCAAGTCAGCTGATCAAGAAGACGCGGCAGGCCATTCTGCGGCACCAGCAGGAAAACGGGAAAAACGGGGGGTTGTGTACGTCTTTGTTCAAGCAGGAGTTAGCTGCGGAGGGTGGTGGTGCAACGGTCGCTGCTGGCGCGAGCTGCCGCTCGTCTTTGGAGTCGCTGGAATCAACTGGGCAGGTAGGGAGGTTCTTTATTGTGCTAATGGCATTCTTTAGTTTCGGGGGACGTTCGTTCATCTTGTTCATCCAATGCGGGTGCCTGCATGCCGAGGCACTCGTCGCCAGGTTCTGCTTCAGAATGAAAATTAAAGATGATGACAAACACCGCCTCAACTTAACAACCAGGCACAGTCAGCGTCGACAGCCTACAGTGGAGCGGCCAGCCAGCAACCGCTATCCTATGTAAAAACGTCCCCACCCCATAGTCAAGATGGGGGATTGGCTAGACAAATCCACAAGTTTTGGCTGTCTTGCATGACAGATTTGGACTCGTAGCGTAGTGCTGTTTGAGCTAGCTCAGCAGCATCACAGACCTAGTATATCATGCTGATTGGAGCATGACAAATTGCAAAACACGATTGGAAAATGCTTCTCATGGGGCTCCGCATGAGAAACAATTTCAGCACTCAGATTTGCAATACAACCGTGGCGTGGGGACGTTTTTACATAGGATAACCGCATCACCATCATCCGCAGTGCTGGGGTAGTACTACTGCTGGCGCACATCCTCCAACCGGAGTGGTCACTCAACATCCGCCGAGCACGTCTCCGCTGTCTTCCCCCGGAGCCGCGGCGTATTGGACCAATCCCGGCGGTGATACCACCGCGGATCAACACGGCTACACCGATTTCAACTACGACTTCCCGGGGAATCTGACCTACAGTTACAACGCTTGTTCGACGACCCAAGGAGCTGGATCTTTCCACCCGTCGCCCTGTCCGTCGCCCATTACGAATGTGTCGGCCGCGGCAAGTATGGAAGCGTCAGGTTTGAAATCGTCAAAGTTGAAACAAATTGCAATGCAGAAAATGCATGACGCGAGGTGCGTGTGTTGCAGAGCAGGCAAGTGAGGCCGATTGTAAGCCTGTTTGGGGTTAGAGCTCGAGCTGCTAAAGTAGCATGAGAAAATCCCTCTTCTTTGCCTAAACAGCATGACAAACTGGATTTAAGGACCACCGAAATTTGTCATGCGCCACTTAGAAACTGGGTTCCAACGAACTGGCATCCATTTCATGCATGACAAATCATTTCAACTTTGTCAATTTCAATCCTGACAGTTCCATAGCAAGCGGACTGCACCAACAAGAGCTCTACTACAACATGTCGCCGCAAACTGCGTTGAGCATCAGCAACCGGTCGAACATTTCCGCTTCTAAAATTTTGGAACAACACCAGCAGCACACGACGGCGCTGCAGCAGCGAAGTTCAACATCGGGTAGTAACAAAAACCTCGCGCTGCAGAAACTGAGCCACAGTTGTCAGCATGCCAGCGGGGGCAATATTATCGCAGGATCTTCGTCCACAAGTTGTTCCAATCCGCAAGGAAAAATAAATGGCGCCGGGTCCTCGAATCACAACATCAACAGCATTAACATGAACAGCAAACAGCCCAACTTCCTGAAGGGGTTGCAGCGGTACCAGCAAATTTTGAACCCGGGCCCGGGATCCTTCTCGCAATTGCACGAGGTGATCCAGGAACAAATTTCCGTTTACCAGAAGAAAAACAAAATGCAATCGCACCGGAAGTTGGACACGAATGGGATTTTGCACGTGACTAGTTTTCTCATTAACAAATACTTCCACAAAATCAACCCGGACATCTCGAAGGAACAGTGCTGGGAGATGCTGTGGCAGATCGTGGACTACCAGGAGCGGCACAACATCCCGTCAAACAGCCGGATCTGGTGCATGATGTGTTCCGCATTCGAGCGGTACCGCCCCAACAATCTGCCATTTCAGCAGTCGGTCCTGGAGCACTACTACCCGGTGTTTTTGCGGCAGTTCTACACGTTCACCAGTCCGCAGACGGGGTACTACATATGCACTGCAAAAGTATCGCGCTCGTACTAATTGCAGTGATGCATATACAAATCTCTTTTTCAAAGCAAATCAGCATTACAAATTCAACTTGTAATGCTGGGGAAATTTGTAATGCAATTTATACTAGTAGTGCGATACTTATACTTTGCATTGCATACTACAACGCGCACAGCGACGCGGCGCTGATGTATCGAGGGAAAAGTTGATGTTGGGGATGCTGGACAAGTCAAATGGATTGTGATTCGCTTATTTAGAAGTAGTACAAGAATAAGAACGGGTGGTGCGTCCATGGCGGCCTAAAGAGAGGATTAATATGCATTTGGTCGTACAGGCTTACAAGTGGTGCCATCCCTTCAAGCAAGAAGCGGTGAATGCAAATCTTGTATACTTAATTCTGTCACGTTCTAGCCTCAAGGTCAAGATTTTCCCAACATACCGCCCGCCTGATGTGCTTTTGCGGATACGTGAGCGATGCGCATGAATTGCTGGCCAACAGAAGATTTGCTTACAAGATCGGTATAGCGTATTTAAGTAATTTTTTATTAGCATTCGTTTTCGTTCCGAAAGCTCTTTCCTCCAACTTGTTCACAGGGTTTTGATATGCATGGGCTGTGCATCATGTACAATACCTAGAAAAAAACAATTATTCGCAAACCAGAAAATAAATCCACACCCAAAACTACCGACTCCAGGTTCCACGAACTTCCAGTTCCGGTTTCTGCTTTTCCAGGCCCTTCTGGATTTCGCGAAAGTGCACTACAAAACGCATTTAACGAACTACAGCCGGTCGGGACAGGATGCTTACCAATTGGAACAGAAGTGCCAGAAGATCGAGCTCGACGTGCGGAAATGGATCGAGGAGGACGGAATTGACAACGTGGACGACATCTCGATTGGCAAGACCATCGAACGTATGAAATGCAAAAGCATCTCACTAGTATAAAATAAATCGCATGACAAATTTCCACAGCATGAGAAATAAAATTTGTAATGCGGATTTAACTTCAGAGAGAAATTTGTAATGCATGGCTGCGATTACTACGAGTACGATACTTTTGCACAGGATAGAACGCGACCCGAAAAAACAGATTCACTACTGCGGCGTCAGGGCTGAGGTAAAAGGAGTTTGTAATGCACGTTGACAAGCATGCGCATGCTCATGCAGTAGCGATTTATTTCGGGGTTGCATCAATGCATGACAAATCATGAAGATGTGTATTTTTTTTGACCTCGTCAAACAACCTTCAGAACGCCACGCACTCGCGGCAGCGTTCCTCGTGGCAGCAGCAACAGGACCAGCAGCATCAGCGTGCGGGCAACCACGGCAGAACGTCTTCCAGCACCAGCAACAATACGTCTTGCGCAAGCAGCGAAAAATCTTTTTCTAACAGCAGCGACGAGAAAAGTTCCGATGCCTCCACCGGACCGGGGAAGGTGCGACAGAACACGTCGTGCCCTGATGTTGGAACGGTGGCGGGGGTATGGATTGCAAAAATGTCTGGGTCTGGAAACATGTAAATTTCTCATGCGTATTTGAGACCAGAAAAAAATCTGTCATCCATGGACCGCAAAAGTTGCTCATTTCTTGCTACCAAAAGAGGGAACTTTGTCATGCGGATTACTTAGGCATCGCCTAACGTAACCTACTCAAAACCTGTGTTGCTAGGACTTGCATGCTAGACCTTCTGTGTCATGCACAAACAGCATCACACTCTTCCAGACCCAGACATATTTGCATTTCATTGGGGGAGGAAGGGGGTGCTGCGTCTTCTTCCGCTGCAGCGTCGTCTTTGTCGCCGGGGAAATGAAACTATTCTTGAATGGTGCTACTTCTACTGATTAGGGTTACAGTGAAAAAAATGTAGATGAAATGAAAAAATATTGATTATGCTGGTCGCAACATTACCACTATCACGACGAGGGTGAAATAATGTTTACGCATCATTTCTTCGTGCTAAAAAGCACCATAGTTCTTTCATCTTTTCTTCGGGTGACCAAGCAGATTGACTATTCGTTCTTCATGACCTCCTCGTCTAAGCAATAATGCCTGTCTGTATGGAAAACGAAAAACTTCAAAAACATTATATATTGGTAGTGCAAGATCAAGGCAATTCGTTCTTCTTCAGTACTATCGTACAAGATTTATTTGTATCTCCTATGTGACTCAGTTGTCCTATGAGTTCTTCCTAGCTACTAGCTCAAAGTGACGTCTACTTTGGTCGTTCACATTGTACTCACACTGACTGAACGTAAAAATTCAAAATTGATAGCTTCAAAGCTTCTGTTGTAACATAAAATATATTCTAGTTCTCGTTTAGCATTAAATCTGTACGCACTTGGGCAGCTGAAGATAACTCTTTTTACAAAATTCCAAGAATCATAAACTTCTTAAACATTAACATCAATCTCTCTACTGCTATAGTCTGGACTAGAGCACGATCAAATCAGCTTTTTTTGTACATCATTGACGTTCAGAAATTGTTACTTTTCACAGACACACTACCTAGCAATTTTTTACTAATGGCAGTCTGCTTAAAACTTGTACCACAGAAAGAAACACGTTGGCAGCTTTTTGGTTCGAAATTGAACAGGAAATTGAGTACTACGTAGCGGTTATTTTTAGATACAGTAAAAGTTTTATTTTCTTGACAAAATCCCTGTTCATAGCATGTTCACCATGACGTAGTCTTTTGGATAGAAGATTCAAATTTTGTGCAAACAGAAAAACTCACTAACTTCGAAAACTCTGCAAAATTCAAAACAATTATACAGCCTCTTCGTCCACCTCCCAGGCAATCACTGTTAAGTGTTTCTAGTTTTTTACAACCTAGTTGCTTGGTGCATCGCGTTTTGGATGAAATTTGTGGCACCTCATCATGACGAGATTTTTTTAGATTGCAGAAAAAATGACTGTGTGCACAGTGAGTACTAGCAGAAAAGCAGAATACGTCTCTTCCGTCGAATCACTGAATTTTCATATTCATCATGTACTTGTACTACATTAATCTACATTTTCATCAGGCACGAAGGAGGTGAATAAGAGAAAGATCCCCGTACTAGACAGCGGTGGCGAGTCAAACTCTATGGCTAAGACAGTAAGATGAATGAGCGCAACCCGTTCGGTATCGTGTCTGCAGATTCTACCAAGCGGGTATGGGCACTGACCTTCCGTATAATCAACAAGGAAAATGAAAATATGAGAAGTGTAGTAGAGGCTGCAGCGGGGCGACAGTTAGATGCCAGGTGGTTCTTGTCGCCTCGGTGTCTGTTGTCGCTCTGTTTCTCAAAATTACCAGCGTAGCTGCACACTACGAATATGCAAAGTTCCACACTAATTTTATGATATTCGACGCATGAAGAACAAGAAGAAGAAGAGTTCAAAAATTTTGCTCCAAGAAGGTGAAAGCGATGCTTTCTACCTAAGTCATGATCTTCACCTCTGCTAAAACTAAAACTCGAACAAATCTATCTTTCAACAAAACTGTTGACTGAGTTGCACGTTTACACAATAAGAAGAAGTTTGTCTGACAAACGTAGAACAGCAAAATCTATCCAGGATTTCTCTCTCATGGAAAACAACATGTTTCTTTTGTATTAACGAGTTTATTTCAATTTCAGTACAGTATCTATTGCTATCGAAGTTTTGCACGGTCCTTCTGTGGGTCGGACCACCAGGGTCAATGACTCACACATGCCCGTGCGCAGTGTTGTAGTCTTTTACCACGTCCCGAAATAAGTTCTTGTGTTCTGAGTTGTAGCTGTTCAGGAGAAAACCAACGGTGGAAGAAGTATCGTCATCAACAAAGCGATGTGCATGTGTGATCCACTACAGCTCTGCAGTGCTTTCGTGGTGGGAAGAACTCTACTACGTTGAACGTGATTCATCATGACAATGTCGGTTATGTTGACTTCATCTCGGAAGGAAGGTGTGCAGAAAAATATCGAGCAGAAAGCATGCAAGTCTTGCAGACTATCGGTCCTTAAAGTTGTTTCTTTAGGCGGGAGGTGGTGGCTCTGCAGGTAGTGTTTCTTTACCAAAACGTCGAATAAACATCATGGTCCTGCTCTCTTTCTAGTAACTCTTTCGGTGAAGAAAACGGAAATAGATCGGCCGGCTTTCTCCATCTCTCCGTCTTCGTTGAAGTCTACAGCTCTTGCCTCATCGTACCTACCCCCACCTGCCCCCTCTAGTCGTATTTTTACCTAAAAAAGATATTTTCTTCATCAACCTTTGTTAGTTCCCCTGCTTCTGCATAAGAAGTTTTATTTGTTTCCAACAACAAACACGAACTTTAACACCGCCGTTATCGCCGTCAGGCCCTCGCTCCTAAACCTGACGCGTAAAGGAATAACTGCATCAACTAGATAGTGTAGTGCGAAAAACAAAAGATGACACACTATCTTTTTCTTTTTTTTGTTGAGCTCCATCGCGTGTAGATAGAACACGGAACATGCACATGCAGGTCCATGCGGCACGGTTTGGATCAACATATCCGGCTGGAAATTACCGGTAGAAGACCACTACGTCGTCCTAATTGACATTCCATTGACGGTGCAACGAACAAATACCCACGTGGAATTCTGTTTCGCCGTGCTGGTGATTGGGCTTTGGCGGTGCTGGATTCGATCCAAATCTCCGCATGATCACGATCCGCATGATCAAGATGTTGATGCGAAAACAACACTCCTCCTCGTCGGCCTGCAGCAGTCCGTTCTGTCCCCCAGGAGACATTCATTCACACGCAGGAGCACGTCGATCACGACAGTTTTTTTCCAGCATGGCGGTTTTGCTTATCCCCACCCGGTTCTTGTTCCTTTGGACGGTAGTCTTGCAACAATTTAGTCCAGCACAGTTATTTGCTAACGCTCAGGCCTCCGTGTGGTGCAACTCGTTCTGGCTCACAGCCTACTCGCCACCACCATACCAAAGCTACGCGACCTGTAGTGATAACGCATGGCAGACGGCGGATTTTACCGTTCCCGGTATTGATATTGTGCTGTTCAGGAGTTTGACGTTGTAATGCTGCCTCATTGTGCTTGTGCTTGAATTATGCCCGACCACAATGATAAACCAATTCGCTTCATTCTTTTTCGTTTTCGATGAATACGTGCGAAGCTGCACAAAGAGCCTAGTACTGACAGCTAGCCTACATAACGCTGCAAAACCGCCACCAGGTACGTCCGAGCGTGTCCACGTGGATTGCTGGTGCCAGAACGACCTGACGCCGAAATGGCGAGACATGTACAGCCATGACCCCAGCTGGACCAGCGCGATAAATTGCTGCGACCACCCCACCTGGACAAACATGTGCACCTTGGATTGCAACTACGCCAGTGCACAATCCCCCCTCCCCCTCATTTGTCACGCAAAATGCCAAATCCAGGCTGCGCCTGTTGGCACTGCTTGCATGACAAACTCCGGAAGCCCACACAGTACTACACTCTTGGGCAAATTTGTCATGCAAAACCGGCATTCTTGCTGACGCTTGGATTGCCGTTTATGCTATACAAATGAGGGGGAGGGGAAGCTGTGCACTGTCATAGCAACCCGGATTGCACGGACGCGCGGGCGCAGGAGTGCAAGCAGAAATGCCCGCCGCTTTGTACAACGCGCTCAGGTGTTACAATCTCAGTTGTTACAGTAGAGTCTGGATTTTGTCTTGCATGATGAGCATGACAGACTTCCAGTGCGTTCCACTTTCTGCAATACAAATTTCCATGTGCGGCTCTTTGGGACTCCGAAACTTCAACTTGTCATGCGCAATCCTGTCAGAGTAGGCTAGATCATGCAGCTCTTGCATCACAGATCTCCATATTCTATTGCAACGCTTGACATTGTAACACCTGAGCGGGTCATACTTTGCCTCGAAACCGCCTACGAGAGCCTGGCCGGGGCGCCGTGTGAATGTTCCCAGTGGTATGGAGAGGAAGGCCTTTTCTGGTGGTCATGGTGATGAAGATGATGAGAAGAGGAAGAGGTCATGATCTGCAATCATGTTCATGCGGAATGTCACAAGTATGTGTATGTCTATGTGCAACTGGAACTGCGACGTTGCAGTGGCACGCCTCAGATGGTGGATCTCTTTGTGCTGTGTCTGCAAGAACTCTCTTCAGCTTCACTACACCATCGAAGAAGTGCGCTTCCCCTGTTCATACTTTCTGGGACAAAGTAAAGTGCCTATTCGACCATGCAGTCGCGGAAACGGCTTCCGGCAACAGCATGAAAGTCTGTGACTCCGTCGCTTTTGAAAGGACAACGATGGCGGCCGAGTGGATTGCTTGCGTTTCCAGGTTATCAGGTGCAAAAATGTCTGGGTCTGGAAGAATGCAACTTGTGATGCTGCATGTGGATTCCAAAAAAAGCTGTATTGCATGAGTAGCAAAGGGAATGCATCTTTTGCTACGCTGAGAAGGCATTTCCATTTGTCATGCGAAATTAGGCATCAAGAAGCCCTCAGAAAATCTGTATTACCAGGGTATGCATCACAGACATCTTTCATGGCTCATGCAAAACGTGCATGACCACAAGTGTCAGAATCTTTCAGACCCAGACACTTTTACAGTTGATACAGGTATCCCCACAGCACCCGGTGGGAGCAGATACAAGCCAGCGCGCACTGCGCGTGCAAGAGCGGTATTTTTTGATACGTGAAAACGATGATGCGTTTCTCAGCAAATGCTTGTGATGCAACAAGATTAACAGCGAGTGTGCTTGTGCTCTCTTTCGATTGTGGTCATGAACAAGATGTTTGTAAAATAAATTCTAGTTGTACTTCTACTTCTATACGACAGACATCATCACCGCACTCAACTCCACCTCCTGCTGCACCTCCCCCGAGTACGAGCACATTTGCACCGACGAAAACCAGCTGCAGTGCAACGCCCTCGCCGCCCATTGCGGTTCCTCCGAGGCCTTATCCTGCGGGATTTCCTGCGCGACCAAGTGCAACCACATTGCGGACATCTCTGACGACTGCAACAACCATTGCATCAAGAAGGACAGTCCCTGTGCGAAGTACCAGAAGTGCGAGCCCCCGGCGACCAAAAACCACGACTACATCTGCGACGACGGGGTCACGCAGCCCAACATCGGGGGGTGCTGCAAGCGGGAGGACGCAAATTTTCAAACCATGGACAACCTCTGGTGTCCGCGGTTCTGCGGAAATTCCCGGGTCTACTGGCTGGTCGCAACGCAGCGCTACGAGTGCGACTGCGACGCGTGTCCGAATAACGCCGCGGGGCTGGACAACAACTGGCATTTGGCTCTGGACCAGGAGATTGACCATTTGTACAAAACCGGGCTGGAAAGGATCGTGGAGAGGCTACAAATCCCGGACACCGGGCCCGAGCGAAGCCAACTGAACGCGATCTACGAAGAAATGTCAGTGGAGATCAAACGGGCCTACCCCTACGCTGCGGCTATCCACTGCAAATATGTCTGGGTCTGGAAATTTGTGATGCAGGTCTGTGAATAATCAGATCACTGCGATAGGTGGCCGAGCATGACAAGTTTTTGTTCCCCGTCGTGTTGCGACGTATTCCCCATGGCAGGCTCGATTTTTGTATAACAGACCAGAGGATCTTTTCGCGCCTGCTCAGCATTACAGAGCTAAGAGTCAAGCCCGAGAAGCATGACAAGTCTTGCAATCTTCCAGACGCAGACCTATTTGCAATGCATAGTGGCCGCCTTGCCGCAGAATCTCCCGGACGCGGCTTTGGACGTGGCAGAAACGTTATGAAAGCGCACAACTCCCCCTCCCCCTCATTTGGACATGGCATCCGCAGCAACACAAGTCCTGGCAGAGATGTAGCTTTTGCATGACATATTTACGACTGACTGCAGAGCTGTTTCGGCTTCGGGAATCTGTCACGCAAGCAGTGCCACAGGGCAAAGGGTGGATTTGGTATTTTGCATGACAAATGAGGGGGAGGGGGAATTATGAACTGTCATAAACGTACAAGGATAGAATGGAGGACAAGGGCAGAGAAATTTGGAACAGTTTCAATCCAAGCATCGCGGCGCCGTCTTTGGAAGGGGTGTGGACGTTATCTTCCGCCGACTGGCAAAACAACGGATCGGAGGCAACGCCGAGTCCCAGTATGCTCGGGAGGTTCTCAAACGGGTTTCTACTTCTTGAATCGCCGTACAACTTCTATACTTGAATCTGTCTGTGATGCAGGCATCAATAGCCAAAGTAGAAGAAGACAGCCTTTATTGCGTCTTGCATTTTACGGATTTTTTTTTTTTGGCAAGGATTTCAATGCTAAATAAATTGAGGAGCACGTAATGGAGAACTTGTCATCCGAAGTGGCTTGGTCAAGTTGAGACTCATCCTCAATAAACCTTCGTCAATGTTGTTTGAAAAAAATTCATGGCGCAGGAGCGATCAAGGTAGTAGCACCACTTGAGAGTAGTCCCTCCATATTTAGCCTAAATGTAGTCGTCGGAGACACGTCCGGCGTGAATAACCTCCCCGGGCAGGAAGTTCCAAGTGCGGGTTCGCGGGTCCAGCCGTCATCGTCCTCCGCTGACGATAGTTCTACCGTATCAATTGCAAAAGTATCGTACTCGTATAAATGCATTACAAATTTTCTCAGCATGAGAAATAGAATTTGTATATGCAGATTTGCCTTAAGACAAAGATTTGCAATGCAAGACTTGCATTTATACGAATAGGATACTTTTGCAATGCATATACCGACGACAATAGCAACGACATGCTCAGCTGGATGATCGGGTTTGCCGTGATGGCCGGTGCGTCGCTGGGAATCTGCGGGCTGTGCATACTGATCGAGCGCTATTCCGCCAAATCGAGGGAGGAGGCGCGAAGGAGGGACGCGGTATGCATTGCGAATATGTCATCTGTTGAGTCTGGAAGGTTACAACTTGTGATGCTGTCTTTGGATTCCAAAGAAAAATCTGTATTGCGTGACCAGCAAAAGAAGAGTCCAGTTTGTGCTACGCGGAGTGGACATCATTTCTCATGCGGAATAGGCATGGCGGGATGATCAGAAAGCGCTCGCATAATTTGTGGTGCTAGAGCGCGCATCACAGACATCACGAGTCATGCAGAATGTACATGACAAATCGTGCGCAACTCTTCCAGACCCAGACATATTTGCAATGGATACGCGGCGTTGCAGTACCAAGACGGAATCGGGGGCATGCGACCACTATCCTGTGCAAAAGTATCGTATTCGTATAAATGCAAGTCTTGCATTACAAATATTTTTCTTAAGGTAAATTAGCATTACAAATTTTATTTCTCATGCTGAGAAAATTTGTAATGCATTTATACGAGTACGATACTTTTGCAATGCATAACCACCTGTGGACACGGTGGTCGTCGGGCAACCGGTCTTGAATTCCCACGGCACGGCCATAGACAACGTGCCGACAAACATCCCGACCGGTTTGATCATTGACAACGACAAAAGCAGAAACTCGGCGGAACAGGACCAGTTCGTCGGCAGAGGATTCGCTGCGAGCGGAGGTGGTGGTATGAACTGCAAAAGTATCGTAGTCGTATAAATGCATTACAAATTTCTTCAGCATGAGATATAAAATTTGCAATGCGGATTTGCCTCAAGAGGAAGATTTGTAATGCAAGACTTGCATTTATACGAGTGCGATACTTTTGCACAGGATAGGTGGACAATCGCAGCAATTTTCTTCTAGTTTATCAAATGCAAATATGTCTGGGTTTGGAAGAATGCAACTTGTGATGCTGTATTTGGATTCCAAGAAAATCTGTATTGCATGGGCAGCAATGGAAATGTAGTGTCTGCTACGCGGAGAGGGCAATTGTCATCCGGAATAGGCATCAAGAAGCCCTCATCAAAAAGTCTGTGATGCTAGGGCATGCATCACAGGCATCTTGGCTCGTGCAAAACGTGCATGACAAGTCTCAGACCCAGACATATTTGCAGTTGATATAGTACTCCCGGCTACAACAGTAATGATAGTATGCCAATAAACGGTAATCTTCCAACCCCCAACGCCAGCATGTTCCAAGCCCCCACCTCCGATACCCTCCCCCAGGCTAGTTTCGCGCCACGAGGGCCGATGACAAATGACTTCGTGACAAGCCTGACGACGACCACCACGACGACAGCTTCCTGGGCCGATGCGCCACCGAACCAGAGAGACCCGTACGCGCCACGGCGGGGGCGGGGGCAGCGGGGCGGAGGCGTGCAGCAGCAACCACCCAGGGTGGCGTGGACGGGCACGGAGTGATCACGAGGGGGTCGGGTTACAAGTTCGCAGTTCGTTCAACGAACTGCGCCCACTTTTGATGATGTCGCGCAACGGTTGCGCCTGATTGTCTCATGCCGCATTCTGTGGCGCAATCTAAGCCAGCATTTTTTCAACGTAGTTACCCTTCGCCCTGCCCCAGCCCAACACGAACATACGTAGTTGTACTTTGAACCTACTACTCATCATGATGAAAAAAGGCACGACGGAGCACGAGGACGTGGAGTTCTGCGCTGTGTGACGAGTCTTATTTGTAGCCAGAGCTACAGGATGTCCAGTCTTCCTGATGACTCATGCTTTTCGATGATTTTCCATTCATACATGCGCTCTGTACCGACGGGCTGATGTCCTCGCTCTACTGTCTTACCCCGGGAACACACGTTTTCGTCTTATCACGCGCTTTTGAGCTACATAATCGGCGGGACCCGTTTTCTTTTTCTACCGAGATGGGTATCGGCAGCCCTGCTGCAAAAGATAACAAAAGAAAGATCAACCAGGGGGAGTCTCATCAAGGCGTGATGCCTACTATGGTGTTTTCGTGTTTTGTTCGCAGCGGCAGCTCACCTGATGGCTCCATTCCGCCTTCGGTAACAGGGAGTTCGCTTTCGGTTCTCTCTCAATTCTGGGACAACAGGAAGCAGGCTCTGCACAGGAGCGACAAGACCCTTTCGGCCATCGGTCTGGGTCTCGCCGCACAACTATCATTCTCGGTTTTTTTACTTTTGTGTGGGACCATTTCATTGATTCGTCGGCTGTTGATATTGAATCAAACCGAAAACCCAGTGCGGTTTGCTGCGCTGTAAACAGCACTTGTCGATTTTCATTTTCGATGACCTCGTCTCGATTCGGTGAAACAATCGTCGGCAAACAGGACCTCCTTTTATCTACGTAGACTCACCTTCTGCATTCTGATCAGTTAGATATCGGCTGCCTCAGCTTCTTCGTCTATGCCGTACAAATTAAGTATATAGATGCGCCTCGCAGCTCAAGTTCTGATTCTAATCTTCTGCATCAAATACAGCTCGGCGAGTAGTACACTCTTTAGTTTCAACATCAACAGCACATCCAGTTTTTGTTCGGTTCGGTTTTATGCTGTTCTCCCAACATCTCGATCTCCACTTATTTTCTCAAAACTCATCTCGATTTATCTAAATTTCTTCCAGCAAGGCACCTGCCACAGCCTCCACGAGTTTTCCGTTTTATTCATCCCTCACCCCAAAAATCAACAACATGGCCGCCACCGCCCGGAGCAAGGAGGAGGTGAAAGAATTTTTCGACGACCCGGCGGTTCTGGAGCAGAAAATCAAGGAAGTCGCCTATCCTGTGCAAAAGTATCGTACTCGTATTGCAATCATGCATTACAAATCGTGTTCTTAAGCTAAATCCGCATTACAAATTTGATTTCTCATGCTGAGGAAATTTGTGATGCATTTATACGAGTACAACGATACTTCTTTTGCAATGCATATCGCCGTCAAAATGAGAAAAGCCAAATTCGCCATCGCTTTCACCGGCGCCGGGATCTCCACGGCCGCCGGAATTCCGGATTTCAGATCTGGCATGAATACGGTGTTGCCAACGGGACCGGGGAAGTGGGAGAAGGATGCAAACGCGAAGAAGCCGCTGAGCAAGCAGGAAAGGAGGAGTGGTAAAACAGATCGGATCCAAGACGTGCAAAAAGCGTTCCCGACCTTTACCCATATGGCGTTGAAAGCGATGCTGGACCAGGGCGTTTTGAAGCATCTCGTGTCCCAGAACACCGACGGGCTGCACTTGCGGTCGGGCGTGGACAAGGCGAAATTTTCCGAACTGCACGGCAACCGGAACCTGGAGATTTGCAAAAAGTGCAAAAGAAAGTATCTACGCGATTTCCGAACCCGGACCAGTCAGAAAGTGCATTCCCACGAGACCGGGCGGTTTTGCGACAATAGTGAATGTAATGGCCAACTTCTCGACTCGATCATCAATTTTGGGGAGAACCTACCGATGGAGGAGTTAGAATCTGCGGAAAACGCGGCGGTAAAAGCGGATTTCTGCTTGGCGCTGGGGAGCAGCTTGACGGTGACCCCCGCGGCGGACATACCGAAAACTGTCGGGGAGAAGCAGTTTGGCGACCTTTTCATCGCGAATTTGCAAAAAACCCCACTGGACAAGATTGCAAGTAGTCGGCTGCAAGGGTACTGCGACGAGGTGATGCGGTTGTTGTGCAAAGAGATGGGTGTCGTTGTGCCAAAGTGGAAGCTGGTGCGGGGCCTGCGGATTGTCAAAGTGCGGTGGAACAAGGACAATGCTGTTCTTGGACGGGCGTCGATGAATACTAAGTCTCCACCTGCGAAATTACAGAGCGCGATCGCGAGACTCAGCTCCAGAAGCAGTGGGCGGAACAGTAGTGGATCCACTTCTAACTCTAACACAACAGCAACTTCTGGGCGTGCGAGAACTACATCAAACCCGCACGGCTCTGTCGGTGAGAATGCTGCGACAGCATCAGAACCTTTTACACCAATCGCCAACCCCGCCGCTCCGAGTCTCGTCGAGATCTACGAGAACGAAGAGAACAAAGCAACGAAGGAGCCGAAGCAAGTGGCTTTCGAGATCCAAGGGTGGGATCTGAACACCAACGGACCTTACTCGCTGTTCAAACAGGTGGAATTTCTCGTTTACGAACGGGCGAGTATCGCGGAAACTGCAATTTCGAAAAAGTGGCAAGTCGCGAAGCGAAGTACTACGACTGGAGACTACTTGGTGACTTCAACAGAGTGCATGGATCCGAAGATACAGATCCGCTTGACTTTTCAGGGACACTACAGCGAGCCGGTGCTTGTGCTGCCGTTGGAAACCGGGCCGGTTGGTGGGGGAGGGGGTAGTTTGACGGATTATGGAGTGCAGGACACATTTTATCGCTTGGAGTTGGATTTCGATAGGATGGAGTGGGGGGTTGGGGTGGTTGGAAGATAGTACAAAGGGCTAGAAGTTGTTTAACGTAGAAGACTTCGCTTTTTGATGTCGCCAAGCTTCATTTTCGCGATAGACACAGATCAGCGGTTTCCGTTCCAACGAACATGATCGCCCGTGCGCGATCTAGTGCCATCGGAAAGAACTACCGATCATGTCTCAAACCACCAGTTGTAGAAGGTTTTTCTACTTCTGACGTGCTCCTGGACTTTTCTTACGCTGAGCAAGTAGTATTCTGTTCGGCCACGACAATCACGAGGTTTCCACATGAATTCTTCGACTGTAGAAGTACTCTATTGCTCACTACATGCAACATGTGATGATAGAGAGTGGCGATTGAATTCATTGAGGGCATCAGAACTTTGAGAGAGAGAGCAGAGCGTGGTCTCCTGTTGCTGCCATTGCTGATTTCGCGACCAGTCGGTCGGTTTCGACCGTGGATACGCGCTGTAACCGAAAATCGGCGTATATCGGGTATATTCGAGCACCACACGACGCATCGCGACTGTTATGGAATTGGGACACGCGACGGAACGAATGGCCACGGACGCGCTGCGAGCTGCGTTTGGCGCTGCCTTCCTCGACGACTCGTTGCTGTGCTGCGAGGTCTTGCGCGGACACGTTCCGCGCCTTTGATGATGATGAAGCTGTGGGCAGCAAGGCTCTTGGCGACAAAACTCTGTGAAGTGTGTGTGACGAGAAAAGAAAGAAGGCAAAGCGGGCGGCGTTAGTAGTAGTAAAGTTAAAAAGGAGCTTTAGTGCGAAGTAGTTTTCGTACCCGGCGGTGTTCAGACCAAGAAGTGATAGATAGACGTTTACTAGCGCTCCTGTTGTGGCAGGAATTAAACGTAGGAGCTAACACACCGACCGGCGGTAGATAAACAGGGATGCTTAGAATTTGGCCTGCGGGCATAGAATAGTCCATCCCTCACACTGCTGTTGCGCCAGCAGATGTGGCGACAGGCGTGGCGTTCGCGGGAAACCTCATGACGAGGATAGTTAGTTTTGTATGGCGGTCCGTGTGACTGCAGTGCCGTGGCCGTCACTTTGCCTGCTCGTGTAGTACATTCCGCATAGCGCCCACCTTCGACGTAGAAATATTCGTAGCGCAAAAGACCTTCGTGCGGATCGTTGGCACTAGTAGCGCCCTAGACACCTCGGCCAAAGATGAAGAAGGTGGCAAATTTGTATACGTAAAGCAAAAAAGCTCAAGCTGCTCCAACGTTTCCGTTTCAAAAAAAAAAATGTAAAAGCAAGTAGATCGTAAATTCCTATCGGCGAGTCCAGTGTAGTCGAGGGCGTCCCCACCTGTGCGCGAGTATATCTCCACTCGGGGAAAGAAGCGCCCGTGTGGGCCGGGCGGTTTCGATGCACTAGGGAAGTTTGGTAGAGGGGTTAAGGGTACTATCGGAAAACGAAAAGAAAGACAAGTGATCCAGGCCGAGGTGATATTGCATACCGTAGTTAGGAACTTGCATACTAGGACCAAATAGTTGTAAGTGACTGATAACTTATACTTAGACAGGGTTTCAGGGTTAAAGACGTGGTGCTCCCGTCAGGCGCGTGAAGTTATTTAAGAAGGAGATGATCAATAAGGTGCTTTCCTCCTTTTCAGTAGAACAGTACGCTTCGCTCTTCGATCTCGGCGCCTTTCCTGATGGTGATTGCTCTTTGCTGGGTGGCGATGGTGTTTTGCTTTGCGAACCTGTACGCGGCCCGGCTGACGAGTTTCGGGCGATCCTTGGAAAGCAGTACTGCGATATAGTTGACGAGATTGCGCGCTACCCGCCCTTCACTGTCGACCGGGATAGCTCCGGCATCGCCAGCATCGGGTGTAACTGTGACGACTGCCAGCGCTATTTGCTCCAGAAGGAGATGAAAGCACAGGAGCGTAGAGGTGCAGTTGCGCTAGCAGGGAGCAAGATTATTGGCGGTGGTGGTTTCGGGTTTCTTCCAGCTGATGAAGATGCTGCTTCTGATGATGAGGCCCTCTTTCCCTCTCGTGGTAGTGGGGTCGGCGCTTGCGAGGAAGTCGTAGCCGAGGACAGTCCTCCTTCCCTTCTGCTGCCCGGATCTGTTCTACGACCGATTCGACTGTTCTCCTCGCTTGTATCAGCTTTCCGGCACATGCGATACCAGAAACAAGCTGCCGCTGATGCCGCCATTGCTGCACTATTTGACCGTCCTCCGCCTAGAGATTGTTCCGAAACTGTGAAGAGCTGTAAGCCGAAGCCGAAGCTTGACGCAGATGCCAAAGGGAAGCAGCAAAAAACGAAGGGCCCAGACGACTTGAACCTTGTCTCTGTTAAGGGTGTCACCTGGTGGAATACAGGCTCTGGCGCTGCTAGTCGCTTTGGCGGCTGTTTTCGGGTTCAAGTTATTGTGCGAAACAGTGCTGGGGCGAAAGTTCCTGTTTCTCGGACTGTATTTCTTGAGGACCACGCTGACGACATTGATCTAGCTTTTGCCGCTGCTGTTGCCCTGCGGGATCGCATCAAGGCGGATCCCCGGCCTTTTCTTGAGAACCGGATCCAGAGGAAGGTCAAGAAGCAGCCAACTCCGATCAAGCAGCCAGCTGGCCGCGCACCAGGAGCTGCCCTTCCAGTTTTCAAGTCCTCAGCGAAGGCTTCGGCAAGTAGTGGCGTCTCTGCTCGGAGTTTCCGGAAGTCAGGGAGTCGGCTATTGCGATACGAGGGCTGTCGTGAACATTTTGCGGAGCAGCGACACTGTGGGGCTGGGCGAAGAAGGTTGTGTGATTATTGTTTGCATCACCACCTGCTGCGATGTGTTATGTGTTGACGTCTTGCCTTGAGGAGTTGTGACCATATTTCGCGTTCTTCTTCGCCCTCCGACCATGAGTCGATGTGCTCTGCCCTCGGGCTGCAGGTCGAGGTCTCGGTGCTGCAGTTCTACCTCCTTCGGTTTATGGTACAGTGTGGATCTCTACCTGGCTCGGTTGTCGAAAACGTTAAAAACTCTAAAAAACGGGCTCCGGGCTGTGTGGGTAGTGGTCCGCGTTTTGTTCCTTCGGTTCGGGGGGCTTTGGGTGACTCTGCAGTGATCATCTCGGTGTTTCCTGCGAAGCAGCTGTTTACGAGCGGCGGGTTTGGGATGTGTCGTGGCTGGAGCTTCGGAGGAGGCTCGCGTCAGGGTTTCACGGAAATCTGTATTTTTGTTGAAAGAAAGGATTTTAAGTACATTAGCTCAAGAAAAGAAGATATGTGTTTGAAAGTAGCTCGTTCTCTAGCAAAAGTCAAGCGGAGCATTACGCTTGCCTTTTTTTAGTTTTTTTTCCTTCTTCCTTTTTTCTCCAGGGGTGTAGAGTGTGTGCCTGCTCTCACTAGCAAGCCATCGCTCGAGAAACTTTGTTTTTTGTTTTTTCCTAGTACTAAACTGTCTTACAGCTTTTTCGATTACAAACATGTTCATCAATTTCACAAGTGCTCTTACCATGTAACGTTATCTCTTTTTTTCTGTCCCATCTTGAATTCTATTTCTATGGTTTTCCTATAAATAAAATTGTGGTTTGTCATGCTGATAAGCCACTTAAGAGCATACTTTCTAGACAAAAGTTCCAAAAGCCAAGATCTCCCGATGTAAGAAGGACTGTGGAAAAGCACTTTATGTAGTTTTGTTGGAGTATGTTTTAGTTTATTTTGCTATGCTTATTGTTGTACTTCTCTTAGATTGAAAAGGTTTTACAAATGGTAGTGTTTTGAAAGATCCAGAAAAATGAGGCTCCTCGTCCTAGCTGAAGACGAACAAAGCTTGTTTTTCTTTTAGAAAGTGGCCCCCTTACCTTTCAGTAAAGATCCAGAAAAATGGAAAATCCCGCCCATTCTAGATAGGAACAGAAGGGTCCACAAGGGTGCGTTTTTCTACTTCTTTTTTCCATAGTGCACTTCTTTCTCGATTAGCTTTGTTTTCTCTATTAGTCTTTGTGCTTGTTGCTTTACTTTTTTTTCCTTGCTATAATCTCTTCTAGTTCTATCTATCTTGTAGTTGTAGGTCACTGCTATTTTTTTTCCTCTTCCATTGCCATTGCGGTTTTCACCATTGCCAATGCTGATTTCGCGACCAGTCGGTTTCGACCGTGGACACGCGCTGTAACCGAAAACAAGTTCGTCGTTAGCCGCCTCTACTAGAACTTAGTATGCGTGGTCAAGTTATAGCTCATGAATAGCTCCAGCTGCACTCTTAAAGTTCTGGAACGCCGCCCCGCAGCCAAGCCAAGCCAAAATTTTCTGATTCTGATTCTGATTCGTTGGCCAAGTATAAGACTTTCGGCGTTCTTGTCCGTCGGGTTCATGGCCTATTTTCCCAGCCCCACCCAGTAAGCATGAATTTCAGGCCGGGGTTTGTATGATCACGTGGGGGGAGGACAAGTTCGTTGTTAGCCGCCTCTACTAGAATTTAGTATGCGTGGTCAAGTTATAGCTCATGAATAGCTCCAGCTGCACTCTTAAAGTTCTGGAACGCCGCCCCGCAGCCAAGCCAAGCCAAACTTTCTGATTCTGATTCTGTGCTGTTAAGTAAGTAACCACACAAAGACTTCTCTTCACGTTTCTTTTCTTGTACTGCCAACCTAGTCATTCATTGCGTTTTCACATTTTAAAACAAAATGACAATGAGCCCCACCACACGTCAGACTGCTGGTGAGCACAAGCAGAATTCCGCCTGTGGCGAAGACCTTCAGGCAAAAACTGGGGGCATCATGTCGAAATCTCGCGCATCACAGGAAAACTGCTCTTCCTCGTGGTGCACATCCACACCATCAGATGAAACGACTTCCACCCCGCCGCCAAAGCCAACCACCACGGGAATCGACTGCGTGATCAGCTTGGTCGCGACGGCCGTTGGGGGCGGGATTCTCGCCGTGCCCTTTACGATGTACGTTGCGGGCTTTTTCGGCGGGTGTTTTCTGTGCCTGGTGGTCACGATTTTTTCAAATTGGAGTTTATTCTATGGCGTGGAAACACTGGGGAGAAGGACGTAAAGTTGACCTTGGGTTTTCTTGGCATGTGCAGTGTAGGGCAGATCTATGAAGAAGTTGAAGTGCTGCATTGCTTTGTACAAATGACACGATATAAAACGAGCAAGAGCATGATCCTGCGAGTAGGTGTAGGAGCAACACAATTTTGTCCTCCATCTTCCCTCCATACTTCAATTTTGTGTGAAGCCGCAAGCGTGATGGAAAGAAACGCAGCGAGAACTTTTTCAAATGCAAGTGGAAACGAAAAGAAGCAGTATGAGAAACTACCGGTACCGCCATCTTCCGATCACATTGGTTCTTCATCTTCATCACCACCTCCACCTGCGTCGTCCTTGCCCGCCGCCCCCTCCATCGAGCAGTTGTGTGTCCATTTCTTCCCATCTACCCAAGGCCGTCTCCTCTCCCTCATCGTCAAAACCGCTTTGGTTTGGCTCCTCCTCTGCGCCGCGTCCGCGTTGCTGATCATCTACGCGAGCAACATCTGCCAGCTCTTCGGCTTTGGTGAGGATTTTCAGGGGTGGTTGATTCTGCTCAGTCTCGTTTGCGTGTTTCCCGCGACCTGCCAGAGTCGGTTGGACGCACTGAAGGTCTTTTCCGGGGTGGCGAACTTGGGGACGGGATGTGTACTGTAGATTCATTACAGTCTTTTATGTTAGATCATGTAAAACAAGCTCATTTCTAAAGCTGTATTGCGAAGACGATGGGAATAAATATACGAAGCACAGGAGTTGCAAAAGTGAAAAAAATCTCCCGCCAGGTCTTCCTGTTCTTCGTGATCCGCCTGTTGACTGGTTCGGTCGCGAAAGACGTAAGTCTCCTCCCCATTCAGCCCACGCTCGGCGCTTTCTTCCAAGCCTTACCACCGGTTCTAACCGCGTTTTGCTGTCACTTCAACGTGTTGCAGATTCGCAGCGAGCTGGTAACGGCGAAAGGTGGAACTACGGGGACATCAAGGGGAAACCGAAGTTTGTCATGCGGAGCGTCGAGTGCGTCAAGTGCAGCTGCATCCTGGACGATGGCAAATGTGGTCAACTATTCCATGCTGACCGTCGGGACGCTGCACGCCTTGTTCGGAGTTCTGGGGTACGCGATTTGCGGCCAGAACGGCATGGAAACGGATATTCTGCTGTCGCAGCAACTGTTTCACTATCAGAGCGCACAAAGAAACACCTTTACTTTCACCTGCTGAACTTGTCATGCCACACAAGATGGCGCAAGTGAATGTCAGTGCATGACACACATGATCATCTTCAGACGAGCAATGGCCTGTTGCATGACAGGATGAAAAACCATATACGATTTTTTACTGTGTTTTCTTGTTTCCCCGCAATACAGACTTCAAGGGCTCTGGTGCGGCTTCGATCGGTGTCGGGTTTAACGCTTACAGCGCAACCGCCTTTCAGCAGAACACCGCAACGCTGGATTCCAGGTCCGTTGAGAAAAATGCGGATCACCCGGATCTAGCAGTGCAGTGGGGGATTGCAGTATGCAGATGAAAAGGATCAAAGGGGGGTGATGTGCTGCCTTGATGCCAAGCAGAATCATGTTAGGTTTTTTTAGTTGATTGCAGGCTCGCTGCATGCTATGCTTGCAATACTTTGGAAGAAGGGCATCAGAAGATGTCTTGGTAAAGAATTCACATACAGACCACACTTGACCTTTTCCTCACCATAAAAGAGCTATCTCCAGTACGGCATATCGATCAGTATCTTCTGCGTCGCCGTCAGTAATCTGCTTCGCTACCCGCTGCTCGTGCTTCCATTACGAGACGTCCTGGAGTCGCTGTTTTTTCGCAAGAGCGACCTGAGTACTCCGGAGACGGGCGATGCTACCTCAGGTCCGTCACCGTCAGCGTCATTACTTCAGCAGGATGGGGCAGTGCAAGCTAAACCAAAACAGCAAACAAGCTACCTCAGTTTCACATCTCCAGGACCCGACACTGCTATCATCGACTTCGAGAACAGAGGACAAGAAGCAAGTACAAGTAGGGCAAGAACGTTGCAAGTGCCCTTGCTGCTCTCTCCTGATGAAACGAGGTCGAAGGAAGATGGCGACATCAGCAAATCCAATCGTGTTAACGACGGGAATCTAGCGAACACCGACACAATGAAGGCGTCGGAAAGTACTAGCTGGACAACTACCAGTGGGGCATTAGCCGGGCGAGTAAAAACGGTAAACACAGCAGCCGCTCCTGCGTCAGGATCGCCGCCAAGATTTTTTCAAATGCTTTTCGTGAACACAGTCGTGGGCCCTATCTTTTTGAAAAATATCTTTCGAGTCAAAGAGCAGCAGTCTTCCTGCGATCACGATGGTGTGATTGATACACAAACATCCTAGATCATGCAGTCTTGATTTTTGAAGAAGCAGTGCTGCGCGCATGATGAGAAAGAACCTCTTTGCACGGAGCAAACAAATAAGCTGTTGTCTTTACTCGAAATTCCCTTCCCATACTCCTCGCTGCGTGGCGGATGCGGGATTTCTCCGTTCCCCTCTCCATCTTGGGCTTCACCGCCGTGCCGCTGGTCTGCTTTCTCGTCCCCGGCCTGATCGGAATGAAGCTGACTTGTGAGAATTGATATCAAGTGGAATCAGTGAGTTTTTGTAGCGCTTTTCCTGGACGTCGATTTGCATTTTGTTGTCGTGCATAACAAGTAGCCTATCCCCATTTATAGGAGACGTCTTGGTGGACCACGAATCTACGAACTTCAAAGCGAAAAGAACTTCTTTCGACTGGATATCTCCGGCAACGATTACGAGATCCGTGGCGCGATATTGGTCGCGTTTGGTTTGGTCTCGGGAATCGGAATTTTTTTGACAACGCAAGGAGTTTTTACTCCGGTGGTGCAGGCGGGGAAGTGAGGATGTTTGAGGGGATTAGCCATGATGATAGTCTTCGTGTAAAAAAAAGAAGAGAACGAAAACAAAGGTTTCTACGATATCATCACTCTACTTTTCTCATCTCTTTCCTGGGTTTACTCCCGCCACTACCAATCCACAAACAGGCTGCTTTGCGTGAAGCATAAAAAAAGAGTATGAGGTCCCTCAATTTCATTTTGCATAGAATCAATCATAATGAAAACGACGTTATCTATCATGACCTTGACCATCAACATAAGTACCTTTACGCATGACCATGATGACCGATACCAAAAGAGCGAACTGATTGTAGACAAGACAAGGTTGCCGGTGCCAACAGCACCTGGGAGTACTCCGTGATAGTCCTCTGGAAAAATTTTAGATTTTTTTTGCTAATCTCATCGACTTTGAATGAAGACTACTCTCAGCCGAAGAAGTGACTCGTACATAGGCACAGATAGCTCTTCATTTGAGGATGCTTCTGCTATCTGGTTTTTGTCTTTACCACAGACAAACAACAAGTTGTTGGAGCGTTCGCTACTTCGAGTCGTCGTCGTAGGTAAGGACCATCGGGATTCAGGTAGTCAGTCTATCGTCTTGTTCGTATGTAGAAGTACATCAACATATGAGAGCAGGAGGTCAGTGCTGAGTATCGTGCCCTCTGAATGGTAACTCGGAAGGAAAGAGACTCCGAGTGACGGTGTGCAGAAACCATGAGCAGCGAGTCTCGTGACTACAGCATACGCTTTGATGCCGTGTGCGCGACTCGTGACTGCCATCTTCAACAGTCATCATCAATGCATAAATCCGATCGAAGATCGATGTTACTTATGGTGTGGTTGTAGTTGCATTTGATTTTGATAGGACACGTGTGCCCGCATTTTTACAATATTAAATCCAAGATGTTACTGCGCAGATCACCAAGAAGTACGACGCTGGTGTCCGCGTAGCTCCACAACACAACAACAGAGCTCCGCTGGCTGAGGAAAGCGCTCATCTGTTCGTGCAACTCTCCTGGTACGACAGACTGACGAGAACGTGCAACTCTCGGTCCCCACAGAACAAGTTTTTTCTTGAACCTGAAGCCCGAGTTTCCACCTTTTTCTGGTCCCACGTGTACCCCCAACTACCAGTACCACGATGCCGGGCGCCGCGGGAGCTGGTCTGTTGGCGGATTCGCTGGACAGCTACTTCAACGGGAACAGGAACAAGCATCCAGATCTGTACACGACGCTGCACGACAAGAATGGCGGCACGTCGTTCTTTCACGAAGGTGCGGTGGGCGTCGCGGTGAAGAATCCAAATACCTCGATCGGTCGCGCTGACAAGATTTTCGCGTCTGAAACTTCGCCTCTGGCCGCGGTGAACACACGATTGCCGAACCGCCAAATGAGCAGTGTTGAGGCGGCTGCGGCATTCCTTGGAGGAGGAAGAATAAGCGCGGGGGGAAGTTGTAGCAGCAATAACTCCGGGCGAACAGTAGAAACATCCTTACCACGAACAAGCTTCGCAGCAGTTCCTACAGGACGCCCCCCCCCCCCCCATCCCTCAATTGCGATCACGAGTGGCCCACCACGGGGAGGGGAGCAACCTCGCCTGCGGGACAGCGGTCACTGGGGCAGCGCTGACAGTAATGGGTTGTTGCCTGATCCAAGTAGAAATGCTGCACGAGTGCGGACGGTCACCAGTTACGCTGCAGGAGAGTCAGGGTCATCCCTGTCTTCCACCGGAAAATTGCAACAGCCGTTAGATCAGCATCATGACATGGCTTCGCGCAAACCCACTGTGACGAAACCGCCGACATCGACGACATTTGCCAGTCCGGACACATCGTCTCCCAAATTGAAGTCTAAAGAGGTGATGCAGGGCTTCCTCCGTGATGTGTGCACCGCGTACTGGAACGTTGTTGAAACAAAGTCCAAGAATAAAAGTGTAAAGGTGGAGAATGATGACAAAGGACAATCCGACTTCGGGCAGGACGGTTACGGGAGAAACAAAACCGGGAGGGAGATGCTGTTGCGGTGGTTCAACCACCCCGTCGCCCCATATTCGGTCACCGGACTACACCCACCACACGGGAACAGGTTGCAAGACTCTCAACCGAGGGCGAAGGGCGTACAACTAAGCCCGAACTCCCAAGCGCTGGAGAACGCGCACCCAGGATTAACCAGCCGGCTTGCTCGGCTCGAGGAACGACTTGAGAACACACTGACGAACAACACCCAAGGCACGATGAACGTGGGCGACCAGAACGATCTGAGGCAACAGATGAAGTGTTGTCGACTAGGAAGCATTGACGGCAAGCGGCTCTACATGTGGATTCCTCCGTGGCAAAACTTACCGGAGAACTGGGGGATGTTTGGCGGCCAGAGCTTGACCAGTTGCGTCCAGGGCATGCTGAAAAAATTTTACGACGTTGACTGTACTACCCCGATGTTTCGAAGATTGGTTTTTATTGAAGTTGATATAGCATATTTTTCGTTTCGCCTGTGAGTGTATATAAGCACCTTTCTCGTCGCCACAAGATCCTAGGTCTTGTTGCTCCTACAACTGCTCCATACAACATAAAAACGACACCACACCATGCACATTCCAACACACGATCAAAACGACTACTTAGGCTCAAGCGACGAATCCAGCAATAACCCGTGCTGCGTAAATGGGAAGCTTGTTTCATCAAGCAACTGTGGCTTAGAAGATTTGGCAACCTTGGCGAAAGTAGGAACTGATCAGCCTGCGGCAGGTTCTGAGGTACTGATAAAAGTTCTTCCTAAAAATGCATCGTGATATACAAGTGAAAAAAAGTTCGTTGCCTTATTTGTTACTGAAGAGAAGTTAAGAAAGTGGATTTTGTCACGCAAAAGTGTCGCGCATCACTTCACTATATAAATTCTGGTTGTGCAGGGCGTAGACTATAATGATGTGAGTGGGGCTGTCGTCATGGGTCAGCCGGTACAAGGAGAAGGTCCAGCAGCAGCAGCAGCTGATCAACGTACTATCATGCTTCTTTCGCTTCAGCAGGCTGCTATGAACTGAACAGCTTATGCATCATGCTCATGGGTCAATGCCGATATTTTGGTTTCGATGTCGGACGTAGATGCACATAATTTGATTTGAACATACTTACGTGACTGATCGATGTTTTTTGTGATACTCTCCAAGGACGAAAACGCATGCGCAAAGTAAATTTTGAAAAATACATCACTCAGCGATTGCCAAGAACCCGAATCCAGTAACGGTTGTCACCGGTGAGCCCGTCCGCCTCGGCAACCCCGCGTCGCTTGAGCACACGCAAACCAAAACCGTTGGCGGTACCCCGGTTGTCGTTGCGAAACCTGCAATTGACGCAGCAGTTGCAGCAGTACCAAAAAACGATGAGTCAGATGCTGGAGGAAAGACTGCACCTCAAACATCGCCGTAATAAACCTCGACGAAGCGATCGCGATGATGAGTAGTTCTCGTCGAAGTAACACCTAGTACTGCGTGCCAATGGTGCGGACCACGTTGCCTGATTTCGACCTCTCTTCTCCAGTTTCCAATTTCTCGATGGCATCTTTCGTCGGGCCGGAGAATACGGTCAAAAGCCGTGGTTGGATGAGGAGTTGGTGCGCTGATGTTGTATAGTCTCGCCACTGAAATTATCTGGCACGAATGTATGATAATGATATGAAGTAATGATCTTTCTTTCTATAGCCACAACGTACACTAGATGAAGATGAGCAACTGCTTCTCGTCGTCAAGGACCATCCATCGGTCTTGGAAAGGCAATCGCTCTCCGAAATTGGACAATCAATGTCGATTGTTGATGCGCAAAAAAGTAGAAAATGAAAAGACAAGGGCACGAAATTAACGGACTCCGTTGGGTTTCCGAAGAGGAAGGAACACACAACGCAACGGCTGCGGACAGCAGCCTGCGGCTTTGAGTTCTACAAATACATAGTTGTTCTGTGTTGTTCAGGTTTGCAAGTGGCACCAACTCACGAAAAAAGAAGCGAGGATCTTGATTTCGTCCATATCATCGTGGTCGTTTTCGTTGATGGAGATGGGGAAGCAAGCTTGTAGTGCACTCGGGTACTTCTTTGATGAGAGCATTCCGTTTATTGCAACGCCTTTGAGAGGACGAACAAAGCCCCGCGCGCTGTGGCGAGACTTCCTCGAGAGAGCAACCAGGTTCTTATCGTTCTTGAGAACATCAGACAGAGAATTTTGGAGCCGAGCAGGTGGTAGCTCTGCTTGGAGTTGTCCTGGCCTGAATCCTGTTGGTTGTGTCAATGTCTCTTTCGCCACGAGTTCCTCGAGAGTGAGCATATGATTTGTCAAAGTTTCTTTAATATGCACAACCGGATTTCTGTTGCGCATGCAAGCAGTGGGAGTCTAAGATGAAGAGGTGGAAGAACAGGCTCGTGTGACGGTAGTCGTGTAGTTCTTCTTGTTCGTTAAAAATAAATGCACCGATTTTTGAGAAGTACATCACCGTGGCTTTGTACAACTTCCGGGTGAACGGTGAACGAGGCCACACGACGAGCTAACGTCGGAGGAGAAGACATCAAGCAGTAGTTGAAGAACGCTAGACTTCCATTTCTGGCTCTGCAAAGCAGAAGCTGTCGATTCCAAGAACAACGCAGCTTGTGCCTCGCTGGAGCAAAGAACAACTTTCACGGCCAGCAGCACCGAGTCGCCGAGTCGCGGATCGGGAGACAAAATCCAGTCGGAACTTCTACTTCCTCCCGCTCCACCTCCGACGAGCCCGAGCATTTACTTCTCTCGGAAAGACGCGAGGATTTCTGTGACGTCGTAGCAGATCTAGTAGTAGTAGAACTTCTTCTTGTCCTGCTTATCAACGACGAAAACCATCATGCCGGGCCTGGCAGGAGCTCTGCTGGCGGATGGATCCGCACTCGGCGGCTGCCGCAACAGTCTGGAGCAGGAGCACCAGGATTTGCAACACACGACTCTGTACAACAACAAAGCCGCGGCAACTTCGTTTTTCGAGAACCCGATAAACGGGACAAATACTACGTCCAGTGGCCCGCTTGCACCAGTCGGAGTTCATCACCAAATCGCGAAAGGGACAACGACCAGGGCTATTGATTCCGCCGCGTCGACGTTCCTTGGAGCAGGAAGAACATCCGGGGGAGGAAGCAGTAGTAGCAGTTTCTTTGGTGGCTGCAACCCCAACCGAGGTAGTTCATCATTCACAACTTCTGCGGTTGGTGGACGAACAAGTGGTCTTCTGCACACGAGGACATCATCATCTCCACGAGCAATGACGAGTTTTTTGACCACTTCCAACCCGCATCTTGTTCGGAGAAACCGTCCACGAGTCCACGCCGAGAAAAGTCGAGTGGAGTCACGCAGCATTTCCTCCAGTTCTTCTTCTTCTTTCCGTGAACAGTTTGGAGCGTCGGATTCTCTCCACGGAGGTGGACGACCAGGACCACGACAGGTATGGACAGCAATTAATATCGCTGCAATGTGTAGTTGAGTCAAGTCAAGCTATGCATTCTCGCAGCTAGTAGAAGTAGACGAGCATGAACAATCTTCAAAGAAGCAAATTTTGAGCTGCCTGCCGAGGCCAGGATGGTGTGACGTAGAGACATGACAGACTACAAATGACACTAGCAATGAAGTCGAGTTGATGGAGCAATGATGTGTGGCCATTCTTCACGCATGCAGTGATAAACCATACATAGCCATTTCTTGAGTCATCGTTTTGCTACGATATTGCAAATGCCTACAACATCGTCCTCTTCCACCTCTTTCATCCCGACGGCCGACCACAGTACCACCAATACGCCAGTACCATTTCCCGTCAAAGCAACTCGCGCAACCTCCGATCATCTGCCAGAGCAGACCACGTGTTGGAGGAGTCCACAACACCGCGCAGCCACCGCACCACGTGGCGTACACGGGAAGAAACGGAGTCCGACGTTATCGAGATGAAAATTATGTCTGTGTCAGTACGCTCGAAGCAAAATTGCTACATTCGATCCACTTCATCTACCGCAGTGCCTCTAAGAGGGGTGCGTTTTGTGATTTTGATCTACGTTGTTCCTGACGTTTTACAGCGTGCTTTAGGAAATTGAAATAGGAAGCGCATTTCAAAATCTGTGTTGCCAAATCCACTTGGCCGCATTCTTGCTGTATAGATAGGACAGAAATTGCTTGGGACGGACTGGAGGACACAAGTTGCATCTCAATAAACTTGCTTTCGGCTTGGGTCTGCGCCTGCGGGTCGCCGAAAAAGTAGAACAAAACCCGCGCCCGCGGAACCAAACGTCGACGACAAAACTCTTTTCGGCGGAATAGGTCCGCTATGTGACGCAAAAGAAGTGTTGGGACCAAGCGGTAAAGGATGGAGAGGGTGCTTCGAAGAGACGGCACGCAAATCTATTCACCCACCTCATATTGACGACGACGACGATCGGATTCAGCCATCGTTTTGGCAAAGAAGGACGGAATCATTTGAAGACCAACAGAAAATAAGACAGGAGGCGAAGTCGGAGTTGATTAAGAAATGGATAGCCGAGCACGAAACAGAGCATGAAGAAGCCGAGGAAAATAGAATAAGTGGGAAAGTACCGAGAACCCTTTGCATCACGGCGGGATTGAAGTTGGGGCGGTGTGTCTGGGGTTCGTCGCGAGGTGATATGCGGGATGAAGGTTGTAGGTGCTCCTCCGACGCGTTTGTTTACGGTTACAAGGGAAATAAGGAGAAAGAGTCAGAGCAGTTGGAGCTGTCGAAGAAGGAGATTTTCGAAGAGCAGTTGTTAATGTATGCCACAGGAACAAAGCAATGAGTTGTGAGGGAAGTGGAAAGATACTGCCATCAGCAGTTGTATTTCGCAGTTTTCTTTCAAAGTACGCTCTCTGTAAGTAAAGCGATGCTCCAAGAACTCCATGTGTATGCTGTTCATATCCACGTTCTGGTAGGATCAATCCCGACTTAACGATCAGACCTTCCGTTTGCATCGTCAAAGCTACCAACTCACAGCTTTGCGACATCATACAATTCCAACGAACGATATACAATAATGGCACTACGTGATACGGCGATAATTTTCGGAAGATCCTCCGATCAGTCCTAGAGACGCACAACGTCAACGTCAAGGAGCAGGAGAAGGGAGGAAGTTCGGCGGGTGATGGAGAAGACAATGGAGGAACAAATCCGCCACCGGTATCAACAAGTGAGGTGGATGAATTGAAGAAACCGCCGCCGATTATCACGGATGTGGATTTGAAGAAAGTGAAATGGGAGGGTTACGGAGCGGTAGGGAATAATTGTACAAATACCAATAGAAAAGATCGTCGCGAAGCGCAGAATTACGAGAAATCCAACTTGGACGTACTCTGCAGCGCAGAACACAGACAACCTGATGTAGACGGGCAGCCGATGACAAAACTCGGTATTTGCGTAAACAGCTCCCCCTCCCGCCGGGATCGGGACGGTGTTCTAATTTCAGGCTGCGTAACTAGCAACCCGTCTTGGAAATTCAGTGTTAGTGACAAGGTGGGGGGAGAATGAGAAATTTACAGGACGCACGACAACATTCTTTTGTTCGGAGGAGGAGTCGGAACGTCGAGCAGCGTTGCACATGACAAAAAATACCATGATTGGGAAGGAAGAAAGAATGCGGTGCGACACTTGAACAACCAAGAGCCGTCGGAAAAAAACCCGGTGGACTTGGCCTATCCGAATGACCCCATTTATCCACCTGATGAACGTACGACAACATGATGATGTTTATTTATTTCGCTTCTAGTTCTATGATCAACTTTGGGCTCGATGCCGGTATTTTGCTTTCGATATTATCGGATATGGATGCATATGGATTGAGTTGAATTTATTTATCCGTGATGTTTTTCTTTTTCGCGATACTTTTCCGATGCGGAACACGAACGTGTAGGAAAGTAAATGATACACCCAGCTCTTCCGGCCTCTCCTGAAGCCAGCACAGTCCCGGACCCGGAGAAGCCAGCACCATTAAGGGAACAAGTCGTCGCTGCTCCCGCCTCCCCCGAGGAGCCGCGAGGCGAAGAGACTCAGACTACAGATACGCCGTAAACTCCTCGAAGAAGCGATGATGAGTAGTTCTCGTCGAAGTAACATCTAGTACTACGCGCCAGTAGAAGTAGTGCAGACCACGTTGCCTGATCTTGACCTCTTTTCTCCGGTTTCCGATTCGTCGATGGCATCTTCCTTCGGGCTGAAATATACGGCTGGAGCCCTGGTTGGATGAGGAGTTGGCGCGCTGATGTTTTTTACTCCCGCCCCTGAAATTATCTGGCACAAAGAAATGTATGATATGAAATACCGACTGAACTTTGTCGCTTCATATGGCATTGATTGTTGCTATTGACAAAATAAAACGGCAAGGGCGACTCACTGTTTCAAAAGTGCACTGCTTCAGAGCATCATCCTCGTCATGCGGCTTCACCGATATTGACGGCAAGCAGAAGGTTAATAACGTTAACGCTCAGGAGGGTCCTAGTCCTTTACGAACGCGAGTGAATACTTAGCATTTCAGAATGCCATTTTCTTCTCTCGCCTGATGTCGTTTAGCTTTAGACGAATCGAAAATGTCGGTCATGGCAGCTTCGGTTTCGGAGGTAGTTAGTAGCCGCAAGCTTGCTCGCTGAGACGGAACATCAAGAGAGCTGCGCTCGCATTTTTCGGGTGGCCATCGAGGGAATGAGTAGAAGTAAGTACGTTCGTAGACGAGACGAGTAGAAGGTAGAATGCCGCGAGGAGGAATTCGTTGTATATTAATGATGATACAATTCGTTCTACTATAAGTACAACGCGATCGAACCAGCCGCCATTCATCGTTCGTCATCGTGGCGGGGCAACGGTGTAATTACCGGACGTTGTCATTCAGTTCGCACTTGTCAGTGTGGTCTTTGTCTCAGCATCTTCTGCGCCCCCTCTGAAATCGAAATGTAAGGATCTTAACCTTTTTTGTACAAATTAAAACTTTGCCTCTGTGATCGTGAAAAAACAGAAAGACTTGACTAGAAGAAAGCTATCAGAAACCCCAGAATCTTCAATCATGGCCCTGGACGGCGTGTTTCGGATGAAGGGCGCTACGCCCAACGCCATGAACGAGGTGGCGGCGAACGTGATTATATCCTGAGAAAAAACTGTTACAGTTACACTCTCTGATGGAAGACAAGCAAGACAGACCACCTCTGTCATGCAGGAAATGCTTGCCAGCCTCATTTCATTCGTGGTTTCCCCTATAGTCTGCGCATCACAGGTTTTCTTTGCATTGTTGAGCAACTTTGTCATGCAGAAACTCCAACAAGTGTGTAACTGTAACACTTTTTTCCTGTGATAGATTAACAGCGAAAAGCAGTATTTACCCGCTCCGAGAATAGGCTGCGTTCCGGATTTACGGGAAAGGGGAAAATCATCGACCGTGACTGTTTGTGTTGCTGTTTTTAGCATATGGCCGATTCTTCACATTTGTCTTGCATGAAGAGCATAAGATTGATTTGAAATTGGCATGACAGAAATTGGCATTCACGGCCAGGCGTGTTTTTCCCTTCCATACCCCATCAACGCCGCAAAGTTGAAGAAAACCTGGGTGGAAAAGCCGCCGAATGTTAGAGTAAGATAATTTAATATGTTTTGCACTGCATCTTCTCATGTTTAAGTTTATTGCTGCATAAAAGATGTCTTTCAACAAAATACCATTCCTGCATGACAAGTTCTCAAAAACTACCAAACCAGCACGAAGACGCAGTGTTGAAGCAGCTGACGTATGGGTGCAACAGTGGAAATATCAAATGCAAAAATGTCTGGGTCTGGAAGAGCCAAACTTGTGATGCTGTATTTGGATGCTAAAAAAACCTGTATTGCATGACCCGCAAGAGAATTCAAATTTGGCTACGCGGAGAGGGCATTTGTCATGCTGGATGCGCATAGATAAGCGCTCAAAAAATCTGTGATGCTGTTGCATACATCACAGACATCATGGATCATGGAAAATGTGCATTACAAACTTCTCCTCTTCCAGACCCAGACATATTTGCATTTCATAGGAAAGCAAGTGCGGGAATTGCAGCGGGTGTACAAGATATGCAAACAAAACCTTGTACAGATACGCAGCCCCTCTCTCTGGTAGCGGTTTTGCATGAACAGAATCTATTATTCATACATCTGCTGAAGCGCAGACTCGACTGAGATCCAGTGATTTCCTGCATAAACACGCTTCATTAGGTCTGACGAGAAAGGAGCTGTGGCATTTCTCTTCCATAACTGAACGAAATCGACCACAGAGACCGATCGTTGTCCATCTCACAGCATTTCACAGACCCAAATGGTATTTTACACTTTTAGTATGAGTTTGTCATGCAGTGTACTGCTTGGATACAGGCGTTTTTCATGCGACATCACACAAAAGCCAAAGACTAAAAACTTCAGATCCTGTGATGAAGGACCTGCAGCGGGAATGCGACGACAAGTTGGCGCAAATGAAACAAGCAAACATCGACCGGTTTGCGTTGCCAGCAACGTGTATGGAAGGTGGAAGAAACTTGCTCAGCCGAAATTTGTCATGCGTGATTCACACGACGAGGGAGTAGTCGCTTCCCCACCCTTAGCTTGTTTCGCATGGCAAAAGATGAAACCCAAGGAAGTCAAATTTTAGCATAGCCTTTGTTCCTTCCTTTCCATACTTTCAGCGGGAGTAGTGGGCCAGCTTGCAGTCAACCCACTGCATCCAAAGTATAGCTTTTGGTTAAGACTTCTGAAGTTTGTCATGCGTAATAAAGACGGTTTACGAGAAAGATCTGTGATGCGTGAATCTGCATGACAATATCAATATCTCAGGTGGCGGAGAAGTGAAGGTCCGGGCCAAACGTGGCGCTTTCCAAAGGCTACGGCCTGGAAAAATTTGCTCGCAAATTGTCCTGCTTGTCCTGCACCTCACGAATTCCACCCAATATTCTGCCCAAGCCGCATGAGCGACAAAACTGATGGTGTTGTAGAGGGACAAGCATTACAAATTGAGATCAAATTTTTTTTTTGCATACCAAACGAGTGCGACATCGTCTTGTTCGGGAAACTTATCGAAAAGAAACATTTCTTGGCTTCATCTGCAAGTGCCTCGGGCCGATGCAATTGGTCATGGTGAGAAAATAAATGTGAACTACTTTTAACACCTGCTAGTTCTCCACAGCGAGCTCGCTGTAAATATGTATGGGCCTCTCTGTATCAACCCCACCTGCTGATTCTTGAGACAGCAAGAAATACTATCTTCCGTCCCATACGTAAGTACTACGAAACGTGCGGCGTCAACATGTTCTCGTACTTACGAATAAGAAGCGCTTTTCTGTCAGAAGTTTGTCATCCAGTTTTAAATATGCCTATGGTCCTTGAACAAGTACAAGACTGGTGATACGTACCAAAGTACCACGCATGACAAACTTCTTCCCGAAAATGCCGCTTTCTTTCCATACCCGAAGGCAAAGGAGCAACTGTTTGCGGGACAGCCGTCGTAAAGAAGAAGGAGATGAGCTTCAACTACTTCTTCGCATTCGCATTGTTCCTACTTCTGCAAGAACTTCTACCCGCTCCTGTTTCAGTTTCTGTACTGCTCCACTACTTCTGAACTGCTGCTACGTCGCTTCCACACTCTCAAGCAAGTTCTTTCTCCTCATCTACCGCCGCTTGTCAGCATGCACCTCTGCGACGCCCTGACGAGACGCTCAACCACAGACACAATCTCTGGTGCTCGTCTAGTCGGGGAGAGAGGGCTCTTCTTCTCGAGATGATGAACCGGTGTCGCTGGTGCAGGGTGATGCGGGCGAGTTGCTGATGAGTTCGTGAGCGTACTGTTACCCATGATACTCCTTTACTTTTTGACAATTGATATCCTCAAAATCCTTATGTAGTTAGATCTAAATTTCTGTTCTTGCCTTTAGAATTAGATTCAGCAGTAGAGAACTGTCTAGTACCGCTCGCCCCGCTACTAGACATCGGCTGTAACTTTTCACCTGAACTTGTTGTTTTGAACTTTTCGTTTACTTTACCACTTCTTCCTGCCTTTGTGTTTCTATAACATACCTTTGGATCTTATTTCGCAGCTACACTAGGACTAGACCGTCTCATCTGCGTATTTCCTTTATCAAGAAGTTCACTTTTCACTAGAACTCTGAACCGCGTACCTTTTGAACTTTGAGCCGCCGCTCCGTTTTAGCAGGTTTCTTTTTGCTGTGATTACCATTACCGTTTCGCCTATTGTGCTAGACTTCGAGGACTTTTGATGGATCCGTCGATCATATCAGAGCAGCAGCAAGGTTTGAAGAAGCAATTTCTGTTGCTGTCGCGCAAACTAAACTGTCACTTCAGCAGCTCTTAAGGCGTAGGCGAAATCAACTTTGGTAATCCCCGTTCTTGTCGCTCCCTGTTCAAAAAAAGTGGAAATTGGCGGAAGATTTCGATAAAAGGGCGCCACTTAATGGTGGGCTTTCGAAGAACTGGCACCACGACGCCCAAACAGCAGAGGTGTTCTCCCTCGACCTTGTGCTGGACAGATTACGATGTAGGTTTTATGGCGAACAAAAAGGCGGGTGAGACTCCTGTAGACGCGAGCAAAATGGTAATTTGTTCTGGCTCGTCCTCGTCGCGCTCACACCAACAGAACTTCCAAGTGCGATATTTCTACGTACGAGTTTTTCTTCTTCACGATCAGTCCATCATTTCCATCTTCAGGTCGCGTACGGGAATATTAATTACGGGAGCGTCATGCGATATCTAGTCTAGGGGGTCTGTATAAAGGAGCTGTTTCATCTGTTGTATTTTGCACAAAATTATGACAAAACCTGTCGCTACTAGCGCTGGCTGCCGCCAGGTTGTGGCCTGCTGGGTAGTTCTGCTAACCTTCACAGGGACACTTACCTTCGGCACTGCACCTCCATTGGCGAACGCTGTCGCAGTGTCCCTGAAGAGTGGCGGTTATCATACGGCGAGTACAGAACAAGAAATCGGGCGGCCGGGTGAAGAAAATGACACATATGATGGTCCTATGAGTGCCGCAGCCAGGGTTCGCGCCCAATTTTCACGACCTCCCCGGCTGGTGAAGAAAGTGTTGCAGGATGCCGGCACCACCAGTAGCTCTGCCTGTGACACGACAAAAGCTGCACGCCATCCTGCTAGGCGAGAGAATGCATCTTCGCAAAAGCGAAGGACTCGTCTCTCGTTTATCTCACGGGCTCTAGCAGCTCTGTTGCTGCAGGCGCAGCTGTCGGGAGGCCAAACACGCGATGTCGGGACGATTCCTGCCTCCCCAGTCGTGCCAACGTACGTGTCGCAATGCGGTAGAATGGATGGAGATGAAAATTCACCAGAAAGCTGGTTGGGTGCTTCCAGCGGGAGCGGCCTGTTGGATCAACTGGTAAGGCAGCTGACGGACAAAACCGACGACCTGTCCGGCGTCGAAGGAGGTGAAACAAGAAGTAAAGCGCAAAGCACCACTTCCGCGCTTTCTGCCGAAGCTGGACATCAGGATGAGATCTGCGTGCCCAGCAGTGCTGCAACGTCTTTGCGCAAGGAAAGATCGCAAACGGGAGCGCCGAAAAGTTCTGTCCTCCAAGAAGAGCTCGCTCTTTGGGAAGAGTTCAAGAGGAACAGACGAGAGGCAGCAGTTCCTGGTGGATCTGGGGCAAGAAATACAAGGATTTTCGCCTTCTGGGATTTCTTGGATTCCAGAATGGAAAAGACGCCGATCGAAGAACGCAGCAACATCGAGGAAAGGAATCGACAGCAGATGGACCGACGAGCTCGATCTACCACCGTCTCACTAGACAAGAAAATCTGGGACTTCGCGACCTTGGAAAACCCAAATCTGAAAACGGTAGATTCGTTTTTGCGAAGTTTTGTCGCGGATTTGAAGAACTTGAATAAGGTTGACTTCTCCAAGAACTTGCCACCATGTAATTCGTGGTCTTCTCCAGCAGCTACGCCTACACCTGCTGCGGTACCGGCGCAAGGCATGCGGGTACCGTCTCAACTTCACCCGAATGTGCAAGCAATTCTCGAACGAGGTGTCCCGGTGAAGTCTGAAGACCCCGCAGCCCACGGGCAACAACATCAGCAGGACGTGAGACCGGGGGCTAGACGAGTAGAAACTGCTGCTCACGATCCTGTTTATAGCCCGTCCCTGTCCGACACCGACTCCTACCGGGTGCAATCGTTCAGCAACGAAAAAAATAAAAATCCACCTGCCCTTTCAATGATGTTGAGCAAGCCTCCCGCTAACACTCACCTGCAGAACACCTGGGCAGCGGAAATCGATGATTTGGACGACGCTGAAAATTTCGATGGCGGAGAAGACGAGGATACTCAGTACAGCATCGCTAACGTAGTGGCGCATAAAACAAGCTCAGCGGGTGTACAACTTTTGCACGACGAGAACGGTGAAGCACTACCGCCGGAAATTTCAATCTCCGACTGGATGAAACGAGCGGAAACCATGCAGTTCATGCAGGGCGGAATGTTTTTCGATGAAGAACAAGAAGGTCATGAAGGTGGGGCCCCTGATGTTGTGCCTGAAATGGTGGGAAATATTGTCAGTGGTGCTCGCAACGACGACGAAAACAGAAAAGATGCGGACACTGACCCGTCTGTGCGGTCATCATTAAGTGAAGGGGCGGTGAGTACAGATGGTGCAGCAGCAGCAGCCAAGGACGATATGAACTGCAGCTGCGAAGACGTGACACCGTACCTGGAGAATCTAGTTGTGCCGCCGTTTGACATGACGCCGTTGGCGCGGAACGGACGAGAGACCGTGGCTCCCAGGATTTCTCTCCTCCCTAGGAATGGCGAAAACAACGCAGAGGACATAGCTGCAGCAGGACCTACCGGAACAGGATCTGCATCTTCGACGCTGCGAATCTCGAATGCCCTCGGAGTCCCAAGCGATTGGAGAAGAGGTGCAGCGTTGGCTTCTGCTGCAGCTGGTCGCTCACCTTCATATAGAGATGAAAAAGGTGATCTTCCCGCGTGTTCTTATCCCTAAGAAAAATCGCGCCATACCGTCGCGATTCGTGGGCTTTTTTTATTCTAGGCAAGGCCTGGCGTGTCTGAGGCTAACAAAAGCGCCACCGCCCAGGGCTATCCAAAGCCTTCGCCGCGCATCATCCAGAGGGTCGCGCTTTCGTGCTTAGCGCAGCCCCAGCTCATGCGCCAGGGAACGCTCTGCACACTGACAGAATAACCGCCGGCCACTGCGTCCAAGTTCGCGCGCCCGGGCGCGAGCTGATGCCCCACCCAAAGAGCCCCCCCAAGCCGGGGCTACGCCGGCGGTCGCACCGGGCCGCGGCAGTGTGCGCGCCCACTCGTCTCTCTTTGTGTCAGGCAGCAGATGATGGCCCCTCCGGTGTTGTCTTTGGTGCCTGCGCCGTGCCGTCGGTCCTAAATTAGGACCGGTGGGGCGCTGGCTCCATAAAATGATATGTATATGGCTATGGGACCACGTCCACGAAGCAAAGATGGTGCTTCAGCTGCGCACGTTCCCGCTCGTGCATAGATAAGAACACTACTGCAGCGACCTGCTGTGGTGTTTTGGGATGAAGCAGAGTTGTAGCTTCGGCTCCAAATGTTCCCGTTCTCGTTTTCTGTTGTTCTTATCCTCCAACTCCGTGCATAGATAAAGAAGTTCTCATCTATGCACGGAGATGATTGGACGATCAGAATTGAAGCTTCTCCTCCAGATGTTCCCGTTCTCTCAAAAGTGCTGTTCTTATCCCTCCTGTTCGTGCATAGATAAGAACACCATTTTTAGGTCGTTACAAACATGTTCTTATCTATGCACCATTTGGAGGATAAGAACAGCATTTTTGCGAGAACGGGAACCTCTGGCGCAGAAGATGTCATTCTGCTTCGTGCCAGCCACCAACTTCAGGTCGTTACAAACGTGTTCTTATCTATGCACGGCGTGGAGGATAAGAGCAGCAGTGTTCGAGAACGGGAACATTTGGCGCAGAAGCTCCAACTCTGCTTCATGCCAAAACATCAATGCCAGGGCGTTGCAGTAGGTGTTCTTATCTATCTCTCCGAAGCGTTCAAACGAGTACCAGGCGGGAAGCTTTCAAGGTCTTCTGCCAGTGCGTCCACCATCGCCGCGAAAGCGGTGCCAACGGTGAGTGAGTGGGGCGGTGGGTGGGAGATTGGGTTGCGCTTGAAGAGTTCCAAGGGGTCACGAGGGGCCTGCGCACCAAGTCCGCACGAGCCGGCTTGCGGCCTTTTTTGGGTTGCGAGTACGTAGGGCCCGGGGCCGCGGAAAAGATGCTCGCCTGCGCCGGATGGCTGTGTTGTGAGTGCCCGTTGGGCGCGTCGATCTGCGCAGTGGGGGGGCCTCATTAGTCTGGGTCTAGGTTCGCCGGGGTGCTGAAATGCCTGCTGGTTCCTCTAGAACGACGCCTGGGCCGCGTGCAAAAACCCACCAGGGGAGGCAACAGCACTTCTACGCAGGCGCGACCATAAAAACTGCAGCGCCTGCGCTGGCGCAAAAAAAAAAGGCAAATCCCGACGGTATGCTGCGAATTTCTTTAGGGATAAGAACAGTGCTGAAGATCACCTATTTCGTCTCTATACTTCAGCTCTTTCTAGTGCTGCTGCTGGCCCACACGGAATGATCCCAACGCCGACTTACCATCCGGAGTACCTCCTGCAGGATCTCCTATCAGGCCGAGATCTTCCACTTCCGCTTGAGGAGAACAGCATCTCCTCGCAGAATTACGGTTTTGGCAGAGGGATGGAGACTGATGTAGAACCCGACGCGAATTTGTCCGCACCATCTTCCGGTAGCAAGAACGGTAAAAAAAGCAACAGGAGTCTTGTTGCAGACAGGGCGGGAGATTCACTCTACTTGTCGTTGTCGCCCCAGACTGAAGATGGTGAACTGAATCTGACGCAGAGCAACGAGTCGAGCACCGACGAAGCGCTGGTCTCGGCGATGATGGAAGTGTTGGCGAAAGAAGAAGAAGAACACAATGGCGCTGCTCTTGGTGGTACTGATTCGGATTCCAGCGTAGTGGAAATCTCGGAGATCAGCGCCATCGACAGTTTAACACCTGCTTCTCGTCCCGAGCTGCAATACAAGCTCGATTTGTTTCTCAACTACCTGGTCACATTGACGACCCTCCACGCCAAGGCTCTGTGTGAGCCCGGACTGCCACTCTGCGTGGCAAGACAAGATTTGAAGGAGAAGTATGGGGGTTTGGCAAAGCTGAGCTTTGATCTGGCAAAGAGATTTGCTTTGTCGAACGTGGAACATCACGCCCATTATCCTGGTTCCGCTGGCAAGAGTGAAGCAGCTACTTTTACTTCTGCACCAAATAAGATCATCGACCACTACCTGTCCCGCCTCCACGTGTTGCTCAAAGGAGCTCTCCTCTGCCCCAGCGCCACTTATCAGTTCGCGGGAAATGTTTTGGAAGACGCGCAACACAAACTTCGGCTCGCCCCCGACCCGCAAGCACTGTTGCAGGAAGAATGTTACGAGAAGGAGCTGCGAGGACTTGTGATGATGGCAGAGGTGACGCCTGCACGCACTCGCGCGGCCGCAGCGCGCGGTAGCGGTTTCGATGGTTTTTCGCACCAGCACGATGTCAGTCATCTCTAGATGAAGGGTGCGCGGACGGCCGATGCGCTTCAGAAAGTATTGGGTCAGTAGTAAACGTAGAAATGCAGCCAGGATGAAACAAGAACAACTACACTAGCCAGTTACAAGGGGGAACTTTCATACGTAAGCAATAAAGTGTCACTGCATATACCATGGAGTTAGTTTCATGAGCTTTGTTCATTTCCATTTGTCTAAAATGATGGTCCACTTTCAAGTCTGACAAAGGTTAAGGTACTACAAGTTCTGCTACGAAAAATTTTGACCCTTTTTTGTGAATAAAGATCTAACTGAGTCTCAGCCTGTTGTACTCGCTCCTTGCTGCTTTTGTAATTCTCGATTTGCACTGTAGGCAGGGCAAATGCAAGTGGAGCCATAGAGCCGATGATTGCAAACTAGATGCAGCTCGATCAGGCGACGCGTCGTGCTAGACGATTCCACAGTATCATGGAAGCCTGTTCACTGCCACTCGTACTCGTTGGGGTCTGAAATCGTGAAAAGAACTCTAGCCGCGATTGGCATTATGAAGTTGTCATCCGGATCCGCGTCAGTCATCGTCTGTGATTGATGTCAGTAATCGTGTACCCTCAGGCCTGAGAAGTCACCTTAGGAGACTCTCTCATTCGAATAGGCGTGTCGGCATCTGTGCCTCTCACAGTCTCGCGGGTTTTCGTGATGCATTTGGGGCAAGATCATAATCGTCTTCCATCGTTCGTTACGGGGTGCGTTTTTATATCCTTATTGCTCTAATGTTGGGACGATCGTGATGTGTCATACTCTTCATCAAACCGCCTCTCATCATGGAGTATTGGCTGCTGTGTCTCCTTGATCAGGCACTAGCACTCGCTAAAAGTACAAGTAGTGTTTTTTTGAAGAAAATAAAGAACCGCGCCGGCGCTCTGTTATTCTGCGCGCCGGCAACATCGTGCGTCAGTATCGCTACGATGACTTGGTGAAAATTGGCGGCACTTCTTTCCGGGAGTAGGGAGAGGTGGAGGTTTTGGTTTGCATTAACCTCCGAAGGAACACGAACAGAACGCCAGCAGCAGCACCAGCACAAAAATGCAGGCCACAACGAGTGCCGAGGACCCGAAGGCCGGGGTCTTGAACGACCTGCGGCGAGAGGCGGAACAGCTGACCAAATACCATCGGGAATTGAGTATTAATTTCATGATCATGATGTTTTTGTTCGACGAAATGCATGACAAAGACAAAGTCACTTCTTCGTGCTGTTCCCGCATGAGAAAAAAAATTATCAGATGAAAACAACCCGAACAAGCTCCTGTCCGCCGACATGATTGAGCAAGTGACCAAAATGGAAACGGAGCGCACGCTATCAAATGCAAAAATGTCTGGGTCTGGAAGAGTGGAACACTTGTCATGCACATTTTGCATGAACGATGATGCCTGTAATGCATGACCTAGCATCAGAGATTGTGCGAGGGCTTCCTGATGCCTATACCGCATGAGGAATACCCCCTCCGCGTAGCATAAACTGGGCTCCTCTTGTTCCGTACGCAATACAGTTTTTTTTTGGAATCCAAAGACAGCATGACAAGTCCGTCCATCCTCGTCCCAGACCCAGACATTTTTGCATTTGATACACGCAGCTGCTCGAGTGGGGCGAGAATTTGTACAAGGAGGTTCAGAAATTAGAATTGGAGAAGCAGAGACTGGAAGACCAGATCGACACGGAACAGAAGGTATGCATTGCAAATATGTCTGGGTCTGGAACGTTGCAAGACTTGTCATGCAGGTTTTCCATAACCCATGAGGTCTGGAATGCGAAACCTAGCATGACAGATCTTTATTTGAGGTCACTATCATGCTTCTCCTGCATGGGAAACTCCCTCTCAACTTGGTCAAAAGCGGACAGCTTTTTGTACTCACGCAACACAGATTTTTGCATCATTCAGATTTAGCATGACAAGTTTTAATCTTCCAGACCCAGCAGACATATTTGCAATGCATAGAAGGAAACCTCGGAGTTGAAACTGTCAAACGAGAAGTTGACGCAGAAGTGCGTCCAACTCGAGGCGGTTTTGAAGGGAAACACGAATCTCGGGACGAGCTCGTTGAAATTGGAGACGATAAGCAACATGGAGAGCGGGGAGTTGAGGAATAAACTGAGTATTGATATTACAGTACGTTTTTGTCATTTCGCATTCTCAACAGCAGTACAACACCGTGTCGTTGATAAAAATACCTCCTCGTCAAAATTCTTTATACAAGTAACGACGAAATCTATCAGGTGAATACGCGAAGGAGATCGACAGTCTGCGGCGGCAAAACGCCCAAGCCTATCAGGATCTCCGGGACGCGCAGCAAAACTCTAACCAACGAGTGATGGAGAGGGACAGCTATTTCCTGACAGTGGAAGAGTTGGAGAACAACTTTCAAAAACTACAAGACAAGTACACGGTGATGGAGGCCGAGCTTTCCACCGCACAGGAAAACCGGAAGCACTTGGAAGACCGATTGCACGAGGCGCAGTTGGAATTAGACGTGATGTGCGCCAGTTTGAAACTCACCAGAAGAGAAGCGGAAACCCACGTCATGCACATGGAAGGAATGGACCGGAGTACGAAGGTATCTATAGTTTTGTTGTTTTGCATGCAGCTCCGCGCGCTACAGAAACAATAAGGTCTGTTGTTATCCACGCATGACAAACTGAATTAACCAAAACAGCACAAGCAAGAACTGTTCACCCACTTGACCGAGATGGTGGAGCCCCTCCGCACCTGTTTCATCAAGATGCAGCAGGCGTACGCGCAGCAAACGAAAGAGTACGGTTATTGTGAAGAAAAATCCCCCCTCCCCATACCAAAGCGGGATACTTCTGAAAATTTGTGATGCTGATTTGAGACCACAAATCGTCTCTGTATTGCAAGCAGGCAAATCCAAAAACCTGGCCGCGTTCTGCAGGTAATTTGTCATGCTGTATGGCCTACGGAAGACATGCCTGCCTTGCTAGGCGCCTGCACCAAAACACACCTGCTCCCGCTTTGTACTTGCCTGCACTCCTCTACTGCAAGACAAAGCCGATTTGTGTACAGAAATCCCGCATCACAGATTTCCACTTCGATATGGGGAGGGGGGATTTTTCCTTTTGATAGCGGTGCTTTCGTCGAGGAGGTGAGCAACCGGCAAAAAGATATCCTGAGTAAAAACGTCCCCACCCCAGAGTTGTCATGCACATTTGTAATGCGCAGCTGCATGAGACGAGGCATTACTAATCGCGTTTTCTAATTTGTAATGCTGTAAACAGGATGAGAAAGTGGCTTTCTCATGCGGCTTCCCTTGCCAACCAGCACGACACTGCAGAGGGAAACTTGTCATGCACAGCTCCCAAAACTTGGAGATTTGTGTTGCTAGAATCCCAACTTGACTATGGGGTGGGGACGTTTTTACTTAGGATAAAAGAAGCCGCGGTCTCGCTGGACATTGCAAAAGACGAAATCACGATCTTGGAAACAGTAACAGAGCATTTGCGCACGGAGTTGTTGAAAATGAAGGAGGACTACGCGAAGACGCACAGCGATTTAACCGCACAACTGGAGGCGGAGAAGGACGGTATTTTTGATTTCCATATTGCTTGTGCTGTTGTTCATCATGCATCACAGATCCATATATATGAAAATTTTCGTCCTGTTGGGATTTTCATTTTCTAAGAGCATGACAAACACCACTTGCGCTTATCCCCACCGAAATAAAAGGTCGCTCCAACCAGCAGAAAGAGCTCGACTTGGTCCGCCAGGAGTGGGAGAAAGAGCGGGAGGAAACCGAGAAGGTGATCAGCGAGAAGCGAAATCAGCTGCAGTCCATGAAAAACTCTATCAACCACCTCCAGGACCGACACCAAAACAAACCGAAAAACGCGAAGGACACGAATTTCGCCAAGTACGTGAAGCAGGCGATGAAGGGGATTTTGCTGGAAAAAATCGCGGAGAAGGAATCCAAACGGACCTTGACGGTCTTCGTCGACGCGAATAATAACACCCTGATGTACAAACGGTCAGGAATCACGGGGGGAACCATGACGGTGAATTTGGCGGAAGTGATTCATTTCGAGTGGGGGTTTTCCTCCCGGGCTTACGTGGTCGCGTCGAAGAAGCTGTTCAAGCTGCCGGCGAAGGGCGAAAAACCGGGTTTGAAGCCGTGGCTGTGTTTCAGCATGTACACGAAAATATCCTGTGCAAAAGTATCGTACTCGTACTAATCGCATTCATGCAATACAAATTTCTTTCTGAGGATAAATCCGCATTTACAAGTTTTCTTTCTCATGCTGAGGAAATTTGTCATGCGATATATACTACTAGGTAGTGCGATGCTTTTGCATTTCATAGAAAAATCGATCGTTCGACTTCGTCGTGCCAGACTCTTCGAAGGCGGAAGAGGTATGGAACTTTAATTAAAGATAGGAGTTTATCATGCGTGATGCTTTTGCGATAAGTAAGAAATCGATTTTTGCCGAGCTGGGGGCGTATCATGACCCACGCCGCAGAGTAAGTAGTGTAAGTTAAAGTTTTATTATTTCATTTTCATCATTGACGACGTCTTTCTTAAAACAGGATCTCCAATGCATCCTTCTGGCCCTCTCTGCCCTCTGTAAAGTCGCTTCGGGCACCATGCAGACCCGGGGGCAGTTTCTGATCAAAAAGGCTATGATGAAGATGGACGACCAGTGCAAGTGGCGGGGATTGACACGAGCGGCGTTGGTATACAAAGCGCTGGAAAAAACCGCCGCGGAACAGGGCGATCCGTTACCACCAAAGCCGGAAAGACCGGTCGCGGCGCCGGCGGCAGCGGCGGGTAGCAGTGGCGGGGGGAAGAAGTAATAATGGAGCTCGTACTAGTAGGCGGTAGCGAAGTGGATACGGCGACAGAGTTGAGTGATTTTATGGAAACCGAAATTGAAATGAACGATAAGCCTAAATAAACTTGATTGAAATTAGCAGTAACAACATCAAGACAGAAATAAGCAGAAAAATAGTATACTACGTCGAGCCAGACCCAGATCCCAAATCTAAGTGTAAGTAGAAATTTTCACCCCTATAATACTTTCAATTTCCCTGTGTACCTTCGCGTTCCTCATACGCATACGCATAGCGACCTTGTTTGGCACACCACTCCGACCAGTGCAGGTACAGTGTGTTGGACCAAGAGAAGCTGGTGCGCAATGACCTACCTTGTTGAGCTGTTGTTTGTATCTGGGCTGGCCCTCCTGCGTTTTGTTTCAAATGAAGAAAATCGACTTAAAATACCAGTATCACTACAACGTAAGCGAGAAAAATTATTTAGAAACCTTAAAAAACTCAGAGCGGAACCCGAACCGCCACAGGATGTGCGTGTATGATGAATCAAGACGACGCTATAAATGTACATTAAAGCGAAAGAGTACTAGACGTGCCGCTTCGCGTTTTGTGCCTCTGCATTTGGAGTTGAATAAATGTACTTACAGTTACAGCAAAAAGAAGAGTTAGGCACAAGAGCGTCCCTTCTGGAAGTCCTGCCCGGTGTTGAGTTCCGTGTGATGTTTGGTCCAGGTTATGAATCAATATGTTGATCCACCAGTAGAAAAATTTTGATCGGTCTATAATAATAAATCGGTGGGGGTTCTTACAATCGAGTAGCAGGATTTGTACTTCACGACGTCGCGTGTTTTGGCTTTTTTCACAATCCTGAGTGAAATGACGACTGCAAATTATGGATCTTCGGTTTCCCATCTAGTCAGTCTTTCTACGTCGGTTGCTTGTTGCGTTGGGGTCTTCTTTTTTCTTCATTTTACCTAGTTGTTGGGGACAAAATATTAAGGGGCCATCTCAAGGTTCGAGAGTGAGAGTACCGGGGGTAAGATTAAAGATGGACTACACGATAAACGCTCGCACTTTTTTGCTTGGAGTGTCTGCCATCCTGTGTGGCGTTTAGCTTACGGATGATTCCTCTCGACCCACACTTAGAGGTGAGTGACTGCCGACAAGCAACACAAAAATCTTCCGTTTCAACATGGAATACTTATCAAACCTTGTCAAATTACCCTCATTTAGCAAAAGAAAGAGTGTGTTAAGTTTTTGTGTCAGAGAGAAGAGGGTGCTACAGCATACCAATCCAGAAATTCTCTATCATTTTCCATTTGTCCAAACAGTACTACAGAATGGATTCCTGTGCCTCTTGCTTTGACGGCCTGAAGGCCGCGGCTTCATCCGTGTGTGGACCCAAGAAGAGACCAATCCTGATCATCTTTGGACCACCAGGCGCAGGGAAAGGGTAAGAGGATTATGGGGTCGTTGCTTTCAGTAGTTTTACTTCTGTCTGATCTCATATGCTGGTGCACATGCAGAGTGATAAAACGACGAGATATAATGCGACGAGATGAACAAATTGATGAAAACAAAAGATGAAGATTTGTGTTGCATCAAACCCAAGGTCCGTGAGTCCAGCAATCGAGTTGAAGCTTAACATCGTCCAACTTTCAACCGGAGACATGCTCCGTGCCGCGGTCGCAAAGGGAACGGAAACAGGAAAGAAGTATTTTACTATTAATTTATTCGTTCCGACGGTGCATGACAACGTGCGTTTTTTCGGCGAACAGCAAATGGGCTGCTCTTGCGCAATTCCAAAACTACCACAAGTTTTAAAATATCATCGCATGATATCGAAAACGCCTCAGGGCCAAAGCCATCATGGACGCCGGCGGCTTAGTGTCCGACGACATCGTCGTCGGTATTATTCGGGAGCGAATCCTCGAGCCGGACTGCCAGAACGGGTTTCTTCTCGACGGGTTTCCACGAACAGTAGAGCAGGCAAAACAGTTGGACGACATGCTGTCGCAAAAGGGAGAGGCGGTGACGAAAATCATCCAGCTGGATGTCGCGGACTCGGTACTTCTGTGATATTTACAGTACAAGAACAGCCTTAAAAATGCAGGTTATGCTGTTTTTTTCATGCATAATCGCGCATGATCGCGTTGATTAGTGATGCATGTGCCTGCATGTTCTTTATGTCAATTTATGAAACTCCCCCTCTCAGGTCCTCGAAGAGCGGATCTGCGGTAGGTGGATCCACAAGGCTTCCGGTCGGTCCTACCACGTCACCTACGCGCGTATGGGGGTGACCTGAAGTTGGGCAGGAGGTTCTTGTGATGTTGATGTGAGTATGAAAAAACTAAATCATGAGAGAAACGATGCATGACAAACTGCAATCCTGTCCTCTGCATGACAAACTAGCTCTCACTCTTGCGAAGTAGAATCCAGCATTGCAAGAAACTGCCCAGCTTTCGGAGTGGATATCATCACCAAAGTGCTTCGTGGGAAGGAAGGCGCATGAAGCGTCGCCAACAACAATGAGGGACGATGAAACGGGTACTATCGAATAGGTTTGTATATGCACAGCAACAAAAATTGCAGCTTGTCGTGCATAGCACCAAGAAATAACCGAAGCCAGAATACGCCGCTTGATTTGCAGGAGAAGTTTTCTGTCAACAAATTTAGGTGAGCCGCTGTACCAGCGCCCCGATGATACAAAGGCCGCCTTGCCGAAGCGGTTGCAGGCCTACCACAAGGAGACCGCGCCGGTTCTTTTGCACTACAAGCCGAAGGGAATCTCATTCAGGGTATAGGCAGATGCTGAAACTACACACGTTTTTTTTTCTAATGCAGAACTGCGCATAGGGATAGGCATGCGCAAGCGTATCCAGATGCAGGAGCTTGTTTGTCATGCAAGAGTCTAGTAACAGCAACACGTCTTCATCTTCAACACAGGTCGATGCGGGGCAGGAGATGCGGATCGTGAAGGAGCAAACCTTGAGTTTGTTGTAAAGACCGCACCTTCTTTTTTTTTTCCCCCCGAGTATTTGCAGCACCCAGATTTTTTTAGTACACATTATTTCATTTTTTTTTCGTTTTCCACATAAGAGAAGCGTGTGTGTGTCAAGACCCGAGCATGGCAAGGTTACTTGATGAACATGAAATCAAGTATACCTTGCTCATGCAGGCTTATGTAGTCCACACAAGATTGTTTTAGTTTTGTTCATAGAGAATAGGTACCAAATGAACAGTCAGAAGTTGCATAATATTAGCCTCGTCACACCAGATGGTCGTGCAGATTCGTACGAATCTGGTCGAGGCTTGATGTTTTCAGTATGAGGTAGAGCAAATCATTTGTCATTTTTCCACGTGTCTATCAGGCGAGGGTATGTTTATAGGATTCTGTTTCACAACTACTGAATTTTCTGTCGCAGTGATAGTATTCTTGCAAAAAATACGTCGACGAAACGCGTAGTTTGTACAACAAGGCAGGACAGAAGCTCCATCGGGATTAGCTTCAAAAGAGTTGCGACTCTGCTTTTGCGGATCATTTTACGGCATTTGTATAATTGTGCTATTATCTGGACGAAAGTATAGCGAAACAATTTTGTAAAGTTGCAATTTGGTTGTGGTTGCCGGAGATCATTTTTTTCAGCCCTAAATGTTGCAATTTTATATACATTATGTCTGGATCAGGGCCAACGCAACGGGATGTTGGGTGATACAAAGATCGCATGTTGTATATCAAAATGAGTTTTGTGACTTCCTCTCGAAGGTCGTCCAGCTCATTCGATTACTTACACCGATCTGCAATGGTCTATTTCTAAAGCTTGAAACTGTACAGAAAAGAGAACTCGGGACAGAAATCCGGCATGCTTTCATCACTTTATTCATGCACCACTCACATGACCACCTATACGATATCGTTGAAGCGTCGCGCTTTGCAACCTTTTTTTCCACCTGTATGCCACTTTCGGAAGCTGCAAGATACGTTTCTATCTCATCGCAACTCGTCAAAACTCTACATATATCATTTTCACAGTAGCCTTGCATAGTACCCGTGCCAAAAAGTCAAAAACAGATCGATCAAATGCAAGAACTTATGGCGCAGGTATAGCGAGCTACTGAATTATGTTGAGGCAAAGTTGTCTCTATTTTAGTTAAGCCTTTTTTTTCGCATCTTCTTGACCAAAAACACACACTCTTGTACGCCTTTTGCTTGTGATGAAAATTGTTCAACAAACTTGTATAATTGAGAAAGATTTTTACGCAGAAGTAGAGGCGCAAATTTTGAAACTTGGAAGAGAGAACTACCTCTCAGCACGACTTTAATATGGGTAGAAGTTCTCATGACCAATTTACGATTTGTCAACAAATGTCAACGAGCAATTTCATATATCCCTATCATGCAGAACTACCATGCTGCATGATAACAAACTTGTTTTTTATCCGAACCGAGGCCCTTTTTTACGATTTGATTACCGAGCATGATTGATTTTTAGAAACTAGAGGTGGATAGTTTTGTGCACGATTGGTATGTTGAGCAGGTTTCAAACAGGAGACCACAGTGAAAGATGCAAAACGCGGCAACCGTTTTGCTTTTGGCGCTAGAAGGAAATTGTTTCTGTACACCTTTCCGGACGGCTTGGCCGACGGGGTACTATCAAACGCTTTATACAACAAGAGAGGACGTCAACATGATGGACAATTGAGATGGTATTACAGCATTAACCCGCCACTGTACAGAAATGACAACGAAAAAATGTCAGAAGATTTGGTTTACGTCGACAAGTAAGTACCATCTACTTCATTTGCTGCAAGTGTAACTGCGTTGGCTTTTTCCAGGAGCGGCGGGGTGTTCGTTCTGAAGGCAGTTGTTTCTGCTGTGAGATTGAGGAGAAGAGACACCAAAATGGTTTTGGTTTGTTGTAGCCTCTTGAGAGCAGTACTTCAACTCCTTGTTCCGGTAGCCTCTAAGGAAGTAGAGCTTCTGTATTTCCGAAATTCCTAGAACTTTCCAGCCAGCCTTCACGCCTGCAGACACAGCAAAACTAATGGCGTATTATCGGTTGACCTCTTCCGAGTGAGGAAAAGGCTTCTGCACGAAAGACGTAGTGCTAGTGTCAGTATGTGTGGATCAAATAAATCAATAATCCCTGCCATCCATCGCTCGTTCGCTCGTCTCGTCGACCTAGTAGACTAGAGTTGTGTTGCTTGGAGCTCAAGAAAGTGTCTAGTTGTGCGCAAACGAGGGCGAGATCTCGCGCTCGTTTGATTTTGTCGAAGAGAATGTCGCATTGTGTCCCGCTGGTGAACTTCAACTTGTACACCTGTGGCGGGCGTGTTGGTTCTTCACAAAAAGAAACCGCCGTCAAATCGATAGAGAACTACCTTAACGGTAAACGGTTTTTTGTAAAGATCTTGATCTAGATACTTCCCATCCACCGAGAGTACCATCCTCTCAGTCCGACTTCTCGAGCTGAAGAGGAACATCCATCACAATTGTAAGCGGTTCTTGGAATTACTTTCGCTGACATTTTTCCTGCGTGTGGTCAGCGCAAATGTTCCCTCCACGTGCCGCGCAACCGGGGAGTGGGTTGGTAGTTATTTTTATTTATTTTTTGCATGTAGGTTTTTCATGGTGTTGTGATCCTGAGCGAACAATTTTATCATCTACGATCTCTGCTTTTGATCAAAGCTACAAGGCGTAAGCGTAAATCAAGAAAGAAAATTAAATCTATCAAAAACAGCAACTCCGCCCTCCGCAGCTGTTTTCCCGGCCTGGGAGCTGTCAGCACCTGGGGTCGACAACCAATCAGATGCAGCGTGTAGAGACAAATCCGGTCTTGCACGGCTCGACAAACTATGAACTGCAAAAGCATCGTACTATTATAAATTGCAATACAAATTAGCTCAGCATTACAGATTAAATTTATAATACAGATTTCCCTTAATAATGCATAAAAGCAATTAGTGCGAGTGCGATACTTTTGCACAGGATACAAACACGGATCAGATGGGGACCACGCGGGAGATGAGCCAGGTAGAATGATTTTGACCTTGCACATGCACCCGTACAGCTTGCATGAAGTAGTTCTCATTTTGCCTGATCAATGAATTCTGATGCGAACAATACGTACTCCACTTCCCATGTCTTATTGTTCAACCATAAGTTTTGTTGAACACAAATTATCTACAGTCGCGTCTCAAAATCGGCCTAAGCGGCTTCAACTTTCGTCTCGGGGCCGGCGGCAACATGTCCTCTCCGCTGAGCCACAGCGGCCCCACACCGCAGTTTCAGATGCAAAATGGGACGATGATGGGAAGTAGTAATATGGGAGCTGTAATGAATCCGAATGGCGTGGCGAACCACCCGTTAACAAACCAACCACTTTCCCAGACCGCTGAGGTCGCGGTCATCTCGTCCCAGAGCAGTCGGTCGCCGCAGCAACAGGCCAGTACTACCATGGGAGGTGGACACAACACCAGCAACAGGCAGCAGGGCAACATGGGAAATTCAAACAGGAGTCCACCTTCTAGCTCATCATCTTCCAGCAGTCGCGCGCATCAACACCAGCATCAATTATCTTCCGGTGTTGAGACGCAGAACGGCCCCGCGCCGACCGCGAACAAGCCACGCTTTCCCGCGCCCAGCTCATCGAGCAAGGAAATCGCTCCGTCGTCGCGGGATCAACACGGAAATAGTGCTAAACCAGGAGCAGCCACTGCATCAGCGAGGAACCATGGTGGTGGCGGGGCTACTAGGAACAACAATCCAGGGCCGTACAGTAAAACCAGTCCATCAACCACTCGTGGAGGAGGGATGAACAACGGACAACATCAGCATCCTTTAACCGGCACCAGTCAGGCGAGCTCCTCTTCCCGTCCGGCGAATAAGAACGCGGGAGCAGGAGGTGGCGGCGCAACTGGTACTTCTTCTACCCAAAAGCAGCAACAGCCGAGCCATCTCGCTGGTGACTCTCGTCGCGGCAGCCCGACGCTGCAGGGGTCTTCCGCTTCCGGAGCATCGTCGGGAGGGGTGGCAGCTGCAAGGGGGCAAGGACAAGGAGGTAAGCACGTAGTTGGTCGAGAAGTAGTAAAAAGAACAGCAACACGTCGGCAGTGTATGTACATGTAGATACTTTATCGAGCGCCGTTGAGTCTGAATTTGTGTATATGACCTGTTGTTCTGCACTTCAATCACCCCACAAGTAACATCACCTCAGGTGGTCAACACCGGACCCAAGCCCACCCGTCCACGACTTCCGCTTCCACTTCCCGCTTACACGGAATATGGATTGTAAAAATGTCTGGGTCTGGAAGAATGCAACTTGTGATGCTGTTTTTGGATTCTAAAAAAATTTGTATTGCATGAGCAGCAGAAGAGGTCCAGTTTTTGCCATTTCGAGAGGGCATTTCCCATGCGGTCTAGGCATCAGAAAGCCCTCACATAATCTGTGACGCTAGGGCATGCATCACAGACATCAGGACTCATGCGAAATGTGCATGACAAACCTTGCATCCTTCCAGACCCAGACATTTTTACATTTGATACGGAAGTCAGAACCACAACTACCACCCGTCAAGCCGGAATTTGAAATCGCAGAAGGACTTGCAGGAGTTCGAGCAGCAGGCCATGCACGCGAAATTACAGGGAAATCATTTGGAGGAGGAGCAACTTCTGCGCAACCAGGCGACGAACTTGTCGAAGGAGATCCACTATCCTGTGCAAAAGTATCGCGCTCGTACTAATTGCATTTATGCATTACAAATCTCGTTCCTAATGCAAATCCGCATTACAAATTTAATTTAGTAATGCTGAGCCAATTTCAATTTGTATTGCAGTTTATACTAGTGCGTTTCTTTTGCAATGCATATCCACCAACTAGCGCACGAACACGAGGAATTGGAAACCCGGCGTATTCCGATCTTGGATGAGGAGATCAAAAAGCTGAACGAGAAAAAATTGAAGGTAGCCGAGGAGGAGAAGCAGATTAAGGAGCATTTTGAGAATATGGAAGCGTCAGGTTTGAAATCGCCAAAGTTGAAATAAATTGCGAGGCATAAAATGCATAGCGCGAAATACATGTGTCGCAGAGCAGGCAAGGGAGGCCGATTGTAAGCCTGTTTGGGGTTAGAGCTTGAGCTGCTAAAGTAGCATAAGAAAATCATTCGTCTTTGCCCAAACAGCATGACAAACTGGCTTTAGGCATCACCAAAATTTGTCATGCGCCGCTTGATAAGTGGGCTTCCGACTGGCATTCATTTTATGCATGGCAAATCATTTCAGCTGTGTCAATTTCGATTCTGACAGTTCCATAGAGAAAGAAACGGAGAAGCACGAGCGGTTTCTGAGGAGGCACAAGCAGGTGCAGAAGGATTTGAAGGAACAGGATGCCATCAACGCGGAGAAGATGGAGAAAGAAAAATTGCGATTGGAAAAGGAGGAAATCCAACCGGCGCGGGAAAAGCGGGAAAGGTTGTTGAAGGAAGAGGAGGAGCTGAAAAAACAGCAAAAAGAGCAGACGAAGGAGTGGCGGTCGAAGATTGATCATCACCAGGGCATCTACAACGAGCATTTGAAGAACAAGATATCAACTACAAATATGTCTTGGTCTGGAAACTTGTAATGCGAGCTGGTTAATCGTGAGACCTCGTGTGCATTTGGCAGTCCAGCATGACAAGCTTCTGACTTGCAGCTGTGTGTTGGCTATATTGCATCACAGACAGCGTTTCTACTTGACAGAAAAGTCAAAATGGGGCGATGCGCATGACAGATTTGCGAGTCATGGCAGCCAAGTATGACAAACTTACATTCATCTTCCAGACCCAGAGACATTTGCAATGCATACAAGAACGCCTTGTACAAATCGCTGGAAGACACGTATAACGGGATCAAACAGAAGCTGAACATGACGGAAATATGCATATGCAAAAGTATTGTGCTAGTAGTAATTGCAATACAAATTAGCTCAGCATGACAAGAAATGGAATCTGTCATGCTGATTTAGCTTGGAAAAGAGATTTGTCATGCATATCTGCAATTGGTGCGAGCGAGTGCGGTGCTTTTGCAATGCATAGAAAAAGCAGTACAACGACTTGAAACTTGAAGCGTCCAAGCTGCAAAACGAAAAGCAGACGCTGGAGCAGGAAACCGCGACGGTCATTCAGCAGACGAAACAGTACAGGATTTGGTTTGGTGTAGTGATTCTTACGAATGATCTTGATTCTTGGCAACCAAATGCATGTAAGAGAAATTTCTGATGCGCAGCGCGATTCGCACTGCAAGAAACAGAAACTTCAATACGAAAAACGACATTATCAGGGCCAAAGCGGATATCGAGAAATACCAGGAGGAGACGAAAGCCAGCGAGGCACGGTTTTTCGAGGCCCAGCGCAGTATCGCAAGGAATAACGACAAACTGGAACAAATTGCGGCTACGGTATAGGAATTCAAATTTTGGATGTTGTTCTTCTTCTTTGGTGTGAAAAATGGAATGCAGAGCAAAGCGTTTTGTTTCTTTTAGGGATGTCTATTCTGAATCTCAATCTTCTTGCATTCTTTTTCGCCCCCGGCCTCTTTCATTCTTGAGAAAAAACAAAAAAACAGCAACTGCGCATCGAAGAATCCTTGGCGCAAATCGACCAAGAGCAGAAGCACGCCGACCAAGTTTTCGAAGAGAGCCGCGCGAAACTGGAAAAAACGAATCAAGAGTCGGACAAGCTGCGGGCGATCATGTATAAAAGTTAAGAAGAACAGCAGCTTGTCATGCGCTTCTTGCTTTTCATGAATGGAAACGGATGAAAGAGTAGGAAATTCTCATGCGTAAAAAAATGCCATCGCGTGTTCTGTGAATTCGAAAAAAAAAAACACACACACTATCAGCGCCAAGGTCCAGGAGTGGCAGGGCAAGATTCAGGAGATTCGGTCCAAGAAGGAGGAGTTTCAGCAGGACGCGGTAAAAATGGCGGACCACGGGGTCATATGCTTTGCAAAAGTATCGTACTCGTATTGCAATCACGCATATAGAAATCTTCTTTTTAAGGTAAATCTGCATTACAAATTTTATTTCTCATGCTGAGGAAATTCGTAATGCATGTATACGAGTGCGATGCTTTTGCAGTTCATAGGTCACGCCGTTAGAAATGCTCCAGTCGGTCGCGCCGCTGCAGCAACGGGTCTTTTCCAGCGAGTGTCAGAAGTCGGCGGAACGGACCTTGCTGTTGCACCACGAAGATATGGGATATAATGTGGTCGGAGCGTGATATAGATCTAGAAGAGGTGTAGACGCTCTGTTGAATCAGTGAACTTAAAAATGTTCTTGGCTGTTTTTCTAATTTCTTTATCTTTTCATCACCATCAGGAAAATTAGGGTGTTGGCGCAATTCGTGGGAACAAAGAAATTCCAACACGAGGTCGAGCACTGAATTCTCCTAAGTCATGATTACAAACAAACAAGCAGGATGTAGGATTCTTCAACCGGGGGTCCTCCGACTCCGTGGATCCATTTACACAAACAAACAGACAAAAAAAATTTCTCACGCTCATAGTTGTACGCAAAAGTTCAAGTTTGCTACTAGAACAGAATCTCAGCAGGTTTCTTTCAAGGTTTATGTCGCTACCGCTAGAACTAGAAGCAGAAGGATGACCACCGTGTTACAACTCAAGTTCTAAAGGAAGATAGAGCTTGTCGTTTCTGTAGCGTGGCATTCAATTCTTGTTATTTCAAAAGTCTACCGGCGCCGCTGGCTAGATGTAGAAAATCTCAATACGCGTTTCTTTAAACTATCACGGCAACAGATGACAGAGCTAGAGCCGCTTCTTCGACGTTCCTTGTCTTGACTATCGCCAGAGCTTGTTTCAACACTTACCGCCGAAGATCCACCACGATGTTGTAATCTTTCGACCAAATAAGTAGAATCCAAGGTCTCGCTCACCAGCAAAAACAATAGAACCACAACTGTTGCCAACACTGTCCCCCCCACTGAGACAAAGTAAGTGATAATACCAGCAACGATACTAGTTCTAGTGCCCGCCACCGCCTCTGGTGTAGTTTTAAAATTCCGAAGTCTCGTATACAAGATTGCCGCTGCCGGCACTTCCACTTGCAGTGACTCCTGGCTGACGGCGGCTGCATTGTGTTTCTACTTCGCAAAAGATTTGGTCGGGATGTTCGTTCCCAGGAAGTTTCCTTTGAGAGAAGTGGCAGAACTAGATTTGGCTCAGCGGAGGTGGTAAAAGGGTTTGCCAGTATACTGAGCTTCGTCTTCATCTTTTCACGAGGAGCGTCGAGGAGCTTCGTGGGTTGCCGGCAGGCTGGCGGAAAAAGCTCCAGGCTGCTGCATGGAGGCGGGCAGCGCTCGCAGGGCGTCGCGGCCGGGTGCCCATAACACTCTGCGCCTTTTGCCGGGCTCTATCATCATCACGGTCCCCATCGCTGGAAGGATGCCCTGTCGGCCGGCTGCGTGCATGCGCCGATCGCTGGCGCGGCCGGAGGTGCCGCGGTGCCTGCGCTGCGGCGCCTGCCCCTGCTTATGCGCCCCCGGACTTGTGGGGCGGGGCCAGTGCCCCCGCCGGTGGCGCGGCGGGGCTTGGCAAAGTGAGGCTGCGCAAGCTGCCCGGCCTTACTTCGGGCAGGCCGAGGGGGGGCGCTCACCCCGCCGCTGCGTTCCAGTTTCACCCCGTGGAGCCCGATGGCCGTCACCGTGTACGGCGCGCCGACGAGCCCGAGCGCCTTCCAGTTGACTCCGGGCATGGCGGGGACGGCCGCGGCATCGTGTTCCCTTCAACATTGCCAACGAACTGGAGCCGGTTGGTGTGCGTCGCGACAGCGATGCTCCTGTTCCTGGGCGAAGAGTTGCAGGCGGGGCAGCCGCCTCCGCGAATGCGCCTACGCATCCGGGCTACAGCGCTGCGTGACCTCGTCGCGCAGGTGGGGCAAGCGGTGTGCTCCATCATGCAGCCGGGAGGGTATCGCCGTGAGTGGGAGAGGAGGGAGCATTACGAAGAGCACGGCGTGGAGGAGAAAGCGGAGGAGCGAGCGCCTGGGAACGTGTGGGGACACACGCCAGGGACGGGGCCCACTTCGCTCGCCCCATTACGGGGGGCCAGGCAGGGGAAGCGTCCACCTTGTTTGACCCCCCTGGCACCCATTATCTTCTTTTGTCGTGTGCCACAGCGCGCGCGCTCGCTCCAAGGAAGGGGGCCCGCCAGGCGCCGGCGCATATTGTAGCCCCCCCGCCCCCTGGGTGTGGGCGCCAGCGGGAAGCCGGGGCCGAGCAAAGAAACGAGGCGCGTGGGCGGCCGCGAGTCTGCGCAGGCGGCAGGGCTTAGCGCGCGGGCGCGGCTTGCTGCTAATACGCTGGCGGCCATTCCCATTTGTATTTTTCCTTCGTGTTGGAGCTGGCCATTGCCCGCAAATTACTTCGGTTGGCCTCGGGGTCGGGGCGTTGCCTAGCGCGCCGGCACTTGCTCGCCCCGGTCCGTGGGAGGTCGGGCACACATACGAAAGAATTTCCAGCAGCCGAGGCGATCATGCCTTGATGTCGCAGCGTGTCTTCTTGTACAGATGATTCCGCCCTGTGCTCCTGGTGTTCTCTTATTTTATCATCGTTATGTTTCCACGTGACGTGGAGCGAGATGGTGGCGTCGGCACACGTTTCGTAGAAGGTTGGTAGCGGGTGCGGGTTTGCAAGAGTGTGTTTTTCTTCTTCTTGAGTGACAGTTTCGCCACATCATAGACTCGCCATAGCAGTACAGGCACAGAAGATCAGCAATCCACAGAGAAGTCTAGAAAGCTCGAAAGAACCTGGCGCGCTCCTGCTCTTTCTCAAAATGAGGCGAAAAAGTCTCAGCTGTTGAGCTACTCCGGCGTCGACCCATATGTGCCATGAACTGGCATCATGATAACCATGAGACGTTCACCCGCATCGAACAAACTTGCTTTGGCGTATAAAAATGGGCACAACCGCCCCCGGTATTTCCGAGGCGGAGCGAGTTTTCATTGCGATCGCAATTTTCTCGGGAGCAGCGCGCCACTCCTGCGTGCACGCCGCGCCCACCGACACTGCTGAAGGCACAAAAAATTCCGGCCAAGCTTCCTGTCCCTGTATCGCCACTCTTGTTGCAAATAACTTGACGTCGCCCACTACCACTGTTGATGCAATCAACGCCGCTACAACAAATACAACGACCGGAAATATTTCTGCCGCAGATGCGGCGGTTTCGGCAGCAATCGCAGTAGCAGGAGGTGCAGCTACTACTTCCGGAGGTAATCATCAGCAAGGCAGCGTACATTTTGGCATCAACTACTGGAAGAACTACACCACGGCAAATTCAAGTAGTAGCACAACCACCACCACGACGACAACAAGCACGTCGACGTCTCTAACACCTGCTCCGACTCGCCTTCGCCGCCAGCTGTTTTCCTCCCAAGAACTACCCTCCAACTACGGTTCCGGGCACTGCTTTGCCTGGGACAGCGCTTTCTGTGATCTTGTCCATGATGGTACCACTGACGCTAGCTCCCGTCCGGATTGGTGTGATAAAATGTGGTGTTTCGTGGACAAAACCAACTGCGACGCGACATTCGCACCGGTGGAGTTCAATGCGGAATTGACCTACTCGTATTTGACCTGTCGAACAGAAGTAGAAGATGAACATCAAAACGACTCCACAACTGCGTCTGCAAAAAAAGGCAGCAACAGCCTGTTCACCAATCGTCAGCTGATCCTCGGCATCGCCGCCGGCGTGGTCGGTTTGTGCCTTCTCGCGTGTCTGCTGTATTGCTGCGCAAGGTGTTGCATCCGGAAAGCAGGAGGAGCTGCACCAAATCGGTCGAATAGGACATCTACTGGTGTCAGAAATGATGGCGGGCAAAATCCGAACGCGAACCTACAAGAGGAAGAGCTAAAACAAAATCAAAACCCGCTCGCTGCGAACAACGTCGGCGGTGGTAGAAATACTTTGTTAACTTCTGATCATCCGGAGACACAACTTGGTGGACACGAGCTGTCGTTGGGACAGTACAACAAAGTAGAACTACCCGTCCGCGGCGCTTTGTTCAATCAAAACCGAGCCTTCACACCCAGTTACGGGGGGCAGCTTGCTCCTGCAGCCGGATTGTTCAGTCATCCCCAAGGACGACCGAACGGTGGATTACAAACTCCGCAAGGAGACGGGGATCACGGGCCAGTCGCAGGTGGAATATTAGTACAAATGCAACAATTCGGAAGTTCAGAATTCGATACCCTCCCGGAACACCAGCAGTGTGTGAACGAAGTGCAGTTGCAGATGGTCCCGCCGCCACAAGCGTACGGAATTGGAGGTTGGCGACATAACAACGCGGGAGCGCGGCACCAGCAGCAGCTTTTGTCGCAGGAACGGCATCATGCTAATGCCACCCTGCCGGGCACAACTCCTGGCGGGCGACACAACGAGCCTATGATCGTCGTGATTGAAAGAAAATAAAAGAAGACAGGAAGCCGGTGTTGTGCGGCGTCTATGCTCAAACTCCGTGTAATATATGCAGTTTCTAGACAAACATAGTGACAGTGTGCATCGCCAGTACGAGGTTTCTGCAAAAGAAACATACGTCGAGCTGGAAAAGCGCAGACGGCAGTAGTGGTAAGTAGCTGTGGCACAGGCTAGTACTAGATTGGTTGAATGTACTTATGTACGATCATTCTGTGGTTTTAAAGTCAGTCTCAGTTCAGTGACCGATAAAGTCTTCATCTTCTGAAGCGATTTCTGCGTTCGGTACGAAGACGCTTAATGTGATTGTAAGTGTTCCGCTAGCTTCAAAATTAACATCGTAATGTTCTTCCAGCAGAGATTATTCAGTCCTCGAGAGCCAGCGAGTGCTAGAGAAAGGAGAGATAGCCTCCAGGTGCGCCTGTGAGAGATTCATAAATAGTTTCCTAATTATTTTGAAGTGGAGCAAGACCGCTATTGCGTCTAGAGCCTAGACGATGAGAGCGAGTTCTGGCTTTTCTCTGCAACCTACTAGCACAATACGGCGTTACCTGACCTCTACAGGCCTCCAACTTCTGGATCAATTTCTTTTCTCAACAACATCTGGTGGCATGTTCATAATAAATTCAAAAGAGAACAAAGTGAAATCTCAGTTTCATGTAGCCCCGTCAGAAGAACCTATCTAATACCATGAAGTCGTCCAAAGCTTTTCTATCTGCTTCCGGCAGCAGAGCAAGCGAGCTCCTCAACTGGACTTTTGCGTTCCAGAGCTTGTTTTCGGTTCTTTTTCTTTCTGCGGCAACCGTTTTGGCCACTACCTCGACTGGAAGTACACAGTGCCCGTGCACTAGTCCAGACTTATCGGCCTACACCACGGGGAGTCAGGTAATTATGATTCGAGTTTGTAATGCAGATTTTACAACATGACCATGAGCAGCGTTTTTCTACTTGTTGAACATGCATGAGAAACTTCATTATTTTATGCACAGCTCAAAGTCACGGTCGGTGCGAAGGAGTACAACTACGCAGTCCCGTACGGCACAGCCAACTGCCAACTATCCTGTGCAAAAGTATCGTAGTCGTAGTAATCGCAATTATGCATGACAAGTCTCTTTTTCAAGGCAAATCGGCATCAGAGATTTCGTTTGTAATGCTGAGCAAATGTGTAAAATGCGATTCCTACTACTGCGATGCAACGCTTTTGCATTTCATACCAAAGCTGGGACAGCGACAAGCCGCCCGCCTGCGCTCTGGGGAACGGGCAGGCGCTCTCGGACCGCCCAGACTGGTGCGCGAAACAGTGGTGCTATGTGGACAGCAGCAACTGCGTATGAGAGTGCACGACCCCCCCTCCTCTTCCTTTTTATGGCATGAACAGCAATACACGCACCAACAGAAAAAGGGCTTCCGCATGACAAATCTGCACACAGATTCTAGTACTGTTTGAGGTTGCAAAATTTGTCATGCAAACTGCGCTTGGAGGCAAAGGCAATACTTACAATTACAAATGAGGGGAAGGGGGAGTTGTGCACTCTCATACTGCGCGTCTTCCTACGCACCGGTCCGGTCCACTTGGCTCGCCGGCGCATCCAACCTGTATTACAGCTACGCAACCTATGGATGTGTCAGGATTGAAATCGACAAAGTTGAAATGATTTGTCATGCATAAAATGGATGCCAGTTGGAACCAAGTTTCCAATTGGCGCATGACAAATTTTGGCGGTCCTTAAATCCAGTTGGTTGTGCTGTTTAGGCAAAGAAGACTGATTTTCTCATGCTACTGTAGCGGCTCGAGTTCTAACCCCAAACAGGCTTACAATCGGCCTCACTTGCCTGCTCTGCAACACACGTGCCTCGCGTCATGCATTTTCTGCATGGCAAACTATTTCAACTTTGACGATTTCAACTCTGACACATCCATACGACCTGTGGAACCACGAACTCCTTCTCATCCTGGTCTTCGTCCGCTTCCAGTGCGGGGGTGATATTGACAACGGTGGAAGCGACGATGAAAACGTTGAAGCGGGAGATCGAGCGAAATTACGAAGACTTGCAATCCGGCATGCTTAACCAAGCCGTCTGCTCCGATCATTTCGACTTAAACAGCTGCACCAACTGCCCTGCTGTGTCGGCAAGCAGTGTGTGGAACGGGGCCAGTAGCAGGATGAACTTCAGTAGGACCGGAAGCTTCATGGCAGACAGCACGGAGACGCTCTACAAGTGCCTACATGATAACGTAAAGACATTAAGATGCTTTTTGTATGTGCAGGTGGTGAACATGATTTTGATTTTGAATAAGTGAAGAAAGACATCAACAGAGAGTGGTCTCCAGCATGCACAACACGTATGACATGAACGAAAAAACGATAAATACAAAGGTGGAGATCCAGTTCATGAAAGTGGCTTCGACCGAATACGACATGGTAAACAAAAACCGGATCGCCTACCTGTACATCGCGTTTTTATCGATTGCAAATATGTTGTCTGCGTCTGGAAACTTGTGATGCAAGAGGGGGTATAGTGAGCACACTCTAATGCGCTGGCAAGCATGACAGTTTTTCCCGTGGTTCTGAGTTGCGTACTTCGCATGAGAAACTGCGTTTTTGCATGACATGCAAAAGAAGCGTTTCGCGGCCACGCAATACAGAGTTTAGATTCGTGCCAGACTAGCATGACAAATCTCGCAATCTTCCAGACGACCCAGCCATATTTGCAATCGATAGCTTGCCGACCGGGGTAACTACATCCAGTGGCCGGCCATGCAGTGGACCCAGGGGATATCCACAGTAAATTTCCCGTACACGTACAAATGTGGTTTCTGCATTACAAAACTTGCCTTCAATCCTAGTGCAGCATGACAAGCTGGGCTCTGCAAGGTAGCGAAATTTGTCATGCATTTTGTACATGTAAAGGAAATTTACATTGCATAGGGGACCTATGATCCGCGGTACCGCCCCTGGTACGCGATGATTGCTTCCGGACCCAAAAACGTGATCATCGTCATCGACGTGTCGTTATGCATTGCGAAGGTATCGTGCTAAGTCATTACGGCATTACAAATTTGCTTCGCATTTACATAAAATGGAATTTGTAATGTTGCTTTACCTGAGGCTTAGGAAGGATTTGTGTTTGTCATGCATAACAGCAATTACTACGAGCGCGATACTCTTGCAGAGCATAGCCCGGTTCGATGGGCACAATGTCCGGGGCGAGCACGCGGTTACAACTCGCCAAGGACGCGGCGATAAAAACCCTAGACACGCTGGTGTGGGTGGACTACTTCCTCGTCATCGCCTTCTCCAACGTGGTTACGGGTTGCGCCTCCATGCTGATCCCTTGTTCCACGTCCAACGTGGCGGCGGCAAAGACCTGGATCAACGGATTAAGTGCAGGCGGCACGACCAATTTTCGGGACAGTCTAGACGCGGCTTTCGATCGGGCGAAACGGGCGACTTCGTTTGACGGAACAAGCGATCCCGATCGCTGCTTTTCCGCGCAGTGCAAGACCGTGGTACGTATTATCGTGATAAATAGGATTTGCATTTAGTTTGTCATGCAAAAACGCGCCACATATTCTCTTCTGTGTTGCAAAATCTACATCCGAAGAAGAAACGTCAGGTCCTCTTCCTTTCCGACGGTGTTCCCGACTCCTGGGGACAAGCGGATTACGCCCGACTTTCCATCGTTAACCCCGCCCCAGCCACCGGCTTCAAACTTTTCACCTACGCGTTGGGCGTCGGCGCCGACGGCACGGTGCTTTCCGCTCTGGCCAGTCAGCATGGCGGCGAGTTTAAATCGGTGTCAGACGGGGGAAATTTGGCGAACACCATGGCGGACTACTACAAAAAGATCTCCGAAAACCGAGATCTGACCGCTGTGCGGTGGATGCAGTACCGGGATTCGGTGAGTAACCAAAACTTGCTGGCCGGCTGCATTGGAATCGACGACAAGCGAGTTGGGCAGAACAACGCTTTGTTGGCCGTGGCCTGCATGGATGCAAATGTACTTATTAAGTAGGGCGATGTGCAGCTTGTTGAGCTTGTTTCGCAGATTTCTGTTTCTATGTGGACGATATGAGCATGCACATGCAGGAGCTATTTTGCAACTAATGCACTTCTTAGAATGGTGCCAGTGCCACATGTAGTCTGCTATGCAAGAGATCAAAGTTACTTTCAAACAAAACTGCAGATTATCGCCCCCCTGTCCCAGCTGGAAACGCTTTCCGGTTACACCAGCTTCATCTCCGATTACTCGTCGAACAGCCGCAAGTGCGCGTCCGGCGTTATGGCGTTCTCAAACGTTACAACACTCGCAACTGTTACATGAATTTGTGATGCAAGAATGGCAAACGCGAAAGGGGAAATCTAGCGCGTCTTGCATGACAGATTTGGCACAGATTCTCAGCCTGTTTGGCTCTTCGAGAATTTGTCATGCGAAGCAGCTTGATCATGTAGAGACTGATGGCAGTTTTGCATTACAGTTGAGAATGTAACATTTGAGAGCCCCATAAGCGTCAACCCCTTTCTGGAGATGAACACGCTATCCTGCTTATCCTGAGTAAAAACGTCCCCACACCAGAGCTATCATGCAAATCTGCATGCCAAAAAGGTTTGTCATGCGGAGTGCCATGAGAGGCATTTTTTAGTCGTGTTTTGGAATTTGTGATGCTATAATCTGCATTATATACTAGATCTGTGATGCTGCTGAACTACCTAAACAGGAGTACACTACGAGGAGAAACTTGTCATGCCAAATGACCAAAGCTGGCTGATTTGTCTAGCAGATTTCCCATCTTGACTCTGGTGTGGGGACGTTTTTACAAATGATACTGCTCCACGGTGTGGGAGACCACCCAGGTCGCCAGTCCGGGCCAAAACCTGCTATACTCCGGGTCTTCAGGCGGCTCAGCGGAGTCTATGAGAGTGCACAACTCCCCCTCCCCCTCATTTGTCATGCAAAGTACCAAACTCACCCTCTGCCTCTTGACCCTGTTTGCATGACAAGTTCTGGCAGACCAAATAGGACTACAGTCCTGCCCAAATTTGTCATGCAAAGCCTGTATTCTTGCTGACGCTTGTATTGCTGTTCATGCATCAATACAAATGAGGGGGAGGCGAAGTTGTGCACTCTCATAGAGACCGGCGGTGACAAAAAAGCCGACGGTGGTGGCGTGGTTATTGCTATCATCGGAGCGATATCCTGTGCAAAAGTATCGTACTCGTAGTAATTGCAGCCATGCATTACAAATCTTTTTTTGAAGGTAAATCCGCATTACATGCTGAGAAAATTTGACATGCACGTATACGAGTACGATACTTTTGCAGTTCATAAGCGATCGCAGCATTTGCTCTCCTGGCCGTCGTCTTCCGATTTTGCACAATGAGATTCGGACAGAAACCACAAGCGCGAATGTCGAGTCAGCAAAGTCAACAAGACCAAAATCGACCGTCGATCAATTCCGGAGCGATGACTGGCAGCCCCATGCCACAGCAGAACAACAACCAAATGTTCAGCCAAAACAATGCGAACACCCCGTCCTACGGAATGCAGATGCAGCAATTTCCAAATCAGCAACAGAATTTGCAGCCGCAGGCGTACGGAGGGGGACAGTATATGCAGTCGCCGCAGCCACAATACGGATTTCAACAAAATTCACCCTCGCCGCGGGTTAGCGGGAGCCCCCGACCCGGGCCGATGGGGATGAACCAGAATGCCGGCGGGATGGGCAACCAAAACGCGGGCGGTGGAAGGGCAGCAAATGAGCCCATGATCGTGGTGTTGGAGAGGAATTAGTGTGGTGGTGGAAGCTTCTATTCCTATTCCGGGATAGCACCGAGTTGGTAGATATGTTGGAATTGCCAACGTCAGCGGCAATGCCACTGTAGTTCAAAAGCATAAGATGGAGATGCATATATTTCACGAAGAAAACGAAAGGGTTAAGAACGTCAAGAAGAGGTTGTTTCAAATGCGTAGAAATTCAAATTACCATCAAATTTTAGTTTGACTTTCCTCACCATCTTCCCAAAGTGTACGATTTTCACCAAAACAATTTACAAGAGCTCTTGGTGCTGACAAATTAATAGATATTGGTATGATTGTCTGTTGTACAAAATAAAAACGAAACGGAGCCAAAGAGCATGGCCCTGCTATCGATTTGTATTTTCGTCTTGTGATACTAGAAGATTCCTAGTCATACACAACAGTCGTCGTTGAATATGATAACGCCGGGCTTTTCAGGCTTCCGTTCTTCTACAAGCCGAGCTTTGTGTTTCTATTGGCGGCTCATGCAGCACCGTTTCTGCTTCACCTCCTCGTCTAGAGGACTATGCCCAGTGTCCTACTAGGAGTATGTGAAGTTTTTGTGAGCTGGAGCAGGCCAGTCTGTCGCTGTTGATAGTTTGGGTCTTGGAATTTTTCTTTGAACCTACCCAGAGAGTGAGTTTGGGCATCGTTGTGCCTGCTGGAGCGAAGCCACAAGCAGGACTAAAATTATGAGATGAATAGAGCTCGCGAGAAATACAAGGAAGGCGCGGGCGGGTTAGAAGAGGCGCGCGCCCGCCACGCGGGACGGTGGCGAAGGCGTTCGGGGATTTCTCTGCTACCCTCGGCGCAGAATGCCGATGGGCCGGGCCTGCCTCGCTCTCTGAGACTGTCAGCCTCCGGGCGACCAGCGCAGCGCGCGGAATTGCCTCGGCCCCCGGGCAGGCACGGGCAGCGCGGCTCCTGCGTGTTTGTCGGCGCAAAGATTGCCGAACTTGCCATGAACGGAGGCGGCGCAAGCGACAAACGCGGAAGACGCGGCCCGGCCCCTCGGTTTCGGCCCTGCCCTCCCCGCCTCGGTGTTTGGCCGGTTTGCCAGGCGCGCGCGCCCCCCGGCCTTGCCGCCCGCGCTGCGTTGTTTTTGTCGACGGCAGGGCGCCCAGAGCGCTCGCGCCGGCGCGGCCCTCGAGGACAGCGCGCAGGGGCCGGCCCAGCGCCCCGCGCGCGGGACCTTGGATGGGTGCGCGCGCTCTTGCCCCCTCCTTTCTCTTTTTTGCTACCTTGGCGCGCGCCCGCCGGCCGCCATTTTGTGTACATTGTTGCGGCAGCTGCAGTGGGGGCGCGAGTGCTCGTTTTCTTCGCATTAGTGGTCGTTGCAGCCCTTCTGATTGACATGCGGCCCTGCCTGTCAGTGCTCCCTGTTGTTGGGAGGAGGCAGCGCGATGCCGTGGTACGCGCGCGCAAATTGTTGAGAGGGTGTCTATGGTTTCGCAGAATGCGAAATTGTTTGTCTCTTCAGGTCGGGGGCTCACGCTCTTATGCAAGGTAGCAAGCCTTTCCCTTTGCTTGAGTCTGGCGCTGTTGTACAAGCCGAGCTTTGTGTTTCCATACATTTGTGGACCATGCGTCGTTGCTTCTCCCCCAGAGAAAGATGCTGAGTGTCAGAGTGATGCAAATTGAAAATTTAGAGAGCTGGAGCAGGGCAGAGTGTGGCTGTTGATGATTTGGGTTGGGTAAGTAGTCTGTCTTTGGGCCTGCCGAGAGAGTGAGCTTGTGTAGTGTTGTGCCTGTTGGAGCGCAGCGGCCATGAGCATAAACTACAATCAGATTTGTACATGGAAGCCATGAAGCCCGAAGATGGTGCCGTTGCGGAAGAGTCCGAGCGGCGCCCTCAGGCTTGGACGGTGGCAAGGATGTTCGACGGGGGCCTACGTGCTATCGTAGGCGACTAAGGGTGCGCAGCCATTGACCCGCCCCCGCCAGCCGCCGGCGGACGCGCGCCTTTGGGAGAGTGGCTGGGCGGGCCCGGCTCCAAGCAAGGGCCGGCGCAGGCGGGACGATGAGCCGATAAAGTCAACAATGAGCCCAGCGCAAAGAGCTGGCGCCGGCGTGCCAACTCGTTGCGAGCGCTTCGCAACGCATACGCCCGCGACTGCAATACTTCCCGCGGAAGTGTGAAGACGAGGCCGGCGGCCGGGCGGTGCCTGCCGGCGTCACAAAGCCGGCCGGCAAGCTTTGCATGCGTGCCCGTGCGCCCCGCCGCGCCCGATGCGCGCCCGCCGGCCCCGCCCCGTGCCTGCTGGGTGTTATCCCGCCTCCCCGGGCCTGCGCCTGCCTGTCCGGTGGTAGATGCCGCGCGCCTGCCTCCCTGCGCGCGCCAGCAAGGGCTCCCAGTCTGTTTGCGCCGGCGCCGCCCGTCTTGCATAGGCAGCGCAAAGAAAGGCGCGCGTCGTGGAGGCATCTTCTGCAACTTGGGGGCGCGCGCGGCGCGCGGGCGCTCACTCTTGGATTGAGAAGGCAGCGCCATGTAACAGTATGTTGCTAGTATGACGCGGAAGTAAAAAGATAGTAAATGTCCGTAGGAGCGCTTACATACAAAGAAGTGAGGCGCTGCGCGTCGGCAGTGAGCCTGTGAGGGCGATCGAGCATTTTGTTTGCAGAGCAGTGATGCCAAGTGTGTTCCTTCCGAGCGAAAGCGATAGCGGACGATGGCGAGATATTTTGTATCTGCTTTGATATTGGAATTCATTGAAATGAATGCTGCAAATCTGTGTTTATCATCTCAAGTAACAAAACCAAAAGTTGTACATGTACACAGTTTCCAAGGCGACAAATTGAGAGAATGAAGATGTCTATGGTGAGTAGAGTAATTGAGAGTGAGTGAGCTCCTGTCTCTTTTGGTCTTAGACATAGGCGTGATACAGGCCTCATTTGCCTGTGAGACACCAGGGCGCGCTATGTCAATATCTCTCATCACCATCTTCTTACCCAAAATCAGGACCTCAACATTCTGTAGTTTGTTTCTTTCACAGCAAAGAAACATTTCTTTGAACTCCCCACTCTTCCTGTAATCCTCGTATACAGAAACGTTTTTGCCAGTCGTAGTTTTGCGTTACTAGTTTCGTTTTGATTTTGTAACTTCAGAAATCCCAGGAAGCTCAGAACTTCGCTTATCCTGAACGGTGAAGGGCGTATTGCTCCTCTTACGTTCATTCTGCCTTCTTCTCTCGTGATTCATTTTCATTGTTTGAGTCACCGTTTAGCTACACATTGTAGAACTTGAACTTCTATCGACCGCAAGAACATCCGCAATCTTGAAACAAGAAAGATGATGGAGCACGACAACTTTCACCTGCGCAGCAGTGGCACGTGCCACCAGCGAGCTTTATCCATCATGCCGAGATCATTTACTCTGTCCCCCCTTGTGCTCGTCGCGTCAACCCTCCTCCTCCTCCCCCCCACCGAAGCCACTACCAATACCGGCAACACCCAGTGCCCCTGCATTTCCCCCGACTTGTCCGCCTGGCAGGACACAACGCAGACCAGCAAAATCCGTGCCACCGTCGGCGCGAAAACCTATCTCTACGACCAGACGTACGGGAAAGCGTCTTGCAGCACGTGGGACAGCGACAAACCCCCCGCCTGCGCCTTATCCGACGGGCAGGCACTGGCGAACCGGCCCGACTGGTGTACGAAGCAGTGGTGCTACGTGGACAACAGCAACTGTGGTGCGGCGTTCGCCCCCGCGGAGTCTTCGTATTTCAAAACCGCCACCGGCGCCTCCGCAAACCTGCACTACAGCTACCAGACCTGTGGGCAGTCGAACTCATTTGTTACCTGGGACCAGCAGAACAGCAACGCCGGGAAGATTTTGGTCACGGTGGAGAACACGTTGAAAACGTTGAAGCGGGAGATCGAGGCGAATTACGTGACTTTAACCAGCATGACTGCGAACCAAACGGCGAGTTGTCAGGACCACTTGGATTTATGCATTGCAAAGCTATCGTACTAGTATAAATTGCATGACAAATTTTTCCAGAAGGAAAAATGGAATTTGTCATGCAGACTCAAGTAAAAGACTAGATCTGTAATGCAAGGCTGCCATTTATACGAGTGCGATACTTTTGCAGAGGATAGGACTTGAACCACTGCAACACGTGCGCCAACACACCGGTAAATACCGGGTGGGTAGGGAGCAGCAGCAAAGTGGAATTCAGTACGACGGCGGCGTTCATGTCCGATTTGACGGACCCGCTCTACAAATGTCTACATGACCAGGTATACTTACAGATCATTCGTATGTTTGTGACGCTGATTCCGGTTCATCAGAAGGACTTCCCATGCGCTAAACATGCATGACAAGGTCACGCACACACATTCTCACCCAACTGCATCATTCACCACAGATCCGCCTGCAATTTCTGAAAGTGGCTAATTCCGAATACGATATGGTAAACAAAAACCGCATTGCCTACCTCTACGCGGGTTTCCAGGAGCAGGGGAATTACATTCAGTGGCCGGCCATGCAGTGGACCCGAAACGGCTACGACCCGCGGTACCGCCCCTGGTACGCCATGATTGCCTCCGGCCCGAAAAACATCATCATCGTGATCGACACCTCGGGATCCATGCAGCAGGCGAATCGGCTGGTACTAGCCAAGGAGGCCGCGATCAAGGTGCTGGGGACTTTGACCATATGGGACTACTTCCTCGTCATTTCTTTCTCCTCCGACGTGAAGGGAATGTACGACCACGTGGTACCAGCGACGGATACAAACAAACAAGCTGCGACGAACTGGATCAACGCATTGGCAACGGGGGGAACGACGAATTTTCGATCCACTTTGAACATCGCCTTTAACCGGGCGAAAAGGGCAACGATCTTCGACGGCACGAGCGATCCGGATCGCTGCTTCAGTGCGCAGTGCAAAACCACGGTATAGTCGATGAGAAGTAGGTTTTTGGTATTACTGATGTGATGAAGAACAATCTGCAGCTACAGCTACCACTAACTTGCTATAACAAGACGTAGACAGAAGCGCCGTATTCATCAGAGCCTGTACTGCAAAACTCCCAAAAAGAACAAACATACGTATCACTCAACAAACCAGATCCTGTTCCTCTCCGACGGTATCCCGGATGCCTGGGATCCGAGCTCGGACGGCCAGAACCTTCGCGACCTGAATCCAGGAACGCAGTTCAAGCTGTTCACCTACGCGCTCTAGGCATTGCAAAAGTATCGTACTACTGTAAATCGCATGACAAATTTTCTGAAGAGCAAAAATGGAGTTTGTCATGCTGTAAAAGGTATAAGAAGGATATCTGCAATGCATGATTGCGATTTTTACTCCGAGCCCGATACTTTTGCACAGCATACGCTGGGCGTCGGTGCGGACACTTCGGTTCTCTCCCAGCTCGCGTCGGACCACGGGGGAGAAATGCGGCAAGTTTCCGATATTACAATGAAAAATGCCCCCACCCCACATTTGGCAGCATTTGTATTGCAAACCTTTCCAATAGAAACATTTCGCGACTTGCATATCTCAGCATCAGAAGTTTTCCATGCTGAGTAGCTCGAACTTGTGTTGCGAAGGGGCCCAACAGCAGCCGGATCTGTTATGCACAAGGCACCTTGCGCACCTAGATTCTGCATCAGAAAGGCTCGCAGTCCTCTCCTGCAAGACAAAAAGCCTTCACTTGGAAACTTTGCACGACAAACTTTTGGAAATTCGGGGGTGGGGGCATTCTTCATTGTAATATCCGACGGGGGGAATTTAGCGAACACCATGGCGGACTACTACAAGAAGCTCGGAGACGACCGGGACATCAACGCGGTCCGGTGGATGCGCTACACCGATATCGTTTCCCAAACTACATTACTCGCCGGCTGCATCTCCATCGACGACCTGCGCACCACAGCGGCCGCGAAGCAGATGGTCGCCGTGGCGTGCATGGACGCCAACGTGATTGCCAGTTTGAACCAATTATGGACTGCAAATATGTCTGGGTCTGGGAGATTGCGAGAGTTGTCATGCTAGTTTGGCATGACTCTGGGATCTGTATTGCGTTGCAGCCAAGAGCTCCTCTTGCCTGTCATGCAAAGGCGTAATTTCTCATGCGGAATACGCAACACAGAACCATGAAAAAACTTGTCATGCTTCCCGGCACATGACAGTGAGGTTATTATTCAGTGAACTGCATCACACCTTTCCAGACCCAGACATATTTGCATTTGATACAAATTAGAAACCCTGGACGGCTACGCGCAGTTCCAACAAGACTACGAAACCAACTCCCGCATGTTACGCATTGCAAAACAAAGTAATCGTACTTGTATCTATAAAATGGCATTACAGATTTGCTCAGCATGACGACTGGAACTTGTCATGCGGTTTTACCTTAAGGGCAAGATTTGTCATGCATAATTGCAATTAGTACGAGTGCGATACTTTTGCAATTCATACATGTGCGCGAACGGCAACAACCCCTTCCAGGAGATGACGCTGCTCGGCTGCTCCGTGCAGTGGGAGTCCCTGGTGGTGGCCTATCAAATGCGAAAATGTCTGGGTCTGGAAGATTGCCAGATTTGTCATGCAGGTTTTCCATAACCCATGAGGTCTGGTATGTAGGACATAGCATGACAGATTCTGTGAGAGTTCTATCATGCCTATCCTGCATGGGAAACTGCCTCTCGATTAGGTCAAAAGTGGACAGCTTTTGGTAATCATGCAACACAGATTTTTGCATGCTTCAGATTTAGCATGACAAGTTGCATTCTTCCAGACCCAGACATTTTTACATTTGATATGGCCAGTCCGGGAACAAACAGCCTGAAAGACGGCTCGGAGGAAGGTACGAAGGAGGATGATGGTGAAGCGTTTATCCTCGTGATACTAGCGGTCTTGGCGGGAATCGCGCTGATCTTTCTGTGCGTGTGCCTCGCAAAGCAGTTCTGCTCGTTCGGGTACGCGGGGTCAAACAGTGGGGGCGCGCGGATGGCGCCAAATTTGATGAACAAGAATTCCATGATGGGGATGCAGCAGCAGCCAACTGTGATTTATGCAACGGAAAAGCACCTTCGTTAGGCGTAAATCGCAATAACCAAGAATACAGGCTTTTTCAGGTGATTGAAAACTGAAACTTGTAGTCATGGCGCACTTCTGGTGCTTACAAGTTCGTACGAAAATGACAGATCTGTCATGCCGGATTGGATAGCGATTTGTGGTAAAAACTAACGTAGGATGCTTTATTTCCCCAGGATAAGCCGCACCCGAACAACATGACCAACACGACGAACATGTACAACCCAACCGGTCCGTCCGGCTTCGCGCACAACACAAACTCGGTCAGCCCAAGGAGGGGGAGTAGCCGAAGTCCGCGACCACAGGGGACAGTGCCTATGCAGGGACAGTTCAACCCGATGCAGTACAATAACGCGCCGATGCAGCAAAACGCGCCGATGCACGGGATGTCAAATGAACCAATGATCGTGGTGATGCAGAATAGATAGTGGAGGGGGTAGTTGTTGTGGCGGCTAAAAATCAGAATCCAGATTGTTTGGCGGCTTGAAATAGTTTTCATATGTTTTTGAAATGTACAGTTAAGAAATTCAGATTTATTCAAGGGGCGTTTGGCAGCTCTGTGACATGCCAATACTAGTAAAGCAAGTCGTACCTCTGTTGAAGAAGATTTTATTGTATGATGTGTACCATATTATTCGCGTTGCTACAGCTGTACCAACATTGTGTCAAGTTTCTTTTTTGATCCAGGAGGTGGGATACGGATCTAAAATTTTTTCACCACGAAAACTACATTTACTGCGCTGTATATGAATGATAGGAGCTGATCGTCGTGTTGACCCCGTGTGGGCTGTTGATGTGTTATTTGGTGGAACGGAGAATGGACCCACGATATAGGTAGGTGAACAACTTACCCGTGACAAAAATGCACATTTGTGAACCTCAGCAAAGAGCTCCTCGAGTCTTCTTGCACTGAAGATGATAAACGCTGACGCACACTGGCACAGGTCGATAAACCGAGCCGAGGAGGCTGTGTGTCTCAATAGCAGAAATATTTCAGACGGTGGTCGCCGAATTGTGTTCAAGGTCAAGCTCTAGAAGTACCAGTAGCGGGCCAACGAGGTCTCGCTAGAGCTCTCCCACGTGTTGTCATTGGATGGGTGTCCAAACGTATTCACCGCGGTCCCATAGCAGCAGGCGGGCTGCAGCGGGTCAACCGCGGCCACCGCGCCCACGAATGCCGGCGCTGCCCACAAAGACATCATGTCCGAGGTCGTCGAGGTGACCCCGGCGACCAACAGACCCGGCGTCGAAATGGCCGACGCGCACCGCGCCGCAGTTATTGCAGACGTCAGACGCGAGACCAAGGAGGCGGGAGGCAGCAGCTTGCTGGAGGCACAGAAGGACGCGCTGCGGCAAATTCCCTGCCTTAAGCCGCGCAGCAATCGCTGGGGTTTTGGAGCGGTAAACTTGGGCGCGCCAAGTTGCCGGCAGTGAGTGCGCGCGCTGCGCGTGGTGGCCCGCGCTTGGGCGGCGCCGGCTCGCTCTATGCGGCCAGCTGGACGCGGCGAGCGCCGGCAAATTTGCGACGGCGCTCCTGCCGCTTGGGGGGGGGGAATGCGTGGCCCCGCCCTCCTGCCGACCCGGCCGGGATGGCCGTCCTACCTTCGTTCCAAGGCCCCCCCCCAGGCGGGGGGCGCGCCCTTTCCCCGCCCGCGGGCGGGCCGCGTCCGCTCCGCCAGGCGGCGGCATAGAAGGAAGCCTGCCCCGGGCGGCGTTATCTTTACCGGCCGGGCGGCACCCGGCCGGTTGGCCGGCCCCTGGCTGGCTGGGGCCCCCGCCCCTCTCGCCTCCCTCTGCTGCTCGGCGCTGCCCCTTTGTTGGGCAGCAAAACGAGGCGGCCAGCAAAGCCTCGCGCGCGGGCCTGGCTGGCCCTGTTTCGCCCGTTCGCCCTATCGTTGCTTGGCTGCAGGCGTGCCTCCCCGCGTTCCTTGCAGCTTGCCAGTGAGATTGTGTTGCCGGCGCAGCGCTCCTTCGTGTGCCGGTGGCTGCCGCAGCGAGCATTCAGCAAGGAAATCGAAGTGGACCAATTCCAGCGGGCCGCCCGGAAGATGTGCATGGGGGAGCACACTTGTTTGAGGGCTGCCTCCCCTCGCTGCTGGTCGCTACCGGGACATTCATTGGCTGCGCGCATGGTCAAACTGTGTTGCTTCTGATTGATGGAGCCATGGAGGTTGCATTGCTGGCGGCGCCCACGTCGCTTTTCTTGTCAGACTATCTCGAGCTGTGTTCTGTCACCCGAGCTCACGCATGCAGTTTGGAACGACTCACGACCGGCAGTGTTGTATATTTGATCGCGCTACCAGTTCCAAGCATTTCCATTTTATTCATTGATTTACGTTTGTGAGCGGGGGCCGCTTCCTCGTCGTGGATAACAAAGACGCATGGCCGCGCCGCTCTAGTTTAAGCTAAAGCTTCTGCGCGCCGAGCTCTCGTGCTCAATCTCGAATCGGAGATGATAAAGAATGTGCCCCAGCCAGTTAGCATGAGAAAGGAATCATGACTCCGCGTCAGCAAGCTACAGTCGCTGGGTGGCTCAGCACCTGCATTAGCACCTGCTCGCAGTACAACTAACATGTAAAAACTTTGGTCGGTTGTCGGCCCTGGTTGGGTGTGACTTCATCGTCCCTTCGGTCGTCTTGATTAAGGGGGATTGCGCCAACACCATTTCACGCTCATCACCATGCATCTCTTTATGTCCGAAGTGATCCAGGGCGACGACGAGGCCCCTAGCACAACAGCACCAGTACCAGGCCCGCATGACCGCCCCGCCCGGAACAGCACAACTAGCACCTCGACCGCAGCTTCTGGCAATAATTACGCTGCTGGTGCTGGTGCAGCAACGATGAACAGTGGTGCAGAGAATTCAGCATCACAGGCTCCTGCCAGCAGCTCATCGTCCACAGCAGCGACAAATAATCCGGATTCAACATCCCTCACCCCCGAGCAGCTCCAGCAAAATGCAGAATTGCAGCAGAAGAAGCTTTTCCAGATGGAGCGGCGGATCCACAGGGAGAGATCCCGGGTGATCTACGCAGTATGCATTGCAAAGCTATCATACTACGTACAAATTGCATCACAAATTTTCTCGAAAGAGAAAATGAAACTTGTAATGCTGATTCACCTAAAAAGGGACATTTGTCATGCATGATTGCAATTGCTGCGGGTGCGATACTTTTGCACAGGATACGCAGAAGATCTGCTCTATTTCGTCGAGGAGCAGGGCCGGATGCAGACGCAGTATATCAACTGCAAAAGTGTCTGGGTCTGGAAACTTGTGATGCAAAAAGTGGATGATAGCCGGACTGCAATACGCAGCTATGCATCACAAATTTTTTGGCTGCCGTGTCTTACGTATTCCGCATGGCAAGCTGCGTTTTTGCATGACAGGTAAGAGGGTCTTTCCGTGCCTATGCAACACAGATTCTCGAATCATGCCAGACAAGCATGACAAACTTGCACTCTTCCAGACCCAGACATTTTTACATTTGATACAGTACTGGGCGACGCAGTGCGACAAGCGGGACGCGAGCATCGAGTTTCTCATGCTGAAGCTGAAAGAGAAGGAGAACAGCTGCCGGACGTTTGTTCGAATTGCGGGAGACGCAAGGAGAAGCGCCGGAGGTGCAGCAGGAGCAGCTGGGAACAACAGCAGTACAACTACAGGCGCGTTGAGCCCGCTACACCAAGGTGGAGCATCTTCTAGTGCCAGCACCACCGGCCGCCTTTCCGTCGAAGAGCTCTATGAGGGCCAAGCGCCGTCAACTCCCCAGTTGAGAAGAGAAACCATGAACATCAACTACCTGAAAGCAGACGGAACGGTGACCACCCGAAATCTTCCAAACGCCGAGGTGTTTTCACCTAGTATGAAAAATCAGGCTGGCTATGGTTTTGCTCTCTCCCCCGGAAGAGGACAACAAGGACAGCAGCACGCATTTTCCATACCCTCAATAGATTCCTCTGAAGATCTGTCAGGTCAGAATCGATATCCAGTGCAAAAGTATCGTACTCGTAGTAATTGCATTTATGCATTACAAATTTATTTCTCAAGGCAAATCAGCATTACAAACTCAATTTGTAATGCTGGGCTAATTTGTAATGCAATTATATACTAGTACGATGCTTTTGCAGCTCATAATCGAATCCCCGGCGTCGGCGTACCACCAGAAGCTGCAGTTTTGGCCGAGGGTGTGCGTGTGAGCAGTAGAAGAATGCTGGACCATAGCGGGGGCTCGACATCTTCCTCTTCCAGTCGGGCGAAACAAACGAAAAATGCGATTGCAGCAGTGTACAATGGAGCGGCTTCGTCCACTAGTGCTACTGGTCAGCAAGATCAACAGCAAAGTACTTCTGTGATCCCGCATGTTACCAGAAGTAGCAACTCCTCGGCATCTTTATGCATTGCAAAAGTATCGTACTCGTAGTCGTAATCGTATAAATGCATTACAAATTTCCCCAGCATGAGAAATATAATTTGTCATGCGGATTTACCTCAAAGAAAAGATTTGTAATGCATGACTGCAGTGCGAATACAATACGATACTTTTGCACAGGATAATCTTCCAACTCCGACAACGACCGATCGGCGAGTTGGCTGCCTACGGAGATTATCAAATGCAAATATGTCTGGGTCTGGAAGGATGCAAGGTTTGCCATGCTTGTCTGGCATGACTGAAGAGTTTGTGATGCGTGTTCAAGAAGAGACCCGCTCGCTTGTCATGCAAAAACGCAGTTTGTCATGCGCGAAAGGCAACACTAAGCCGCGCAAATATTTCTCATGCTTCGCTGTGCATTACAGAGCATTCACTATTCACAACCCAGCATTACAAAATTCCAGACCCAGACATATTTGCAATGCATAGAGATCACTAATTTCGTCTCAGACGCGACATCCGAATTTCACTCTTTAGTGCAGGAAGCAGCTGGCTTGGTCACTGGAGATGGCGGCCTGACATCTGACGCGAACAAGTCGGAGGGCGGTGGAGGCTCGTTGTTGCAGCAGATAGCGGGGTCCTACGACTCGCCCGACCTGCTGACAAATCAACGGCCTGGAATGTTGACAAACGCAAACAATTTCCAAGACTTGTCCGAGGGAGATGCGATCATTGGCGACGGGGTTTTCCCAACGAACACGGGAAGCTCTTCAGCTAGTGTGCCTATGGAAAGGACACCTGAACAACTTCGAGTGTCGCCGCAAGTTGTGGCCGCGCAAGGAGAACTACGGCAACAGCACCAGTTGTCGCCAGTGGTGCCATTGCCAGATCCTGGAGCTACTCCTGCGAGTGCAGCTTCTTCTGCTGGAAATTACAAGAGCGGCGTGAGTTCTCCATCGCAGGTGGTCAACAGCCCAGGCGCAGGTAGCACCGTCGCCCCCTCTTCACAAAACGCAGGTGGTGCTGCAGCCACAACTACAGAAGATGAAGGTGGAGACACGAGCACTACTGCATCTACCGTATCGCAGGAGAAAGTGTTAACGTTAACGGAATTTGTGATGCAGCAATGCATCACAAAAAAACGTGCCAAAATTTGTAATGTATAGCATGCATGTTCGGCTACATTTGTGATGCATGACTGCAATCTATGAAAATCGTTAACGTTATACACTTTTTCTTGTGATACACCGCGACGAGAAATCAGAATCAACAGCTTTATCACCGAGTGGACAACCTACTCCAGAACAACGACCCATACCGAGATGAAAACCCGGATCACCAACTGGACGGAAACAATTACTCCGACTCGACGACCAGCACCAACCTCCCCACGACGGCTGCTGGGATGCAACGACTATTCCAATTCTTCGTGGACGAAGACTGCGAGATCATCGACATGAACGAGTTGAAGTGCGTGCAGATTCGGTACGACGAAATTATCCTGAGTCCAAACGTACCCACACCAGAGTCAGGATGGGGAATCTGCTAGACAAATCAGCCAGCTTTGGTTGTTTGGCATGACAAGTTTGTCCGCGTTGTGTAGTGCTGTTTGAGCTAGTTTAGCAGCATTACAGATCTAGTATCTCGTGCTGATTGGAGCATGACAAATTTCAAAACCGCGCTAGAAAATGCTTCTCATGGGGCTCCGCATGAGAAACATTTTAAGCATGCAGAGTTGCATGACAACTATGGTGTGGGTACGTTTTTACTCAGGATAGAAATGACGAAGAAATTAGCACAACTGCAAGAAGAGAACCGGCAGCAAAAGATGTGCATGGCTAGTCAGCAAGTGAAAATAACCGGGCTGGAGGCAACCGTGCAAGCGCAGGAGAAGATCGTGCAGAAATTGCACGTGGATCTAGAACAGGTGGTGAACAATCGGAATAGTTCGGTTGGATCTGGCTTCTCCTCGCCTGAGAAGAAAGAAGGCGCAAGCAATAAACCGTCGTCCGAGGACACAGCAGGAGGACCACTACAACAAGCTCCACCAGCTGTGAATCAGTTAGCTCAGTCCGCTTCTGCAGCTGCAACAGGAACAACGACCGAGCATAAGTCGTCCAGTTCTGCTGAGAACCTCCTTACCAAGCAGGACAGCATGACAAACACCACAAGAAAGTTCCACCAGGCATATGGCGATTTGCGCCACAATATCGAATGCAAAAGTGTCTGGGTCTGGACAAAGGGAAGTTTGTCATGCTTGTCTGAGATAAAGATCAATCTCAAGTCTGTCATGCACATTGCCCAAAAGCCCTACTTTTCTGTCATGCAGAAGCTCCCTTTGTCATGCAGAAAAGCCAAGACTGTAGCACCTCCAAAACTTGTCATGCTTGCCAGGCAATTGAGGCGTCCTCGTCCTTCTCCACCAGCATCACAAGTTTCCAGGCGCAGACATTTTTGCATTTCATACACAAGCTCGACGACTACCTCTACATCGAGGAATTAGAACGCGAAGTTACCACTTGCCGTGCCCAGCTCCACGAGCACGAGATGCGGGTCTTACGGGAGGCGAAAAGTGGCAGCGGGGGGGCCGCGGGGTTGTCATCCGGTCAACCAGGAGAGGATCAGAACCAGTGCATTTGGAAAGAACAACTCGGGATCCGGACCACGCAGTTGGAGCGGTTGAGTCGGCAGCTGGACCAGACGCACAACGCGTTGTTGTCGCAGATTGACGAGAATAAGTTGCTGGTGAAAGAGAAGAACGAATTGGCCAGAAGGCTGACGGCGTGGCGTTGAAATAGTAATCGAAGAGGCCGCGACCACAGAGTACTTTACACAAAGTGGATGAAAATCGGGTGATTGGCAGACAGCGGGTGATAGAAACTGTCTGTTCTTGCGTTTGTCAGTAGGTGGAACGTCGTCATTGAGCTTCATTTTTCATTTGATCTGATGTAGACGGATACTCGTCTCTTTTCGGCACTCATTCGTCGAAGTCCTTGCATCTCCTGTGAGAAAGTTTGTTCCAATGCAAGTCTACTTCGACGACCGTCACTGCAGCTTTTCCAACCTTGTTACAAGGAAAAAGTGCAGTTTGGAATTGTATCCCGATGCAATTTGATTCCATTAAGACCGACTTCCTTGTCCACCTCCTGATCCCATGGCAGTTCTAATTCTGATGCAGCTACTCTCTTAGTCGTGTGAAGATTTTTGTAATATGCACTAGCTATAGTTGTTTTCAACCGCAATCTAAACGTCGCACCGGTTACACACGCCTGCTTCTACCAGTACTATCAGAGACGAATGATGTCGACCAAAGCCAAACCGTCTTCGTCATTGTTCACCTCGTCCTGGGTGGCTTCGTGCTTGCTTTTGTTTCTTTTCGCAGCGCACGCTGACGTCGATGTTGCCCCTCCTGTAGCGAGAAACAAACCGAAACCTGCAGAACAGCACAGCGCCTCTTCTCAGGCGCAGGACAGGAAAAGTAGAACAACACCAACCAAGCAAGATGTCGCCGGTTCTAGAAAAAGTGAAGCCGAAACAAAAACGCCACGAGTTGCCAAGAAGACTAAGAAAAAGAAGCAGAAAAAGGACGAAGATCAAAAGAAGGACGGCAATTATGCAGATGAAAAAAGTAGCCCCGCCGCCCCGGTCGATACAGCACGACTGAGAAAACTGTTTCCAAACAGCAAGAACATCAATGCGGACGATCTGCAGAGGTCCTACGAAGGTTTCCTGCTTCTCAAAGCGCTGGAGTTTCTGAAGGATTTCATAAATCTGGAAAGCTTCTTCGAGCAAGCGCACGCAGTCACGCAGCGTGTTGCGCGATCTTCATTCGGAAATAGTAGAAGAACGGATCTTCAAGAGGTAGAGCCACGGCCAGGTGGTCGGGAAAAACTACTGTTGGACGGTAACAACAAGCAGCCGACCAGCACCTCCGGGATAAAAAAGAGCCATCCCGACGGTAGTGCAGAGGGCGAATTACAAGGAGATCATAGCACATTTGGTTTATTTCCACAGCAAGAAGACAATCACGTGACCACCTGGTTTGTGGTGATTAGCCGCGCGCAGCTCTGTACTCTGTGCAAAAGTATCGTACTCGTAGTAATCGCAGTCATGCATGACAAATCTCACTTCTTAACCTCAAGCCGCATTACAAATTTCATTTTTTATGCTGACGGAATTTGTCATGCGATTTCTACTAGTACGATGCTTTTGCATTTCATACTCTGTCTCCTGAACAACTACCTCAGCTGGATCGTTTTCGGCCCGTTGGTGGGGTACCACCCGCTCGAAAATATGGATTGCAAAAATGTCTGGGTCTGGAAGATTGCCAAATTTGTCATGCAGGTTTTCCATAACCCGTGAGGTCTGGTATGAAGGACATAGCATGACAGATTCTGCGAAGCCTTTCCAATGCCTATCCTGCATGAGAAAGTGCCTCTCGACTAGGTCAAAAGTGCACAACCTTTGGCAATCATGCAACACAGCTTTTTGCCTGATTCAGATTTAGCATGACAAATTGCATTCTTCCAGACCCAGACATTTTTACATTTGATAGAGAAGCCCTTGATCCAATTCGTGTTCACGCTGGACGAGAAGAGCTTTCAGTACTGCCTCTCCGTGCGGAAAGAGATTGAAGATCGCGGATATTACAACACTAATAATGATCATTAGGGCTGTTGTGACCCCTCAGGCCCCCCCTCAGGCCCCCCTCAGGCCCCCCCTCAGGCCCCCCCTCGACCCCTAAGGGTAGGGTTAGGCCCCCCCTTAGGCCCCCCCTTTTTTTTTTCGCGATCGCCGAAAAAGGCCTTCGAGAGGCCATCCCTGCGGCCCCCCCTAAGGCCCCCCCTGAGGCCCCCCCAATGGCCCTCCTTTTGTCCAATTAAAGCGGCGGGATTCGGCCGCTTCTTCTTTCTTTCGCGATCGCACGCACCTGACCCAGAACATAAAGCCGCGCGCATTATCGCGGAACACTCCACGCAGGCAGCGAACAAGTCCAGGCGGCGCCGCGCGCTTTGCCTTTGCGCGGCCTTTCGCTTCTCATTCTCCCTCATTGCGGGCGGGGCCGCTTTGGAGAAAAAAATCTTCGCTGTCTTTCGATTCCGATTGCGGGCGGTGCCGCTTTGGAAAGCATTGCCATTGCGGGCGGGGCCGGCCGCTTTGGAAGGAAAGTTTTGCAACAAGTCCGCGGGCGGGGCCGCTTTGGAGTAGTGCCTAATTGCGGGCGGGGCCGTTTCGCCTCGAGCAGATCTACTTCTTGCCCTTCCCCTTCTTTCCCTTGGCGCCTGCCTTGGGCTTCGCCGCTTTCTTTCTTCGCCTCCGGCCTCTTCTTGGCCTCTGCCTTCATGGCCGCGGCCTTCATGGCTTTGCTCGCACCCTCCACTTTGGGCCTCCGGGGGGCTGGAAAAAAACAAAGTGGGGGGGCGGCCCGCCTCTGAAAAAGCGGCGGGCGCCCCACAATAAAGCTGTTGGGAGGATAAAAAGCAGAGCGCGGGGAGAGTCGGCCGGCCGCGTGCCGCGGCATGCAAAGGGCGACGGCCTGCCCCCCCGGGGCTCGCTCGGGAGACGAAGGCGGCAAAACCTTTCCAAACGGCGGGCTGGCACGGAAATCAATGGGGCGGGCACCAGGTGGCCGCGGGGGGGCGGAACCATCCAAAACAGGCACCCTCAACCTGTGGGCCGCTTTTTGCGTTTGCGCGCGCCCGCACCATCCGCCCATCCTTGGGGCGCCCGGAGCCCCCGGGCCCGTGGAGCATGCCGGAAGCGCGCGGGGCGGAAGCAAAGGAAGCAGGCCGGCCGGGCGGCGGCGCCCGCGCGCCCCCCGAAAAAGGCAAACGGCCCCCGGGAGTTTTCTCTGCTTTTCCTTTTGCGTGGTAAATAGCCGGAATTAGTAGAAAAAAAGGCGGGCGGCCCCGGTTGCGGGCCACCAAAAGAACAAAACAGGGCAGAAACGTACCGGCGCAAGAACAAAAAAGGCCCCCCCGGGCCCCCCGCTTCCCCCTTTTGCCATGCTGCGCGCAAGCGGAGCGAACGGAGCAGCCGCGCCGAAAAGCAAAGAAGCAAACGGCGGGCCTTCCTGGAGAAGGAGAAGGCCGCGGCAAAGATTCGGGGTGGGGCGCGCAGCTTTTTGGGCGGTGCGGCCTCTAGCAGGTGTGCGCCACCCCCGCTCGGGGGTTCTAGGAGCCGCTCCCGGCCCCCCGCCGCAGCTTTGTCCGCTTGCTTCCCGGAAAATAAGGCGCCCCAAAATGCCGAGAACAGCCGTCGATGGCCATGGTGAGTGTGTGGAGGGCGTAGCTACGTAAGGCAAAGCAATTTGGCCGGCCCCCCCTCCGGGGCCGGTTGCTTGCAGGCGCCCGCCGCGCATCGCGAGCGACAGACTACCTTCGGAAGTGGGCCCCATTCATTGCCAAGAGTGGCCAGCACCAACCAACGGTGGGGGGGCGCGCGCTATCGGTCCGCCCCTTGGATTTCCGGGGCCCCCGGGGTCTGTGGGACAGGCCCGAGCAAGGCGGAGCTTAGGCTTCCCCGCCCGGAAAGGGACGCCTGGCCCCCGGAGTTGTATTGTGCTTTTGCGCAGCCGGCCGCAAGAATTATCGAAAAAAGGCGGGCAGCCTCGGCGGCTTGGGCCGCGCGCGCTGCACGGTGATTGGCGCCTGCTTGACCCCCAACGGGGTTGATCTGGGGCGGGCGCAAAGGGTAGGAAGGCCCCGCTGTTTGCCGGTTGTAGCAGAGCGGGAGTTGGCCCGGGCAAGACAAAAAAAACTCTCCCGGCGGCCTGCCCGCCCTGGGGCCCCCCCGGAGCCCCCCCCCGCGGGACCCCCGCTGACCCGATGGGATGCCCCTTTTGCGTTACCGCGCGCGGGCGGAGCGAACGGAGATGCCGCGCGCAAAAACAAAGAAGACAGGGCCCCCCCACCCTGCAGAAGACCGCGGCCGGCCGCGATTATGAACGGCGGGCGCGCGCAGCTTTTGTGGGGGTGTTCTATCTCTCTAGCAACACCCACGGCCTTTGCAGCTGGGCTCCAGCCAGGGAACAAAACAAACCGGCGCCCCATAATTCCGGGGGCAGTTTTGATTGGCCGCGGCAAAGAAGTTGGCCGCGCGCCCGACCCCCCGGGCAGGCAGACTGCCGGAAGGGGCCGCGCTCTGCGCCGGGCAGCGTGCTTCGGAAGCTGCTCGCCTTCTCGGCAACATGGGCGGCCTGCGGCCCCCACAAGCTCCGTGCCGCCGGCCGTTTTGTGCTTGCGGCCCGCGCGCGCCGCCGCCCTTCCGTGGCATGTGCGGAGGCCAAAGAAAGGGCCGGTGGGACATGTCGGAAGCAAGGCGAGAGGAAAAGCGCCCCCCTGTTTGTTTTTGCGCGACAGACGGAATCCACTATGCAAAAAAAGGCGGGCAACCTTCGCTGCGGATCGCGGGCGTCTGTGCCACCCTGGCCGCTCGATGTCCGCCCGACCTCCCCGTGCCTGATCTGACAGGTTGGCTACGCCTGCCGCGCAGAGAGACGGCCCCCCCGGCTGCCGGTCGTAGCAAAGAAGAATGTGGCGCGGGACAAGCAAAAAAGCGCACCAGAGGCCCCCGAAGGCCCCCCCTAAGGCCCCCCCGACGCCCTCCCCGGCGGCCCCTTTTCCGCTGCCGCGCACAACAGCGAAACAAGCCGAAGCCTCAAAGAGTCGCGCGAGCGAACATTGCCCCGCGCGAGCGCCTCGGCGGGTAGCTTCTGGAAGTGCCCGGCCCGGCAGCCCGGGCTTGCACAACTCAAGACCTGACCCCGAAGTCAAGAAAGCAAGGCCCACAAAACGCGTCCTGGCCCCCGGGGTGTTTGTTTTTGCACGACAGACGGAGTGCATTATGCAAAAACAAGCGGGCAACCTTCGCTGCGGGTCGCGTGCCACCCTGGTTGCCCGATGCCCGCCCGACCTCCCCACGCCTGATCTGACTGACTGCGCCTGCAGCGCAGAAGGCCCCCCCGGCTGCCGGTCGTAGCAGCAAAGAATATGGCGCTCCCCAAAGAGGCGCACTGTAGGCACCCCGGAAGCCCCCCCGGAGGCCCCCCCTGAGGCCCCCCTGAGGCCCCCCTGAGGCCCCCCCTGAGGCCCCCCCGAGGCCCCCCCCTGCGGGGGGGGCCCCCAAAGCCCTTTCCGGCGGCCCCTTTTCCGTTGCCGCGCACAACAGCAAAGCAAGCTCCCCCGGACGGGCCAAAGAGTCGCGCGCGCGAACATTGCCCCGCGCGGACGCCTCAGCCGGTAGCTTCTGGAAACAAATGCTCGGCCCGGCTGCCCGGGATTGCACAACTCAAGACCTGACCCCGAAGTCAAGAAAATAAGGCCTGCGCAAGATGGTGCCCCGTCTTCTTCGGTTGGCTCCGCGCTGCCTTCTGTTCTTATGGGTGCTCTGCTGTGTGATGCGCCATGTTTTTTGAAGAGCCAACGCTACTCCTATCCCAGCCTTTTCGTTCCCTTCCTCGCAGGGGGCCTAGCCCAACAGTCTTAGTGAGCATTTTGCCGTATACTCGCTATCTGCTTGCAAAAGGATCAAGCTCAAGAAAGGGTCGCCCATCAGGGCGACCCGTCTTCTTGTAGTCATCATAGAGAGGAGGAGCAAGAACAGGGAGAGCGTAGAGCATCTCGATCGAAATCCTCGGTAGAAGGTGGTGGCAGTAAAACGAATAAGGCGAATGAAAAACCCACTGTTCATCAACACCAGAAACTTCTTCTCCCGCCTCCCAACGTCGGCCAGGAAAACAGGAAAATCGAACTACACTGCGTCCCGCCCTGGTCCACGAAAGAATCTGGCCACGCGAAAACCAGCTTAGGATCCCGGTTTTTCAACCGAGTAAACTGGATTCGCCCGGCGCTTACCTACGTCGCGGTGTTTGCGTTGCGGTTTTCCGTTTTGGTCTCGGATGTCGACATTGTGCACACCCGGTTTCCCTGGGGACCCCACACGGAAACGCAGCTGACCATGGTCGGGAATAGAGTAATTCATGTCCAAAATAAAGTAGAAGACGAGGAACATCAGGAAAAGCGGAGCAAGATTCCCGAGTCATCTGAGAATGCTGTTTCTGCCTCTTCAGGTGAAGTTCTTTCCCCAGCCGTATCCCACCTCCAACCACAACCTTTCCACATCAGCCGCTACCTCTCTAACCACATCGAGAAGGCGTTCGCGGAGCAGGACCGAACGCAAGGGAAAACTTCGGGATCGGAATACGATGACTGGATGCGGAACCGGTACAGCAACGCGGGATTTCTCTTCGCCAAGCGCGACGAGTACGAAGTTCTCGCGGACTGGTTTGCGCAGGTCAGCGACACCTATTACGATCAGCACGGGCTAAACTACCTACTGCTCCACAAACGGGATCGGACTCACGGAATCCACGACAAAGTGGGGTACTTCGACCCGCTGATCGTGTGTGCCTGTCGCGACGCGTGCCACAACGCGACGGTTGGGATGAGTGCAGAAGATAGGTTCGTCGCATTCGCCCGCAGAGCCAGTACGCACTACAGCTGCGACGGGCGGGAAAGATTCAAACGGGAGGACATGGCGAAGGACGGACTGTGGCAGCCGCGGTTTTCAACTGAGACAAGCGAGTGTGGCTACACGGGGTTGCCGCAGGGCGTTGCGGTAGATCCAAAGACGGGAGAGTTTGTTTTGGAAACGGTGCAGAGGGGGGATGCTTAGCACGTACTTGGTTAACTCTACTGGAACATCAGTGTCTTCTACTGTACCGACGCCACGACCTTTTCCTTCCCCCTACTTGCAGCAAATCATGAGCAAGCTTAGCTAGTGCTTTACTTAGCTTTTTTTCCGGGTGAAGAATTCGATCGAACCTTCAAAACGCCATATGACAGTGCTTCCCGCCGAGCCACTATTTCCAAAACGATCTGCATCCGCACTAAAACTTAGCAAGAGAACAAGCATTCATCCACGTAGATCCGTTATAATTTCCCTTGGTTCCTAGAACATTGCGAAAGTATACAACCGTTTTTGTGGACGATCTACATCACGGGCGGACGATCTACATCATTGCTCCTATCATGCGACCACTCTTATTTCCGACTCACTTTTATCGGAGTCCTTTGTTGATGAATAGAATCAAGTCCTCGTTCGCCGAGCTGCAATACTTTTGGTGGTGATTGCGTTTCCTATATGGATGTTTTTTGCCCCTCTAGTTTCGCTTTCGCTTTCAAATTCAAGGCACACAACCCGCCGCACGCACGTGTAGTTTATTTTGGATCATCAGTCTCACTCTTGCAGCATGTCACGGCGACGCGCTCGTGGTAATGAAAGCCCGAGACTCGCGCAGCATCGATTGGCAAGCAGTTCTAAAGCATATTGAGATATGGAATACGCACGATCAGCATCACACAGTTACTAGATTTGATGTCAACAAACGCTACACCAGAATCGCGCCGCTCTGTGTTCGCGTTTTCTACCCCTAAGGAGATGAAGCGCCTTCCAAGAGTGGATAAAGTACTACTACCTGGTTCATCACACGAGCGAGGATCTTCACTGCAGCGTTCCTAGCGATGTTTCTATACAGCAAGTGAAATTCTGGAACAAAAACAAAAAAGCAAGGAGCTGCAAATAAATTATCGAAAAACCCAAATTTTCAAAACAGCGACACGCGACCATTTAGAATCGTATATTATCTTTTTTCGTAGTAGAAAGTAGTGCTGTATTAGTACTATGTTTATAAGGTAAGTTGTGCCAAATAAAGTATTGATTGTGCTTTTAGTCTTAGCAAGTTTTCTTTTCATTCTCAAATTGCAAAATTAACGTCGTCACCAAAGCAATTGCAATTTGTGCCAAGAGCATTTCCATTTAGTGAGAAGTTTTTTTGAAGTCATAAGAATGCACTCTTTGATGTATCACATTTGACGATACTTTTTTTTTTTCAAAACGATCTTCATTGTCTCGCGCGACAATCCGAACTTGTATTTTTTCAACCAATGAACACTACGCTAAAAATCATTTTTACGCTTTAATTTTCCGCTCCCGCTGCAGCACCACTGACTCTCACGACTTCGGCCACAGAGGCACACGTCTTCACCTTTTCCTCAAAACCAGATCCTCGAGGGAACAACAACAAAGGCATTCTTGTGCCGAACGTAGAAGCGCGCAGATGAAGTGCGAGGGCCTGCGCTGCCAACCCTCTGCTCTGCAGGTGCCAGGGATGTGAGCATGAAGGTCACGCTTCGTCAGGGTTGACCGTCGTAAGAACACCGCGCAATAGAATTGAGGGCAACAGTACCACAAAAAGTGCGGGTAGCTGTTTCAGAAAGAAGTGCGCTTCGTCCTCGTCCTTTTCCACGACTAACAAGTGACAACAGCAGAAGAAACGTAGCCCGAACATCAAGCCGATCACGACGTCAACGAAGTCGTGCTTTTCAAGCTGCGACACACCACCGACGACTTCCGCTAAGCTAACAGACTGTAGTAGCCATCAAAATGCTGAAAACGCACAAGTACTGCGAGATTTGCCGCGACGAGGGTGAATTGGACATCCGGTGTTGCGCGTGCGGTGGCGCCTTTCACGCGTTTTGCTACGCGGAATGCTACGACCCGGCGCGACTGAAACTTCCCAGAGAGGGTTGGACCTGCGAACCCTGCCACAACAAGTACGGGGAGACGTTTTGCCACCTCTGCAACAACCACTTCGATTTACAGAAAGAGGAGCGGAAAAACATCCAAAAATGCCCCGGTTGCGCGAAGCAGGTGCACGTTTCCTGTGCGCAGAAACTCCAGCTTCTCGTCGACACCAGCAGAGGGGAATTGGTGAGTACCTGTCAGCAGCAGGGTCTGCAGGTGAAGGGCGAAAATGTCATGTACGTGTGCCACGACTGCACGAAGAGGATAAAAATGAAAGTCCGGAGGTCCGCGCACACGCAGCATGGGCGGGTGGTGAGCTGTGACAGCAACAAAGCGGCGTCGGCAACGAACAAGCAGAACTTGTTGCACCAGGCGTTTTGCGAAGTGTGCCAGAAGGGCGGAAAGCTGCTGCTCTGTGACACCTGCCCGAAAAGTTACCACGCAACATGTATAGAAATGATTGGTCGTAGTTTCAATGCGGTAGGGGTAGCTGTTCTTGCGTAAATCAAAATCAATCAGTGCGATGCTTCGCTTTATTCTTGTTGAATCTGCTCATGCGGCATACTCTTCCTCATGCTCCTCATACCCAGCGTCAAAATAACATCAATCACAAATTCTATCAGGTATCGAGCACTTAGTCTCCCTCGAATCTGTCGGCCTCCAGCAGGAGTGGCGGTGCCCGGTTTGCACCGGGATCGACCTCTACAACAACCCCGATGCCGTCCGGCTCTCGGAGCACGAACTTTCGCAACGGCTGCAGCTGAAGAACCAGCACAACATGCGCAGGATCAAGTGGGTCACGCGAAGGAGAAACGCGTACTTGAACTCCATGCTGCACGACATCGAGCCGTTCGTGTCGAAGAAGATTCTGAAACAGATCAAAGACGACAGGGACGTGCGGGACCGGCACTTCCGGATGGGGGACGTGATCAAGGTGACACCAGATCGGAGCGGGATAAGCGCTTTTGCGTTTAAGAAGAAGGTGGAACAAGATCTCATTTGCGAAGAGGCAAAAGATGATGACCCGATGGACGTCGACGGAGAGGAAAACAGTGCGAGTGCGGAGAGTAAGACGAGTAAGAAAAACGGAGCGGTGGAGGATAAGTCATTGTCCGGCCACGCGGTGTGGAAGCCCTTTGTCGGTACAGATCATGCTTCGTCGTGTCAGGCACGATTCAATTATTCTTGCACTGGTCAAATTCTAATGCAACACTCATTTCAATTTCATCCATGATTTTTTGAACTTGATGTGAGGTAGTCAGTGTTTCGCCGTCTCTGGTGTTCCTGTAACATCAACCCGGAAATAAATACAAATCACTATCAGGCACCGTCCTCGAGGAGTCCTCCATGTCGGAAGACGACAGCCTAACTGTCGTGGACCACGCTGACCCAGAAACCATTGTCAAAGTCAAACCCTACGTCTGCCAGTTCCTGTGCAGCGGGTCGCAGAGGCGACTAAGAAAATTCCACACCACCCCTCCCGACGCGTCGGTCTTTCTGTCGAGAACGAAAAACGGGGTGGATTTCTTAGCCGAGGGCGTGAAACTGAAGGACTACCAGGTTTTTGGTGTCGATTGGATCACAAACTGTTTCTGCGACCGAGGAGGCTGCATCTTAGCGGACGACATGGGGCTCGGGAAAACGCTGCAGGCGCTGGCTTTCTTGGCGTATTGAGCCTTTATTTGAGCCGTGGAAAATTTGTGATTTAATGTTAATTTGCAATGCTGTTGCTGAATTCTATTTGCATGACTCGGATACTAGGTTGTCTTGCAGGATTTTTTGCACCTAAGAATAAGTATTTACAAAAAATCCCAGCAACCTCCACCACTCCGGCAACCAAGGGCCGCACCTTGTGGTCGTCCCCTATGCGGTCGTCGGTAACTGGATCCGCGAAGTGAGGCGATTTTGCCCGCAACTACGGGTGGCGAAGCTAGCGGGCGGGAAGAACGAGTGGGAATTTGTTTTGGAAAACAACGAAGTGAGGTACGGGGAGAGAGACCTGTACATCACCACGTACGAGACCCTGGTCAGCTCCGAACCCTTTTTCGCCAGCATCGTATTATTTTTTGTTTTACGATGTACTGTAGTACTACTGTAGTTTCTGTTGCGGCTTTTGGCATTATTATACGTCGCAAACACTGCTGCTAGTTCTTGCAATACAAATTATCACCTGAAAAAATTTATTCCCGAACGTGTATACGCATTTCGATTTCCACCACAGGTCTGGTCATCCATCATCCTCGACGAGGCGCACCGCATCAAGAACCAGGTCGGCCGCGTGAGGCAAACCCTCGCCCACGTCGAGACCTCTTTCCGCTTACTTTTGACCGGCACGCCGTTGCAAAACAACATCCAGGAGCTTTTCGTCCTGTTAAACTACCTGTGGCCGGATGTTCTGCAGGATAGCAAATCCTTCGAGGAAGCCATCTCCTTCGAGAACGTCGCCACCATCGCCGCGGAAACGGATAATAAGGAGCGGAAAACTGACCCGGACGTTTTCCCGTTTCTACACCAGGACACGATCTCGAAAGAGAACCAGCTCGCGAAGACCAATGGCTTCCAAACGAACGAGTCTTTGCTGCAAAAAGTCCGGGGCCTGCTCGAGCGGTTGATGTTGAGGAGGACGAAAGCGGAAGTTTTGCGGCTCCCCCCAAAACACATCCGGGACGTGTGGCTGCCGTTGGCCCCCGCGGGGGTGAACTGGGCGCGACTGATCTACCGGTGCCACGACGAATTACAGCTGCGAAGAAAGCAGCAGAACGGAGTCCGGCAGCTGATGGGATTGCTCCTGAAAATCCGAATTATTTGCTGCCATCCGAAATCTCTACTCCGGTCGAAGTCGGGCACGGACTTGTTCTCGGAGTTTGAAGTGGCGAAGCGCGGGAACTACCAGCATTATTTACAGCAGGTCTCCGGGGAGATGCATTTACAATCGTCGAACAAGATGATGTTTTTGGATAAGCTGTTAACCCAACTGTATTGCGAAAACGTGGATAAAATTCCATTATGGGAGGAAAAACACAAGAATTCCACGAGGGAGCAGCGACCGATTTGCTGTGCGGAAGATGATGTGAAGCAACACGTGCAGAACATTGATTTGTACGCGGATGTGATGAAAGTGTACGATGTGGACCAAGGAATGATGGTCGGGAATCAAGCGCACATCGCCGGGACGCAGCAGATTCTGGGGGAGGAAAATGTTGGAGAAAATGGTGGTGATGTGGAAAACGACTTTAACGGTGCACCAAACGGCACGACGACGACGACGGAAGTTGTAGCGGAAGGTGCTGATGGCACAACTACGGGGATAACACCAGCATCAGCTTCCTCTGTGGTGCAACTTCAGGCTGGAGGTCAGCAAACCGGCTCCTCCTTGTCTTCCTCCTCTTCATCTGGAGTTCCAGGAATAACTGCTGGCGCACCAGCAGCCGCTAGTTCATCATCCTCCAGCAAAACCACGACTGCGAAAATAAACCAAAAACAAAACTCCAACCCCGCGACCACCGCCCAGTTCAAACCGCACAAGATCATTCTTTTCACCCAATTCCAGATGGTGTTAGACGAGCTCGAGGCGTATTGTAAATGGAGAAATTGGAAGTATTTGCGGTTGGACGGGACGACGAACAAGGTGATCAGGGAGCTTATCAACTGCAAAAGTGTCATCTGGGTCTGGAAAGACGGAACTTGTAATGCGCATCTCACACCACACAAAAATCTCTCATGCATAGACAGCAAGAGTTGCCCACTTCTTCACCGAAAAAATAGGCGATTTGTCATGCGGATTAGCAGGCATCGACGCAGCTTCTCAAAACCTGTAATGCTAGACCTTGCTTGCTAGACCTTCGGGGTCATGAAAAAACAGCATGACAAAAATCTGCATCCTTCCAGACCCAGACATTTTTGCATTTGATAGAGCTGGATGTGAAGGAATTCAACTCTCCGGATTCCCACCACTTGATTTTCCTCATGTCGACGCGGGCGGGGGGAGTGGGGATCAACCTGCAATCCGCAAATTTCGTCTGCATCTACGACCAGGATTGGAACCCGCACATTGACACGCAGGCCATGGACCGCGCGCACCGGATCGGGCAGGACCGGCCCGTGACAGTGTATCGAATGTTGACGGAGTGGACGGTTGAGGAGAGACTCGCCCACCGCTGCGAACAGAAAATGAATTTGAACAAGCAACTCCTAGACGATGACCTCGGGCACGAGGCGAGCGACGAGAAACTCTCCATGCACGAAGTTTTATCCTATTTGAGGCACGGGCGCCAGGTTTTGACCCAGCAATTTTCCGGGGAGTCGATTTTGGACAAGTCCATTCCGAACGTGCTGGAAAGAACCCACCAGCCATTGCCGATGCCCGGGATGAGGAATAATTTTTTGGCAGCTCCTGCAGGCCAGGGTCAACAGAATCCGTATGGTGCCGCGCTACAGTCCGGATCTTCCGGCAGTTCCCTCCCATCCCCCTCTGATTCGGAGGACAATGACCCGCAAAACCGGCAACTCATGACCTTTTCCGTGAACGAACTGAATGGAGGAACCGCTTCGGACGCGAATAGTGGGGTTAATTCTACTACTAGAGGGGTGGACGAGGGAATTCTCAGCTCCGCCTCCTCCGCTTCGGGCGTGCAGAGCTCCGCGACGTCTAGCTGGACTAGGAATAATACTAGCCATCTAGCCCCCCAGACCCAGCAGGGCATGGTGGGAGCGGCCGTGGCGGCGAAGCACGGCGGACTATTGCACCACCAGATGCGGCCGCCGTTTCACCCACCGCCGGGAGCTCCTGCAGGTGGCAACAGCATGATGTTCCCGCAGGTCGGGTCTTCCGCCGCCTCCTCCTCGTCAAAGCCACCTAACAATTTCGGGCTGGCACCCTACAATGTCAATCCTGGTCAAGGCCATCCGGGGGCGCAAACGGGTGCTGGTGGTGTGACTCTTAACGGTCAGCAACAACTGGGTCCTCTTCCGCAAAACGTGAATAACAAGGCGAAGCCGCAGCAACTCTCTTCAGTCGACGAGCAAATCAAGAACGGCGGTGGCAGCTTCCGCGGCGGCTCCACAACCATCACAAACGACCAGGGGGTGACCCTCCGGAGGTCGACGCGGATAAAACGGCAGCCGCAGAAGATGCAGATGGCGGAGGAGATTCTGGCGGTGGAAGTGGAGCAGGCCCGGAAAAAGCACATTTTCAACTTCAAGTACGATCGGATCTGCTTTGCGTGCAAGGAGCCGGTCTTCGACGCGAAGGGCAACCCGATCCCAATTGACTGCAGCAATTTGGACGACAAGGACCTGAAGGTTAACGGCGTTTTGAAGTACGAGTGCAAGGAGGGGGAGCCGTGTCGGTCCGGGTTCGAGGCGTTGGTCTGCGAGCGCTGTCCGAAAACCTTCCACGCAAAGTGTCAAGGCGTGGAAGTGATGCCAAAGAAATTTGTCTGCTCCTGGCACGAATGTCTGTGCTGCAGGAGAAGAGCGGGGGACGTTGGCGGGATGTTGGTCCAGTGCACCGGCTGCCCCAAAGCGTACTGCATCGATTGCTTTCCCCAGTCTTTTCGAAGGGTGTACCCGGAAGACTCCTTCTTCAAACGACTGCAAGCGCAGGGCTGGGACTTCGCGACCCGCGAGCGCATGGTGAACTTTGAGTGCAACGATTGCCGGGTGAGACGGGAGTTTTCGGAGAAGAAGGCGTTGGATCTGGAGGAGCAGAGGAAAAAGGAAAGGGAATTGAACGAGATCGAGAAAAAACGGTTGCGGGACGAGAAAAAGCAGACGGAGAAGCAGTCACGATTGCAGGCGAAGGAAGAGCAGGAGAAGTTGAGGCTCGCGAAAGAAGAGGAAGACGCGGCGCTGGGGAAGGCCATGAAGAAGTTGCGAAACAAGAAGAATTTGAGCCAGAGTCCCGATGGGGCAGTCGTGTCCGAAGGAGGGGGTACCAATGAAGACGCGGGTAGTTCTAACTTGAACCAAGCAGATAGTAGTGCTGTCAGTGAGAAAAAGAGGAAGCGCGAAGAGCAGAAATCGTGGGTGGCCATCCGGGAAAAAATGCGGGAGAAGTACAACATATCAAATGTAAAAATGTCTGGGTCTGGAAACTTGTGATGCTGGATGGCGTCTCCTGATGAGGCCACAAGCGCTGGCTCAGCATGACAAGTTTCTGAGCTTCTAGGTGTTGCCTATTCTGCATGACAAACTGCGTTTCTGCATCACAGAAAAGTGGAGCTCTTGCTGGGTAACGTGCATGACAGATTTAAGAGTCATGCCAGACAAGCATGACAAAGACAAACATGCAGATGCACTCTTCCAGACCCAGACATTTTTGCATTTGATACAACAGTTTGTGCGAAAAACGGCTTTCCCCCGAGCTGCAAAAACGGATACAGATGTTCCGGGAGGATTATGAGAAGTTGAAAGGGTTGCAAGGTGAAATTAACGGTGATCCAACTAGTATCAAAAAATACGACGAAAATGCAGCAGCGGAAGCGGAAATCATAGGAAATACAACAGAAGAAAAATCCGGCGCGTACCATCAGGTGTCGAAGAAACTGTTGAAGCAGCATTTGTTCGATTTATATTATGAGCTGGAGGAGAACATCACCCTGGAGCTTTGCGTCTCCCACTTGGAATTTGCGAAAAAGGAACAAGTTGACGACCCGCAGCTTGTATGCATTGCAAAAGTATCGTACTAGTATAAATTGCATCACAAATTTTGGCAAGAAGAAAAGTGGAATCTGTAATGCTGTTTTACCTTAAGAAGGAGATTTGTCATGCATATTTGCAATTAGTACGAGTGCGATACTTTTGCACAGGATAGCTGGACAAAACGAGGAACTTTGTGGACATGCTTCCGTTATGCATTGCAAATATGTCTGGGTCTGGAAGGTTGGAACTTGTGATGCTCACTTTGCATTCTAAAAAAATCTGTATTGCATGACCAGAAAGAGGAGCCCAGTTTGTGCTACGCGGGGAGGGCATTTGTCATGCGGGATAGGCATCAGGAAGGCCTCTAAAAATATGTGACGCTCGATCATACATTACAGACATCCTGGGTCATGCAAAATATGCATGACAAACCTGGCAACCTTCCAGACCCAGATATTTTTCCATTTGATATCCATTATGCCGAACCTGCTACATCCCGGGACACAAGCAGACGGAATGCCCGCTTGGGGCGGATTGGCAGAATTTGGTATCACTATCATGATATATGTCATAGATGTTGAGTTAGTGCGTAGATATAGATTTCTTGCCTGCAGTTCCTTGCAATCGAAATTCTGCAAGTTGTTGTAATGCAGTGAGTACCATAATCATGATCTTCGTGTTCGTCTTCCACATGCCATCCGTTTTTTGCCATTGGATAGTCTCAACGGGACACGACCTACCGCCTTGAATTTTTGCAATATGATGTTCATGTCAAAACAAAAATCAAAAATAGGACAAGGAGAACACCGACAAGAAGGCCCGGAAGCAGCGGGGTTGTACTATTTGCGGGAAAACGACCCACGGGCGCCGGCAGTGTCCCGACATGAGCGATGAGGAGCGGAAGGAGACGGGGGAAGTGTTCGCGAAATTAGAGAAATTGATGGAGCAGCTGGAAGAGGTCAAGCCGGTGGTTTGTCGTCCTGCAGATGATCACGTTGAATCAGAACCACACGACAACGACAAAACAATTATCACGACTGTTTCCTACCTTCCAGCCTACGACAGCATGCATCTGGACGAGTGCTGCAAAAACGAGGGGAACCGAGTTCTGCGGGCGGTCATTCTGCCTATGGTGAGACAACTTGGGCTGGAGAAATTTGTCCTCCACAAGCCCGAAGATTTGGAAGATAATCTGACCAGGAAACAACAAGCGAAACTTTTGGAGGCAGCGCAAGTAGCCGCGGGAGTAGAAGCGGAGGAAGAGAAAAAACAGGAACTCGCTGGTGAAGGCGCGGCAGAGCAGGGCGATAAAGCGCAAATAAATGCAGACACGACGGCGACATCGACCACCGCAAATAGCAAGTCCCGAAAGCGCCAGCAAAAGGAAGAGGCGCCGCCGATTTTGTCAAAACGACAACGGAAGATCGCCGACGAAACAGGTACTAAAGATAAGGCTAAAGATAGTAGTAAAGCAAAAACGACTTCAACTAAAACTACTGGTACAACAACTTCCAAGAAAGATACTAGCAAAACATCTTCCGCTACGGCCAGTACTAAAAATAGTGCAAAAACAAGTACTTCTACTACTTCTTCGAAAAGCAAACAAAAACCCTCGTCTTCCCTCGAATTAGAGCATCAGAAGAGTGGTAGTAGCGTTGCAGGAGATCAACATAGCGGAAACAAGAATAAAACTGGTCCCGCAGGAGCTAAAAATTCTACTAGTAGTACTAGCGCTTGTATTAAGGGTAGCGGTAAAAAATCAATGAAGCAAGTGAAGAAGGATCATAAAGATGCTGGACAGAAAAATAGCTCTACTTCTACTACTGCTAATTCCTCCTCGGCCGTTGCCTCGACAACTACCTCATCTAAAGGAGCCACTTCTAAAAACAAAACCACTTCGACGTCCACGATTGGGTCGTCTAGTTCTGCCTCTGGAGCTGCAGGTCGCGACACCAAATCCAAAGACACAAAAACAACTACTTCTGGTGAGAATAAATCCACCCTCGGCGAGAAAAATAAACCCAAAGCGATGAAGACAGCGGCAAAGAAGAATAAGGAGGAAGTTCTGTCATCCTCAACTACCGAGCGTATGGAACTCGAGGCGGATAAACAGAATGCAACTGCTGGCGCTATACCCGCCGCCGCGCCCACGGACGAGGTGGTCCTCCTGAATAAAGATGAGCAGACCTCCACTCCTGCGGGAAAGAACACTACCACCACGGCGAAGCTGAATGGAGATTTTGGCACCAGCGGGACCGCGTCTTCCTCCACAGCAGCTGCGAAGATGAAAAACGACCAGGGTGATAATCTTCCGAAGGAGATGGATGTTGATATGCAAGAACTACAACCAGCGGATGAAATAAATACCTCCGCGCACCAGCTGCTCAACATGTCCATCTCCTCCACGTCAAGCAAGAAGTCTGCCATGAAAACCGCTAGTAGGATCGCACCGTTACAACTCGGAGCCACGAGCGGAGTAGACACCGACACCAAAAAGAATAAAGCCGGAAGCGGTAGCAAGAAGAAGTCCTCTACTTCGTCCCGTGGTTCCTCGGTCGCCAGCGGTGGCGAAGGGGTGGACAAAAGCATGAAGGCCGTGGCGAAGAAATGTAGTTCTTAAACGAGCAGGAGGTGCGGTTTCACAATCAAGGGGAACTCGAAAATGAAGTTCTATATAGCAGTGCCAGTGGTGGATGTGGATCTGAATGTATCTAGAGTCAAAGTGGTTGGATGATGTTTCCTTGAAGTAGAAGTAGCTCATCGGTCTCCGACGGAGACGAATGCGATGAGAAGACCTGGTGGAGGTGGAAGTGCTTAAAGGAACGTCAGCGAGTGGTGTGACAGTCCGATGGCGATTGATTTATATTGTTTCTGTTTCACACGGTATTAAGGAAGACCAGCGGCATTCCAATGAACAAAATCTAAATGAAAGCACTTGCCTAGTATGCCAACATAAAAATTGCTGAATTAGCCATCAAGCCCTAGATCATGCAAGCGCCGCCCACTGCCACTTCTTCCACCAATACTAGTTTCGACATAGATGAGTCGTGGCGAGCAAATATAATGAAAGACGCCCAGTAGCATGAGGGAATCCTGCTGTTTGATTTTGATTCGAACCAGTAGCGACCACAAGAATTTTTCTGATAACTATTGTCTGAGTCTGCTCCCTTAAATTTTTTTCCACACCTAACGAGCCACTCTATCATGTTTCCATACTATCTTAATCTTTTGTTTAGAAACTTTTGATTCGTTTTCGTTGACTTCTTGTCTGCGAGCGAGCTCACGCAGAAGTTTAGTCCACTTGGAAATAGTCAGCTCCTCGCAGTTGCTATTGAAGCCGCAACTTTTTCCAAGCCATCGCTTTTTCCACAGAACTTTCTTTCTTTACAAGCAAAATAAACGCCACGCGACTACAAAATATTAAACGCCACACGACTACTTCTTCATTAAAAACACAAAGTGAAGTTGTCTTCTGATGGTCTGTTTACGAAAATTAATAGCTAATATTAAATCCAACGACAACGAAAGGAAAATGATCTATGATGTCCAGAAGATTCTTGAAAGTATCTATTTGCGACTTGCTCTGTTGGGCCGAAATCTTGGCATACTCATTTGAAGCGAACAGATAAACGGCTACGGCGTACTCGTGCGGGTCGAAGCTGCCGACTCGTCGAAAAAACGCAGGGCGTGCGGGCAACCTCGCAGACAGTTGTGAAGATGGGTGTTTTCCAGATGCAGCTGCCTGGAGACTGTTTATTTCAGCAGAAGCGCTTTGACGTCTATGTCTATCTCAATTCATAGTATTGCTTGCAAGGCCCGCCACCATATTTTCTTTTTTTGATTTTGAGAGAAAAAAGTGCGACGAAGTACGTTGGACCGAGAAAATTTCTCCGTGCGCACTTTTTTTTTATCCGAGTTACAGCAGTCTGGAGGGTCACCTGAAAATCACTACAGTTTTCCCAAGAGAGAAGCTATTCCAGTTTTTTCTTTTTGCCTACCAGTACCACCTACCGTTTACATGACCCACCGATGCTAAGGCTAGCCAGAGCGAAGATGTTGAGAGGTAGTGCGAGAAGATCCCAGTCCCACTTAACTATAGTGTTAGTTATAGTTTCTGCTAGCATCTCTCGTCACTCATACGCACTGCACTACTTCTCCTAAGTAACGATCCATATACTTACATATTTTCTCGACAAAAATACATTAGTATCAGGTCACCGCTCTACTCCTGCAACGCTACTACTACGTTACAATGAATAAGTGCTTTTCAGCCAATACACTGATAAAGCCCTACACTGTAGTGGGAGTCGGTACTTCGACTTTTCGTTTATTTCCTCTATACAAAACAGGTATTTTACCTGGCCAGGCGCGTTTCTGGACCGACACGGCAGCAAGTGCAAGTGCAACCTCGTCTTCTCAGCCGAAAAATATGCAGCTGCCGCAAGTCGACCTGTCGCTTCCCAATAAGCCCGACAAAAGCACTAGACCGATCAAAGTCGGAGGTGGAGGATCATCTGCGGGAGCAGCTACAGGATCGAGCACGACCCCGAACAAAATTGCCAGTGCCGCCAAAACGGCAAACGGTAATATTAAAGCAAAAGCGACGTCGGCAAAAGCAGGGACGAAGACGAACAAGCCCCGCGGACGGCCACCGGCGCAACAGCAGGGAGCTGTGCCTTTCTTGGGTACTGGCAGTACTTCATCAGGCGGTGTGATGCAGTACAATCCCGTTGCAGCGCCTAGTATAATGCTGCAAATGCCGGCGCACCAACAGCATTCCTTGGCACCAGGAGCGCTGCCTGGCGGAAGTGGAAGTGCAGGAGCTCCGTTGATGATGCAGCCAAACCCGCTGCAGATCCACCAGATGATGCTGCAACAACAGCAAATGCTGGCCGCTGGAGCCGCTGCCCCGCAAGCGCCTGCAATCCTACCCGCCCTGCAGCTCGCACCCGGAGCGGCTGGGAGTGGTCTTAGCATGGGCCAGTTCCCGGGAATGCCGCCGTTGCAAATTCCTCCAGGGGGAATGATCGCGTACGATGCACAGGGAAACCCGGTCACGCTTGTGAATGCCATCAATCCCAATTTTTAGGACAGAGACTTACTAGTAGCACAACAGCGACATTCAACAAGAGAAAAAGTACCAAAATTATCCGATCAGCGACCAGAACGTTATTTTGTCGATTGACTAAAAGACTACATAAACCTAAAAACAATCAGAGCAACTTCGTCGAGTTTAAACTTTCCATTGCTTACTAGTTTATTGCTATTACGACAATTAGTGGAGTATTTTTTTCAACAAAGCGAATAGCGGACTACAACAAAAGCCGTTGAAAAGAAGTATACTTACTACATCGACCTCAGTTCATCTTGCGACTGTATCAATCAGCACAAGTCGTGGAAGGAAATCTGACAAGAAATGATACTTGACGCGACCACTAGTAGTTGTACATGTACTGTGTATGATGCTCCAGCACGCGCAGCTTCCTTGTTTCCAGTTTCGGTTTCTTTTTCAACGCAGAAACGAACCTCATGATAGTGTACCGCCCTTGCGACGAGGACGACGGGACTTATCCCCGCGCGGACGAAAATCGTTTTTTCAAAATCCGGACATCTTCATGTCTGTTTGTGTTCCGACTGAAAATCTTGTTTTCATCTGACGAATGAAATTTACCGCCCTCTTCTGCAGTTTTCGCAGGGTGTCATACAACAGTGGTCCGCTTTCAGGATTCCAATGCAATGTCGTACTCGCAGCTATAGCCCGAACAGGAAGTTCAAGAAGCTGCACACGCAATGTATTTTTTACTGAAACGATACCTGGAGTTCGCATGCATAAGCTGAAACCTCCTACGAAAAGCCATTTCCAATTTGCCGTCATCACATCTCCCTGTTGGGGGCGAAACACGAGGAAGAGCTGGCTCCTTTGGAGAAGTAGGACTTCTCTCATCTGCAGTCGAAAGTAAAAAACTCATTGTATATTAAATAATTCTCTCAAGACACGCTCAAGCACAAAAAGTTCTCGCTTGACCTCGTCCCGTGGTGAGGACATACAACCTAAACGGAGGTGAAAGCAATTTTTTCCAATAAGGACTATCTGAGTAGAAATCGAAAGAATTATGGTCGCTCAACAAGCTCCTGCACCCGCTTCAACAGGAGCGGCCGCGGACAATAAATGGGCGAAATTTCTACCGGAGCCCAAGCAGGTGGAGTTTACGGCCACCCTTTGCGCCGACAAGGAGGGGATGATGACGCAGGCGCAGGTGAAGCTCTTTCTCCGCGGCTATGAATTGTAAAAATGTCTGGGCCTGGAAGGTTGGGACTTGTAATGCCAGCTTTCCGTACCTAGAAAATATGTATTGCATAACCAACAAAAGTCGCAGCCTCTTTTGTCATGCAAAAACGCAGTTTCTCATGCGGATTGCCTATGAGAAAGCTTTTTGGGAAGTTGTCGTGCCGGACTGCATTCGGAAGTGTTTTCATCATGCACATTTCAGCATCACAAGTTTCCAGACCCCGACATTTTTGCATTTGATAGCGGCATGGGGCTAACGATCCGGGAGAACGAGTTCGCGAAAAAGATTTTCAGCAAGGCGACCACCTCCCACCAGGTGCAGGAGCTCTCGCCCAACAAGCAATCCGGTACGACGGAGCCGAACGCGGACTCGCTGTTCCTCGGGGACCCGAGTTCGGTGAAAATATCCTGTGCAAAAGTATCGTACTCGTATTGCAATCATGCATTACAAATCTTGTTCTCAAGGCAAATCCGCATTACAAATTTTATTTTTCATGTTGAGGAAATTTGTAATGCATTTATACGAGTGCGATACTTTTGCAATCCATAGAAAAGTAGCGGGGACAAAGTTTACAGCAAGGAAAAGGTGATCGAGTGGTTTTCCGCCAACAAGGAGCATTTCCAGCACCTAAATCGCGACCAGGCCGAAAAGGCTTTGGAAACCCTGCAACCCCACGTTTCAGGCGGCGCGAAAGACCGGGTCAGTTTGAAGCTGTTGAAGCACGTGCTGGCGAACTTATGCTGTGCAAATTTTCAGTATCGTGCTCGTACTTCCAATTACTATCTATTATACTAGCCCGGGGGAAGGAATCTGCATCCCGAAGCGAAATCGAGAGCACCGGGGGGGGAGAAAGCAGAACTAGAAGGGGCGGGCCCTCAGTCGGGCTCTGAGTGGATATGATTCACGGCGAACGTTGACACCTAGGGAAAAAGGCGCACGATCTGGGTAGCATTTAAGTCGGGGGCGTGTTTCTTGTTGGCAATGGTTTTTGGGTGCGAGTTGTGACGAAATTTGCGGAGCGAGCGGGGGAATTTTTTTTGGGGCTGGTCGCTCGCGTTTGAAGAGCGTGGCCCGCTGCACATTTTGCGCAGGGAAAGCTGCAGAACGGTGGCGCGTGTGATTTAGTGCCCTGACTTGGCTGGGATCTGAAGCGGGAGGGCGGCCGCGGCGGCTCCTTCTCTATGTGCGGACAGAGTCCGGGGGCGGCTTCCTTACCGTTTTCGGTTTTGTTTTCTGGGGGGCTGTGGCTTTATCATAGAACTGCTGGGGAGGCCGCGAGGCCCGGCAATTCTTTGGTAAGCTGGGCAGCCGGAGGCCCAAGAAGGTGGGGGGCCTGGGGGGCTGGCTAGCGGGGGGGTTGGGTCTTGGGGGCAGGCTCGCTGGGAAGGCGGGGGGCTTGGGGGCTGGGGGGGCCAAAGGCTAAAAACTGCAAAAACGAAGGGGCCTCGGCGTAGCTTTTGCTTAGAGCGGGAGGACTTTCGCGCCGCCTCCTTCTCTATGTGCGAACAGTTTCCGGAAGCTTTTCCGCCTTATTTTTTGTCGCGGCGGTTGTTTTTCTGTCATAGAACTGCTAAGGCAACCGAGCGGCCAGCAGCTCCATGGAAAAGCCCAGCGGCCGCAGAGCCCAAAGGAGGCGCGGCGGGGCCCCGCTGCTGCAGCTTCGCAGCTTCAGCAGCTAGATTGGCTGGCGCGCCTGAAACAACTGCGGCGGCTCGATGAGTAAGCTGAGCAGGCAGGAAAAGCCCGGAGTTGCTACAAAACCGGCCGTAGCTAACAAGCCGGCAGGCTTCAGGTAACAGACCGGCTTTAGGTAAAAAACCGGCTTTAGCTGAAAAGCCGGCTTTTGCTAAAAAGCCGGCTTCAGCTAAAAAATCGGCTTCAGCTGAGCTAAAAGCAAACCGGGAAGCCGGGAAACCGGGAAACCGGGAAACCGGGAAACCGGGGAGCCCTGGAGTGGTTTCGGGTAAGGGTATCGCTGGAGTGGTTTCGGGTAAGGGTATCGCTGGAGTGGTTTCGGGTAAGGGTGTCGCTGGAGTGGTTTCGGGTAAGGGTATCGCTGGAGTGGTTTTGCATAAGGGTACGCGGGGGGTGATTAAGTGCTTCACGATTTCAGTGGTTTCGGGCAATTTCCGTCGCTTTTGGGTCTATATATATTCATGCGAAAATATTGTTCTAGAGAGGGTAAACGAGAGGTGGCAGGGAGGTCAAAAAGAGGTCAAAAGAGGTAAAAAAGAGGTCGACAGAGGTGGAGGGGTGGCGCGGGAGGTAATTCGAGAGGGTGGCCGAGAGGGGGCGCGAGTATAGCCCGCCGAACCGGTCACCCTTAAGGGCCGCCAAGCGGCACGGAGGTGGCCGAGAGGTAAAAAAGAGGGCAAGCGAGAGGTGGACAGAGGTGCCGAGAGGTTGCGCGAATAAGGAGAGACCTCTCGCGCACCCTCTGGGCCACCTCTCGGCCACCTTTGTAGACCTCTACCGGCGAGTATAGCCGGATTATTAGCAACACCTCTCGGAAGAGGTGAAAAAGAGGGTCTGCGAGAGGGGTAAAAAAATCCGAATCCGCCCCGCACAGGGCTGATTTTTTTGCGGCCCTTTCATGCAAAAGCCGGAACCCTCTCGCGCCACCCTCTCGCGCACCCTCTCGCGCCACCCTCTTGCGCCACCCTCTTGCGCCACCCTCTCGCGCCAACGAACAGTTTTATTTCCCCGGGGAATGAGGTGGGCGGGCGCGGGGTGGTGATAAACAAAGAGCAGCGCCGGCCTCTGTCTGATTCTTTCGGCACGCACCTACGCCGGGTCGGCATCTCTTCGCCCGCAAGGTTTACTGCAGCTGCCCCCTGCGCATAGCGCCTAAAGGCGCGGGAAGCGCGCAGGAGGCCCTGCGAGTTGACCTCGCGCAAAATGGCGCTCAAAGTTTCCTCGGTCCGTCACGCTGTGCCCAAAGCTTTTGTGTCGCGGCCCGATCCGCAAATAGTCAAACCCCAGCACAACAGCCTTGCGCTCCGGCGTTAGCCGGAGCACGGCTGGTTGCAATCATGGATGAGGATGACAGGGCACCTGTTTTGTTCAAAGGAGCTAATTTTGATTTAGCAGTGGAAATTCCAATGTTCTTTCCTTTTGAAGAGATGAGAAGTTGTAATGTAGTCTTCACGTAAGTTGTGCAGTACTACGATATTGGTTTGCAATGCATAGAAATTGGGTGACGACAAGATCGACGCGAAGTTGTTCACCAAGATCTTGATATCCACTGCAAAAAATGTGCCTGGATCTTTGTCATGCTTGTCTGACATGACTCTGAGTTCTGTGATGCGTGAACGCGAAGAGCAGATCCTCTTGATGGCTGTCATGCAAAAACGCAGCTTGCCTTGCGGATGCGGAGTTGTACGCAATAGATTGCAACACCCCGAGAACAAGAACTTTCCATGCGTGGGCATGCATTGCACGGCGCCCGGCATTCACAGTGACTAGCTTTACAACTTCCCAGGGCCAGACATATTTGCCCTGCATACTTGAAATATGGGGACGAAAATGTTCCGGTCGCCGAGCTTCTGAACGCGTTGCGGACGGCACAGGCACCGTCGAGCTACAAGTGAATAGTACGCACAGGAACTGCGGCCGGGGTGGAGGATTGGTGGACGGAGCTTGTGATGGTGCAATCTCGGAGTTGCTTGGTGTTGGAGGTGTAACTAAGAGCGACTCTTCTTCCTTTTGACCCCTGCTACAACTTGTAGCTCAGGACAGCACGACTGGTGAGCGTGAGCTGCACCCCCAAACATTTTTACTCCTTTCAACGTCGACAAGAACCAACTGCAGAAAACACAAACAGGCACAGCTGCAGTGTTTTTTTTTGAAGTAGAAACAAATTGCCGACAGCTCCTTTGTAGCGCGAGGGCTCGACTGTGAACATCGAGAGCACGGCATCAACATTATTAAAAGTGCACTCGGAGGACAACTCGTGTTCTCGTGGGAAGCGTCCGAAAGTGAGCACACAGAAAGCGAGACTGTCGTCTAAAGGGTGTTGTTTTTGTTCGGTCTACCTCTACTCGTCACTTTCCTGATAAAGAAAAAAACACTACACGAATCTACTTTTTCCCGGTGAAATCTTCTCGTGCGTAGAACCGAAGAGGTATTTTGTTATCCGGAGTATTTAATCGGCGATAGATAGCGCTTGCACCGAACAAAAAACTATGAGCACTTTACAGACCTCTAGTCCTCCTTACCAGTGCAGCAGCATTTTGTCGTGATGTGGGATCGTAGTGATATTATCGCCACTTCTCATGCTTCGAATGTCGTAGAAAGAGTGACACGGAGTGTAGACCTGCACCTGCTTTATCGTAAAGATTGCTTTACGAGGTCAAGAGCCAGGTCGGCGAACTGAAAAAATTGCAAGGGTCGTGGTCGTCGAGGTGTCTCATCATGGTTTGGGCAGACAACAGAGGGCGTTTGAAACATACTGGAAGACAAAAAAAGAGTACTTACGCGTCCAGCTAAAGAGAGGCGGACCGGGTTTGATAATGAATATTGTAGTACGTCGTACACGGGCCGCCGCTGGACCTGGACGATTACCAGCACACGACTTTGCGAGCGCTTTTTCCGGCGCAGACGAATTCGGATTCAAAAAAACAACTCCTCTAGCGGTATCTTTATTTGTGCTGTTTTACCTTTGTTCAAAACTACAATACCTACGACTCACACGACGTCGGCCGCAACACGAAGATGAAAAGATAAAACTTGTGAAAACGAAAATGTGGACCACACGGCAGCGAGAAGACAAGAGCTCTGCTCTTGGATCATTTCCTGGGGGAGTACAACCGGCAGCTGGTGGCGTTTCCAGGTCCTCCTCGACCTCTTCTAGCGCTTCGTACAACTACAGTTCTACTTCGTCGTCGGGAAATCGCTCTAGCAGCTCGTCATCGACTTCAAGCCGTGCGGCCAGGACGTCGCCGTCGTCAACATCAACCTGCAAAAATGTAATGAAAACACAACCACTACCACCGTCCACTTCGAAGAGCTTTCATTTTTCCTCCTCCACCACACGAAAAGCCTGCCTCGCAGCTCTTCTGACGAGCGAATTTTCATCGCTTCTATTAGCTCCCGTCTCGGCGCAGCAGCAGCAGGATCATGAGCAGGTGGCTGCTACTTCCGAGGAAAAAATTAGTACCTCCGAGCAGCTGCAGGCAAGTCCCAGCTCTAGCATATCAAGTGTAGAAATGTCGTGGTCTGGAAGATTGCCAGGTTTGTCATGCATATTTTGCATAACCCATGATGTCTGTAATGCCTGGCCGACCATCACAGATTTTTAAGGGGCCTTCTGATGCGTATTCCGCATGAGAAACGCGCGCTCCGCGTAGCACAAACTGAACTCCTCTTGCTGGTCATGCAATACAGATTTTTTTTACCTTCCAAAGACTGCATGAAAAACAAGGTCCGAGCACGGGGGCTGGGGCCCCCGTGCAGAGACCTTGCATCTTTGGAGGGCATTGGGCGGTCAGAGCAGTTTCCGAGGCCGGGCGGGCTTGCTCCTCGCGACATTCGAACGCAACCGCAACGGGGACGCGCGTCGCGAAGTAGGGGAATGGCCAATGCCGCGCCATCCCCAGCGGGCTACCACATAGGGCGCCCCGATGGGCGCCCGAGGGGTGGCGCGTTCGCTTCCACTTGCAGGACTCCGACACCGGCCTGCAAGCTGATGGCAAGCGTTTGGAAGTCGGCGCCGGGCCATTGGGCGCCGCTGCCTGGCGGCCCTACTTCAGGAGAGAAGCGCTTGGCGGGCGGCCTAACTTCTAAAAGCCGGCCTGCGGAAGGAAGCGGCCCCCCAGCCTTGCGGAAGTCGCCGCCCGGCTTTTCTTTGGTCAATGCGGCCGGGCTTTCGGATGTCTGCGCCGGCCGGAATCCCGGCCGCAAGCCGCCGACCAGCGTCGCGAGACCGGTCCCGGATTTCTGGAAGCGCTGGCGGACTTTTGAAAGCTAGCCGGCGGCAGACGTTGGCAGCCCGCTCGCCCGCCCCCCTGCCAGTCTCCGCGGGAAACCGGGCAGGCAGCGCCTTCGGATCGGCCGCTCGACTCTTTCATTCGCTGCGAAGCTTCGGGCCGCGGTTTTGGTCCGTGTCCCCGTGCCAGCTCGCGCGAGAAGCCGGGCATCGCCTTCGCCCCACTCTGGGGAGCCTCTGGCCATGGTTTTGCTCCGTGTGCCCACGCCAGTTAGCGCGAGAAACCCAACGGGGCACCACCTGCGCCCAAGTCTTGGAAACTAAGCGCAGGCCGCGGCCTTGCCTCGGGTCCCCAATCCAGTCTGCGCGAGAAAGCGGGCAGGCACCGCCTTCGCCCGGCTGATTCTGCGAAGCTAGCTTCGGGCCGCACTTTTGCGCCGTGCTTGGACCCCCATGCCAGTTTGCGGGAGAAACCAGGCACCGCCCCCGCCCAATTCTGGGGGGGGCGGTTTTGCTCCGTGCGTGTGCCAGTGCGGCGGCCGGCCGCGGTTCTGGCTGCGGCTTTGCTCCGTGTCCCCGTGCCAGTTTGCGCGGGAAACCGGGCACCGCCCTCGCCCAATTCGGGGGGGGAGCGGTTTTGCTCCGTGTGCCAGTGCGGCGGACGCGGTTCTGGCCGCGGCTTTGCTCCGTGTCCCCGTGCCAATTTGCGCGGGAACGAAACCGGGCACCGCCCTCGCCCAATTCTGGGGGGGGGGCGGTTTTGCTCCGTGTGCCAGTGCGGCGGAGGCAGCCAGGCGGTTCTGGCCGCGGCTTTGCCCCGTGTCCCCGTGCCAGCTTGCGGGGGAAGCCAGGCAGCGCCCCCGCCCAGTTGATTCTGGGGGGGAGCGGTTTTGCTCCGTGTGCCAGTGCGGCGGACGCGGTTCTGGCCGCGGCTTTGCTCCGCGTCCCCGTGCCAGTTTGCGCGGGAAGCCGGGCACCGCCCTCGCCCAATTCTGGGGGGGGAGCGGTTTTGCTCCGTGTGCCAGTGCGGCGGAGGCGGTTCTGGCCGCGGCTTTGCTCCGTGTCCCCGTGCCAGTTTGCGCGAGAAAC